TCCGAGCACGTCTTCTTCCTTGGCCGGGGGCGCGTTGTCCAGCGCTTTCACCCCGCCCAGGGCGTAGGCCAGCAGCAACGTGAAGAGCCTGTCCAGGTACGTTTCCCAGTCCTGGTGCCCGGGCTGCTCGTCGTCTGGCTCCTCCGTCCACAGGCCTTCGCCGAGCTTACGCTTCTTGCTTGAGGTGCCGAGCTGCCACTGCAAGGTTTTCACCTTCCAGACGGCCGTCACGCACAAGAGGCGCTTGGACATTTCCCTGGAAGCCCTGGACACGGCAGCATCGCTGGGGTACACTTCCGTGGGGAATTTGAGCTTGTAGCGTACCCAGAAGGCGCTAAGGATCTCAACTCGGTATCCCCGAGAAGGGAATCGAGGTCCTCAATGGCGACCCGCGAGCGGTCCTGCTCGGCGGTCTTGTAGTACAACGAGACCGAATGCCAGGCTCTCCGCAATCTGGCTGCTTGGATCTGAGCTTCCGCTCCCAACTGGATCTTCCCAAGCCAAGGTTCTCGGCATCGAAGAAAAAGCGGAATTCTTCCAAATTGGCGATGCCCGCCTTGGAAAGCGCTCCCACTACCTCCGCTGCCAATTGAAAATTCTTGCCGAGCCTGTCCAGGCAATCGGCTCCGTCTGACGGGACAAGGGAAGTCGCCATGCGATTTCCAGGTGTCAGCGCAATCACTTGGGCCTCAACAGACTCCCCAAAAACACGAGTGGGGGGGAAACGGAGGGGACACACGACCGAGATCAACCCAACCCTCAACTCGTTAAAAATTGCATGGAAGATGACCCCTGGCGTGCACTCGCCGGTAACTCCGCATACCGCGGCCGACGGCCGTACGGGAGGTAATCCCCCCCGGCCTCCTCCCTGGTATCCCCAGGGTGCCTGCCACGGTGCATGGTAAATCGGTTGAAACTGTAAACTGTCTGAAAAACGAATGCCACACGGTCGACTGGCTATGCTCCGTGACCCATGCATGTCGGGGCAATCCAATGCCTGGTACTGCCGCTCCCGTTTTTCACCCGGAAGAATGTATCAGGCAAATGCCCCGCGGCACTCCTATGGCGTGCAAAATGGGGGACTAAATTCGGGCAGCCCGAATCCGGCGCCCATGGCCAAAATTGGCTCATCTCGCCGGGCACTTGCTCAGGCAAGTCCGGCAAAAGCGCTGCTCCCATGCGATGGCCTCGAACTTGTCCGAGGTGGTCAGCGGATAGGCCAGACGGTCAGCCCGGCGCGCTGCCTGCTTGTGCTGGCAGAGCGGGTATCCCTTGGCCGTACTGATGTGGACCTGGCTCTTCGCAGTGGCCATGAACCCGGCGCACACCGGCTCAGACACACCTGCTGAGGAGCTCGCCAGCGCCTGGTGCACCCATCCGGCCAGCTTGCGGTCCTGCAGGGTCTTGGTGATTTCCACATCGCGGCATCTCCGGATCTCCCCCGCTGCGTCCGCCAGGCTGATCCCCTTCAGCATCGCCAGCCACATCGCCGCAGCAAGAGCGGCTCGGTGACGCCCCGCCATGCAGTGGACGATGACGACGTCTCCGTGATAGAGCGAGCGCCGTACCAGGGGCCACACCCTGTCCCAGTCCTCCTGCCGTCGGTCGGCGTGGGCGATGGCGAAGTACTCCACGTGAGCCCCGGACAAGGGCACACCTTGCCGCTGGGCCAGCCTCTCCGGGAAGCAAACCACCTGGAGGCTGCATGCTGGGAAGGCTGCGGCCGTGACTGCCGTGGGGATGCCCGCCAAAAAGAGGGCTCCTCCTCGCACGTTGTTGTAGATCAGCGATGGGGTCTGGGCGGACTTCCCCCGCACGGTTGCCAACCGGTCCCATTTGCTGTCAGCTGGGTTCAAACCCAGGCACTCCGGGATCTCCAAGAAGTTGCCCGGGATCTCGGCTGGTTCTGCCGGGCGCCTGGTATCCACCGAGGCAGGAACTTCGCCGATCTCCGCATCCTCGACCTCCACAACGCGGTTGGCTGCTGCAGCCTCGCGGAGCTCCTCGGCAGACGGTCTGGATGACATGGGCCCGGCCGGGGCGATTGGCAGTGGCGGCGGCAAGATTCTTCGGCGCTTCTGAGCCGGCGCCTCCGATGGCGCCCCTGCGGGGCGGGTCGCCCCCACCTCCACAGGGTCAGCCGGCACAGGCAGCCCCAGCTCGCGAAGCTTCGCCTCCGTCATCCGCCGCTTTGCCCGGCACTCGCTTGCCGGGTGGCGTCCTCCGCATGCCCTGCCCGTCTGTTGCAGCATCGCGCACAAGTGCTCGGGTCCTGGCGGCATTCGCCTGTGTTGAAGTCCGGGCACAACGCTGTACCGTTCTTCAAATGTCCCGTGAGGAAGATCTCGCCCAGCCTGGACGGCATGGCCCTGGCCGAGGGAGCCGGCTTCCTCATCCGCTCACGGGCGCTGTGCACGAGCGACTGGCTCAGGGAGAAACGCCTCTTCAGCGCCGTGGTCTGCGGTGCCTGGGCCCAGGTCTCTGTGTCCCCTCGGCAAGCCTGAGCGGCCTTGATCTTGGCCTCCTCATCGGCTTCGGCGATCTCCTCCTCGGTGACCGTCTCCCAAGCCTCGCAGTCCGCGACCTTGGCCGCCACGAGGAAGGCTCTCATCTTGGTCCGCATGGACAAGGCATACTTGCCGCCGCTGTAGTGGAACGGCATCGAGACACGCTCCTCGACCTTGTCCTGCCAGTCTCCCAGGGAAACGATCTCCGCGTCCTGAAGGCGGATCAAAGAGCCCACCGTCGGCAGCAATCTCCTCCAGGAATAGCTAGTGAGCTGCTCGAGGGGCTCCACCACGCCATGGAAGAGGTGCTGGGTCACCCTCTGCACCTCCCGGATGGGCCACGCCTGGCCAGAGGCCGGGTGAAAGCAGATGCCGCACTTGTCGTGCTGCTCCGGCGCTAGCCCCTGATAGTCCTCCAGCCACTTGTCGGCCCAATGCCAACCGTTGGAGAAACGAGCTGGTGCGCACCAGTCGAATCCTTGCCGGTTATGGGACTGCTTCCCTTTGCGGCAGTGGCCGTGGAAGAACTCCCTGCTGATCTTCACCGGAGTGGATAAGCTCAAGTGCTTGTAGCGCAGGCAACCCGAAGCCACGAGCCACGACGACAGCGCTGCTGTCCAAGCTGGATCTCGGGCTTGCTGCATCTCGATGATCCGGCCCTCCAGGGTGAGCAGCATGGGCGGTTCCACCACCACGGCCTGGGACCTCGCCTTGCGCACCTTCCCAATAACTTTGGGGGGCTTCAGGCGGTCCAGCTGCCACTGCAACCTGCCGTTGTTGGACAGCCAGCGCAATGACTGCAGCGCTCGCGAGGGCGACATGGCCTGCTCAAGGAAGGCGTGAAAGTCCAACTCCTCCGGGTCCTGCACGCCCCTGGCTGCGAGCAAGAGCGAGAGCTCCTAGAACGTCCTCACCGCGTTCAGGATCGTGGTCGCCTCGGACTGGGTGACTCTTTCCTGAGCAAGCCTCCGAACTGCTTGCTGCCAGTCGGCATAGCGCTTCGGGTCGTCGTACCTCCGGGGCCGAAGGACGCCCAGCTTCATGAAGGCCTCCGTCAGCAGGTTGACCCTGCGGCCGACCGCTTCGGCGTTATCCGGGTTCTGCCTCAACCGCAGGCCCACGTTGCTTGTGGGGAGCCGCACCGCCGGCCGACGGAGGGTCGATGGCCCCACCGGCGTCACTCGCCAGGGGTCCGCCTCCACCAATGCCGCGCCTGCCGGGAGGAGGTGGGCCTGTTGCTCCGCCCGCACCCGCGCCCATTCAGCGGCGACGAAGTGGCCACCTGCGCGGACCGCATCCTCGAAGGCCTCAAAGGCGAAGCCGAAGTCGGAGTCCTGCATCAGCCCGTGCTTCTGCCGAAAAGCTCGAACGTTGGCCTCCTGGACACGAGACATCAGCCCCTCGCCAGAGCCGCCCGGGTCGCCCCCCAGCGTAGAGCCTTGGCAGCAGCGGATGGGGCAGGCTTCGCATTGATGGATGCCACATGAAGCGCACACAGAGTGAGTCCTGCTCCCGCAGTAGGCGCAAAGCCCGCCCAGAGGGAGGTTCCTCCTACCCTCGTCCAGCCACCCACGGAGAAGCCTCCCCGCTGTGGCTCTGGCCAGGGAGTCGCTCTCCCTGGGCCATGGCTCGGTCCAACTCCGAGCACCCAAGCTCCATTTCCTCCAGGTCCCCATGAAGCCCCTGAAGGACACGAAGGGGAGGTCGCCAGATTCCACCCGGCCAGCGATGGCGGAGACATACATCGGGATGATGTCCTGGGCACGGAGGCCACTGCCTGCTTCAGCCACCATGGCCTCAGACAGGCGATCCTCCTCATAGCACCCATGATAGGCGGCCCACGCCTCCTCTGCAGACGCACCGTCTTGAACCAAGACTGCACGCCGGCACCAGGTGCCGATGAACGGGAACTTGAAGCCGCCAAGGGACCCGTCACATCTTGCACACTGGGCATCAATGCAGGGTGCAAATTGCAGGTGGGGTATCTCCCCACTATCAACCAAGGGCAGGGGAGTTTGCACGAAAGGGGCATGCAAAACTTCCACAGCCGAAAGCCAGAGCATCCGGGCCTGGCCATGATTCCCCTGCTCCAGCAAGTTGCCCACATGGCGCTTGAAGTCGAGGTAGGCGCCTGTGGACAGGATAGGACGATCCGTGTGTACGGCAAAGTCAACTCCTGGAACTGCCAACATTCGACAAGTAACACTTGCCGAACCCGCAAACCAGAAGTTAAAATTTAGCCAGTTTGGATCATGCTTGAGCCAAAAGGCCCCGCATGATCCAATACACTCCTTGCAGAATGAAGCCTGTAAACCCAAGCCTTCCAACCTGATACAGGATTATTTTGGCAAAGCTTACAGCATCCAAAAAAATACATGCCAAGAAAGACCTCAGAGTTGCTAATGCAAACCTAGTTAGTTAGCTCTTTTCGACCTTGTTCATTTTAGAGCAGTGCAGACGTGTAAGATGTTGCCAAAGCGTTCGCCCAGGATCTTCCAGAAATTCGCAGTACGTGCCCTGCCGGGACATGCCAGCGGGCGTGAACACTCGCTCCCGAAAGGCCGCTGGCAGGGGGCTGGAGGTAAGAGCCTCCACAACGAGCCCAAGCAGCAAGTAGTTCGTGTCCGCCTTAACCACTTGCCCGGAAAGAACGTGAGAAAACTCCAGCCTAAGCCCACCCAAACCCCAAGCTGAAGCTGCCCAACCCAACACTCACCCTAAACCCAGCCCAAAGACCTTCCAAATCCTTCCAACAGGGACCCGACGCTGGCCAACCCCCCGCAACGGTAACACCCCCCCTCATTCCCTTCACATTGATCCAAACGGAGCCTTCCAAAGACCCAAAGGTTACAGTCTGATTCGTCGCACACATGCAGCGCCACGAGCTGTTCCGACTTTCATTCATTGGAGACGACTGGGCATAGTGTTTCTCTTTGTAGGGAGCAACCAATTCAAAAAGTAAAGTTGAACAGCGTGATCACTTCTTTCTCTGCGTCAGCGTCTGATTTTGGACCCTGCCCTGCCCACTTCTTGGCAAAGATGGAAATCTAGATCAACCACTTAAACGGTCTTCCAAATTGCGGTGACTGTTCGTTTTTTGGGGCAAGGTCCAAAGTATGTATCAAACTGGGGTACCTCAAACGTTTGCCTTTCGTTTCTCTTGAGCATCCCAAACCGAGTACCCTCACAACAAGACAAGTCCATGACCTTTGCAGCCATGAAATACGATCACTCAAATGAGTAGTGGTGTGTACTCCCTGAAAATTTGCATTGACGTATCAAACCCTTCCACGAAACCTTCCATTGAAAGGGATTGTCTTTGAAAATGGGGACCCTCCAACCAGGTGATTCTTTTGGGTATCCCTTCAAAGCTCCAAAGGCGTGTGGCGGCATCACCATGGACTCCAGCGCTGCACAAGGAATGTACAAAGCCCTTTTTCGGGTCCACATTGGACCAACGACCCGGGACAAAAACCACCCCAAACAGGGTTTGTATAGACTCACTGGCTTGCAAGCCCTTGGTTCCTACAAAGGAACCGCAAAACCAAAAAAAAGTACCGACCCTCAAAAAAACCATGCAGCCCCACCCAAAGCGTCCGAGCCGCGTAATGGAAGGCCTCCGCCGTGCCCCGCTTCGCGGCCGGGAAAGGCATGGCCATGTCCGCCGCGTAGCTCAGCAACTCCCAGGTGCTCCAAAGACGGTTCGGGTCCGCTTCAAAGGCCTGGTCCCACCCCGAGGCCAGAACAAGGGGCACTCCTTGGAGCGTCACGTCCTATTTATCAACAGTCTGGTAAACTCGTCTAAGGACAGTACAGTATATCCTTAAAATGGCCATGGCAACCAAAATCAGTGGTTTCAAATGGGTTGCACAGGGGCTGTGCAGCACATCTCCGCCCCCCCCGCTGCACCCCGCCGCACCGCAAGCAAACAAAACAGTCAAAGCCTCCAAAAAAGCACCCCAGCGGTCAAATGGAGAAAAAAAAGGCAGCACTAGAGGGCTATGGGGAGGGATCCCTGGACAGGCCTAGGACAAGCCAAGGATAAGCCCTTTTGGCCTTATTCAGGGTGAAACAAGTGAACGTGGATCAGGTTTTCCAGCTGCATTGCCAACCTCGAAAAGGCCACCAAGAGCAAGTTCACTTTAAAGGTGATGCGCAAATGCCTCCCAAAAGGGAGGAACTTCTCAAAAAGTGTAAAGTCCAGAAACTTTCATTCGATCCACTCCCCCCACCCAACCTTCCCCGTGCTTTCCTAACATATGACCCTAGCTTACGGCCTTAACGGCCAGAAACCAGGTAGGGGATGGGGGGTTGAGGTGGGGAAGTGAGTCTTTTCCCAAAAGATGAAAACGGAAAACGGCTAGATGCCACAAATTATGAACCTAGGGTGAATGGATAAGCCCCGAATTTCCCTATTCCTCTTTTCCGGACCCAGCAACAGTTCGATAGGTGTTAGCAACCCCTCCCGGACCTTGATGAACTCGGAGTCATCGTCCCAGAAGTTGGGCAAACAACCTCGGCACTTGGCTGCTTGAGCTTCTAGCGCCCTGGAGCCAACTTGCTGCAAAGGAAACTTCCGGAGATCGGCAGTCCGGCAATCAGCCCTCAGCCTGTTTTGTGCCTGGGATCGAATGTCCCTTCCCATGTCCGAAAGGGCTTCGGATCCTCAAGCTGCAAGAGCTACTGCCCGGAACTCGCCGCAAACAATTAAGACAAACGTCGAGGACAACCAAAGGCCACTCCCCGCCGATCGGTGAGCTCGTGAACTCATTTCCCCTAGATCTGTCAAACTCAACCCCACGACTGTTCGATCGTAAACAAGCCAAGGCGTATCCGGATTGATTCCTGCTGCGCAGGCCCCGTGAAAACATGCTTAACACAGATTGAGGTCGTTGATACTGTTGAAAAGGCGGCCCCCTTTGGTGTAAATGGATGGCTTGAATACAAATTGTTCAACAATGTCCTTTGAACCAAACTTTGCCCAACCTTTCTGAGTCTCCCACTGGTATGCTGGAGCAGCTGCAGGATTGTAACGTCTCCGAAGCGCTGAAAGGGCCAAGTGGGCACGTGCTCCTCTGCATTAAAAAATATGTGCATATCTGCCATGTCCCTACAAAATCTCTGGTGGCTCCTCAACTCCCTCTTTGAAGGCCAATTTGGATACCCCCAGCTCCTTGGCTCCCCTTCAACCAGCTCGATTCATCTCCTTTTGCTTCCTTTTGAGGAAAGTCATGGGCTAGTCAGCACGTCCAGTCTAGGAAACCAGCTGCAGGCAAATCAGCAGGGGCAATTTGCCAGCTCCCAAGACAAGCATAGAACCTGAATCCTTGTCAATGCCCGGGCAAAAATATGCTGGAAGGAGTTCACCGGAATCCGTTTTCCGTCTCAAACGGGACGGAACTATATAAACGGACTGCTAAGGGGCGCCCCTCCCCAATGTTGACAGGACATGTGCTCAAACCAGGTACAAACGGCCGTGCCCGCTTGCGGGGGGACTATGGACCCTGCTCCCTCTTTTCTCCGGATTTCGTCTGAAGAAACCGTATCCCAAAAGGAGGCATAAAATCAGCTTTGTCAAAAGACATGGGGCTACCTTGGTTGACCCCCTGATTTCTTTGACGAAACTTGGGCTGTCCCTCATTCTCCCCCCACATCAACAACCCATCAGACTCTTAGTTACTCACATGAGCCAGGGTCTCAACATATTGGTTTCCCGTTGGCCGGAAAACCACATGGCTCTGGATTTTTGAACGGTTGAACGTGAGACATCCTCCACGTCGCGGTTCCCTCAAGTCTAGGTCCTCCAGTAGATAGGTTAAAATAAGGGTATCCTTGTTTTTTCTGTAGTCTAATCTAGTAGGAAAGCCCTAACCCTAAAAAAGGGTAAGAGGGCACTACTGGGGCACTTAGAAAGTGCTTCACCGCATCCCAGCCCTGGCGAAACCCCGCTCGATGCGGCTAACCCGAAACCCGAACGTCCTGCACCTTGGCCTTCACGGCCCCATCCTTCACCGAGGTCCAGGGGTCGTCCAGCCGCAGCAGCCCCTCGTCCTCCAGCTGAAGGATGACCTGGCGGCACCGGCAGAGGCACCGCCAGTGGCTTCTTTTTCAACCGATCTACATCCAAAAAACAGAGAGACAAACATGTTGCTGCTGCCAATGGCGGGTAAGAAAAATGGGAACCTTCTGAGGTTGATCGGTTGATCACTCTTTGGGCATTGAACCAACCAAGCCACAATTGGATTCTAAGAGGGCTCCTTGAAGGAGTTTAAGGCATGCATCCAAAACTCACTTGCTTTACTCAGCTGGTGCTTCACTGGCCCTGATGTATTCATTGAGGGGCAGTCGGGCCCTACGCTAGAAAACCACACAGGCACGATCAGATTTAGACCCTGCAAAAGGCGAGGTCCAGAGTTGTCCTGCTTTTTGCAAGTGAGTGGGGAAACCTTAAACTCGCAACATGTGCAAAAGCGAGTGTCTGGCCTTTAGAGAGAGTTTCTTGTGCCCGTGCAGCCAACACATCCCATGCGCGATGAGACCAAAATCTTGAAAATCCCCCCCTCCCCCGCAAATGCAACAGAACCATCTCTATCCAAAAGCAAGAAATTGTCGAATTATAGACAAATGGATTTGCCCGCAAGAACAAGCTCAACAAGGACAAGATCCAGAAACTGGAGCCATGAAGGCCTGATTCATCAAGGGGACGTTTCCCCCCAAAAAAAGAACTGACACAAAAGGGGCCTCTTGCCCTCCCAGCTCCTACGGAATTTCATTCCAGCCTTCCAACCGAGAAAAAGCGCCATGAGTTGCCCACAAATGGAACTCCAGGACAAAGCCGCCGTTTCCCCACATGTTGTGGAGATCCCGGGTGTCAAATAGTAGGGAGTCAAACAATCTGTCAGGACAACGGGTTCGATTGCTGCTTAAAAACGAACTATGACGGGCTCCCCAAAATCCAGGGCGCTTTTTGGTCAGAGGTCAGCCGAGTCTGACAATGCTCCCCTGTTCACTTCCTGAGTGGATTGGTCCACAAAAAGCCAAGACTCTTATCCGCGAAAATTGTCCTAACATGTTGTCCACTTGTAACTAGCCCCACTTGTAACTAGCCCCAAGAAAACAATAACAAGCTGTTTGTTTGCCACTAAATTGTCTTCCTAAAACTTGCTGGTTCTAAGCAAGGAAGGACACAATGACCCCTAAAACCATCCAGTATGGTATGCTATAAGGGAATCCCTAGGTTCATTCCCAAACCCTGGCTCATTCCCTGCTAACCAGCAAAGTTGTTTGCAACTAAAGTTGTCTTCCGAAGGTGCTTGAAGTTCAGAAACCAGAGCAACCTAAGCTTGGCCTTCCTTTCGGGAGAGAAGAAATAAAAAAAAATATCTCGGTCCATCGAGTGGCCGTGGCCGTGACCATCTTGGTGACAGAGGCCACCTCGAAGGTGTCCCCCACCGAGATGTTGGACCTGGCTCCTCGGGGCTTATAGGCCAAGAGGTCGCAGAGGTCGCCCGCCAAACAAATGCTGAAACGTTTTTTGTTCCTTCTTTTTTTCTTTTTCTAATAAAACAAATAATATCATTATATGTATTTTTCCCGCCAGGAGTCGGGCCTTATGAGCAGCATAAGCTTGGGTTGCCAGAGGTCGCGCTCTTGCAAAAGCCATTCAGTTGGGCTTGGGCTCGGGTCGGTCAAGCATAGGTGCTTCTTTGAAGAACGTCAAGTTGGATTGGGCTGGTTGGGGTAGGTGTAAAATCAAATATATCAACTCAACTTGTTTCCAGAAGCCAATGCTATTTAGTGGGTTCGTCAAACTAAACCCAAGGGAGCTTTTCGAAAGGAGGTTGGCTGAAACAGGGGTGCGGTCGGCAGCGCCTTTGCCATGTGTTGATGCGGAAAGGCGCCCCACTCAGAAAGGCAATCAACCTTGAGAGATTATACCCCACCCATTGGTGGATGGGCAGCCTATAAAATGAGACCCACCAATTCGTTCAATTCAACCAGTCGCCGTGGCCATGGGGCAAACTTGTTCACGGAACAGGACAGCGTAGCAACACTCACCTGGAATGCGTACTTGTTGTGCCCCAAAACTCCAGCTGTCTTATGCGCTATACATCCACCGCTTAAAATATCATACCAAGTATGTACCACCTTTTTTCTCAGCTTCACTTCACTTTGTGGTTTGGATTGGTGGTTTTGGATTGGTAGTTTGGAGGGCTCCAGTTTGCCCTCGACAGGAACCAAAGGTTCAAGCCCCCCGACCAATCCAAACCACCAAGCAGTGACCAAACACAGACCCCAACCCAAAAACCAACAAACCCAAAAGACTCAATCCAAATCCAAAGCAAAACGTCACCTACTGCGACCAACGCCCAAAGCCCAAAGCCAAACATCAGCCGGTCCAGTGCTCAGAGTCCCGGCGGCGCCCGCGAAGAGCAAGGAGCCATCCAGCGCCGTGCTGGCCTGCGATTTCTACCCGAAACCATGGTGGAAACCGTCGCGTTTCTTGGTGCGAACGCAGGGGAATCGAATCAGAAGCCCCAGGTTTCTTAGGCGGTGCGAATTGGAGTTCGTCCATCCAATTCGGCGTGGCTCGAAAATAGGGTAACCCCAAAATGGCCTGCCCAGGTAAATGGAAAGGTGGACTAAACCCTGCGGTCTGGCTCTTAAATTTGGAGCCACGCCCATATGTCCAAGAGTGATAGATTACCTAAAAAAGCCAACAGGGGAACATTTAAATCAGAGTCATTTCAGCAAATGGAAGCTAGGTTCCCCCTGGCCCAGAGGAAACTGAGCCGGTCACCACATGGACCAAAGGTTTTGGCCCATCCATAGAAAGAGTTGCCATTTTGGGGGCCCCTATTTTGAGCCCAAAAACCCCGGCCCAAAAGTGAGGTTGAAACTCTCATTTTCCTAACCAGGATTCCTAGTTCCGTAGCTCCCAGAGTCAAATTTGGGGATACCGCCTCCCGAGCTCCCTTCCACCAGCGAGCAAACATTAAGAGGCCAACAGATTTAGTTATCCTCCCTCCCGCCAGGGCACCTTTGGGGTTTCTGGTCTCTGCCAGGGGTCCCCTATGAGCCACCGCCATTTGATGATGTGCGGTTCCGATAGGATCAAACCTGATTTCTCTCAGGGTTGCCTTGCCAAAAGCCGCTTACAACTCGCCACACCCAGCGCTTGGCTTGGCAAGTTGGCAAACCTGGCTGGTGGCAATTTCTGGAAACCTTCCAATCTGGCCAGAAACGCCATCAAACACCGGAAGCTGGCACTGGGGACCCGCCAACCACACGCCCTTGGCAAAGACCAACCGAAGCCTTAGCGTGTCTTTTTCCTAGTAACTAGCCAAATTCAAGCCCTGCTGAGTGCCTAAAGCATTCACAGGCAGTGCGTGCTTCAGCCTTGGGCAAGCACACCTCTCCTCACAAGCCTCTGCTGCAACAGAAATCTGCTCAAGTAGCCATTCCCACGCCTGCGTAGGAGACACATGAAAGCCCAGCCAGGCAGAAGGACGGCTACAATTGCAACCGACCTCGAATTCCCCTTCTCGGGGAAACACCAGCCAACCCCAAGAGCGCCCGCGCCAAACACAACCACTGGGCTCACATAAAGCATCATGAGCAAGTTCTTGCAGACCTCGCCGCATCTGGAGCTGGATTCATGGCGAAGGTGGAAAGCACAGAACTTGGCCCACGAGACTAATATAGGACAGAGCAAACATATAGTAAGCCCAACGGAGAGCCACACCATGAAGAACGCCCAGTGCGGTTGGGGCCACCGCCGGGCTTACGATAGCCACACTCCAAGCATAGCTGCAAGCATTCTGCTCGAGCGATGTATATAATCACGTTCACAACTTCGGTGCCATGCTCTGCAAAGTTCTGTGTGCTGCGAAACCATATCATAGCGCAATGATTCCGGAAATGACTTCTCTGTCACAGACTGTCTGTCCATCAATGCATCTTCCCGTGCAGCAGCTGCATTTTAGATCTGCTACTTCTAAGGACAACAGCTGCCGTTGCATGACCTCTATAGAACAGTAAAAGCCGCGCATGACGTGGCAGCATGAATACGCCCAAACAGAACCAGCAGTTGCGAAGCTTGCAAAGTGCAGAGGAAATTGGATTTGGCTCGGCACCTGAGGTGGAAGGACAAGAATGGAATAAACGCAATTGTTGCCATTGAATAGGCAGCAATTGAGATTGACCCTGTCAGGGTTGGGCAAAGGGGTCTTTCTCGCGTCTGCTGGCTCTTGAGGAATGCTGCAATCTCGAACACGCACCACCATCTTTCCGCAAAAGAAGCATCCCAAAGCACCAGCATGGATTCTGACTTGTCCAGAATCCCGGCAAGGCTGCAAATGGCCTCTGCCTTCAAGTCATCCGTCTCGCTAATGCAAATCCTGTCCAGGAAGACTTCCTTCCTAGATCGCCAGCATGCCAATGTCAAAGCGGAACCAGCGGCACCTAGCACTGATGCCCACACAGAATAATTTCCCTGACCACCTTCCAAATGGCGGTCGAAGCCTGGCAGGACGTGAAGATAAAAAAGCACAATGCCAAGCAAGGCACACACGTTACCCACACAAATCGCTGCTGCGCCGTTGTTCAGCACCAAAAGCGTCAAACACTTCACCCAGGTGCTCGGATGCCAAGAATGGCTCCAGAATTAATGGATCTTGCGCACCTGGCGGCTCTTTGCAAAAACGTCTCTCCCTTTACTGCCTCTGAGAGGTGCCGCCCACAAATCGAACGCATGGTAGGCAAAGGTGGCCCGCAGAACTGCAGGCCGGGTAATTCTCATCATTCAAATGTAGTCAGCCAAAGCGTGGACTACACTGAGTTGTGCATCCCTCGCACTAAGCCGACCCTGCTCCACGAGCAACTCGGTGCCTGCACTGCCGGCCGATGAAGAACTGACACCCGAGAATATTCTGCCCAAAACCGGCTGCCCTTCGCGTGTTGCGTCTAGATCTGACATCGTCCTGATACACAGGACTCAGAAGACCAAGGGCACATGGGATGTAATTGAACAAGTTAAGCAGAATACCGTTGACCTTGAGCCATGACGTGTCGCGTAGTACGATCACTATTCTTAACTTCATGGCGACTTTCGCCCGCCCTGAAATTAGAGTCAATAAATTAGACATCTTCTTCACATCACTCAGCTGCGCTTGCGTTTCTCATTCTATCTCCATTTTGGTCACGTGGCGTTCAGATGACAACCGTAACGTAAGAACGAATTAGCTTGTTGTCACTCCATTCGCAACGAAGAACGGCCCCTTCTTTGGGAAATGTCCTTCCATTCATTCAAGGTATCCCTCTCATGCAGTAGTTGGGCGGTGAAGGTCCTTTCTCCCCCACCCAAGCAGCCACCTTATGTTCGGCTCGGGTGAATTGACAGGCACCTCCGTTGGACGCCAAAAGACAAACCAAACCCAGCCAAAGATGCCAAACTTGCAGGCTTAATTTGAAAAACAAGTGTTTTCGAAACAAATCGGTGACGTGGCCTGATTCGGTCACAAGGTCGAACCGCCCGCCTGCAGCAGCACGCCGCCATAGCGGCCCAAGGTCCGTGCTGTAGATGCCACGGCCTTTTGGAAGACGACCTGGTCCTGAAGCCAGACAGCGACCACGACCCACCTTTGCATTGACGAGTCGATAGGTATTTACGTGGCAAAGTATGAGACCTGCCATGAAAACCCAATGGCATCCACTTTTGTCAAGCAGTTGACAGGGGAAGCCCTCCAAAAACGAATGGGGCACCGCTGGTCTGTGGTGCTTATCCTTCCTCGCCTGCCCGGCGCGGTCTGCGCTAGCTCCCTGCGTTGCGCCCATGGCGAGAGGACTCGATGTGACCGGAGCTGTGTCGGCTGCGGTGCCATGATCCAAACGAATGGCAAGTCCGTGGAATTTCCCGTTTTGGAGGGCAAACTGCGTGCTAACTCGACGAGTCTGGCCAAAACGCAAATGACTGGCCCATTTTCTGGCGGTTTCCCTTTGACGCAACAGCCTGATGAGCGAACTAATTCGCACATGTCGGTTGCCATGCTCTCAATCATTTTCCACGGGGCTGAATGCCAGTGAACCCTGCATCTGGAAGTTTCCATCTTGAACGCGCACCCTGAAAATCAAATGCAAAGATGAAACCTCGTATTAAGGAACATGTATGTATCCGCGCCCTTTGTGGGTTCCTTCAAGAACTATTGACATATAGCTGTACATGCTGCAATTGCCGTTGGGCTTTCCCTTTGCTTTCGCACAAACTGCACAAACTGGACAAACTGGACAAACTGGCGCTTTCCCTTTGCTTTCGCTTTGGAACAGCTCAAAAGAGTACCCTCGAAAAGACACCCCTTTTCTTGTTCGGCTCCAGCTGCTTTGCCTCTGCCTTGGGAATGTTCGCCTAAGAGCACACAACGTGGACCTCATTCGAACACCGCGAAGGCGGCCAATTCCTCCCGCTTGGCGGGGGTGCAGCTGGTTCCCGCGGGACAAAAAAATCAACTGCCTCCACATCCTGAGGACAAACATCTACAACACCTGTGCTTTCTCTCACGCAGGCTTCCCAAGCTGCCCGTTCAACAAACAACGTCAGTTTGGAGGAGGAGGTCTCAGGAGCACTCAAGGTTGCACCCCTGTCCCGCGCAAAGAGCCTCTGGCTTGAGTCGACTGCAAAACTGCCAGGACTAAATCCATATAGGACCTTTGTTCGTTATTGGTGGTCCCGGTAATGACCATCCCGGGAGCCGATGTGGGCACCCAATTCCATGCAAAGGCGCCCCCGAAGCCTTCGTGCCCCCAGATGTATCCCTCAGGGCGGAAGGGGGAAAAGGGGCTGGAAAACCCCGCAAGATCGATCTTCATCACGCCCAGGCCGTACCAAAACCCGGGCCCACGCTTCGCGGGGACCCAGGACTGCATCTTCTGCAACGTGGACGTCCCACCCTGGAAGAGCCTACCGCTGGAAAGCGCCGACATGAACTTCTCGAGGTCTGGCCAGGGTCCAAGGAGCCATTCCGTTTTTCCTTTTGGGTGTTTTAATATCCCGCTTGGGATTAGTAAAGGCCCCCCCTACCCGGGGCAACAAAGGGGGCCCCCATTCACCAACTATGTGGACATTAAGTTCCCTGGATGCCTTCTTCCCTTGGAGCTGCCTATGTGAGCACCAGCTCGTTCCAGGGATTGGTGAGACAGAAATGGTCAACCCTGCTTTCTGGGTTCCTGGGGCTTCTTCGGGTTTCCTTGACATTGATTGGGGTTGCTGGCGTGCATTCATTGGATGGTCCTCGCGTCTTCATGGTGGATGACGTGTAAAGAACAAAACTCCCAAGGGGCTTGGAAAATCCATGTCGCTCTCCGCCCGTAGAAATGGTCTGAAAAGTCTGAACACCCCTTGCTCAACCAGCCTCCTTTCCCTCATGTTTAGGAATACCAGACCTCTGGTGCCTGTAAGCGCACCTTTGCGTTGGAACCCCCGATTCTCACCTGGAATCAAAGCGCACTCCAATTTCTTGGGCCAATTGTCAAGAAGTATCCCTGAACTTGGGTGACGTACTTGCTTGACTGGGGGAAGTGGCTGCACTTTTGGGGCCCCGACACCCGACAATTGCAAGGACCAACTTAAGAGGCATACGATCACGTTAACACACACACACACAAACAATTTTCCCTGGTGATTTGGCAAGGTTTAGTTGACATATCGATTACAAACTCATAAAGTGAATGCTTGTTTTCGTGGCAGAACCGCACCCCTCTATTCCCTGGGTTTCTGGCAAGTTGTGTTTGGGTGGCTTGGATGGATGGCTTGGGCGGGTGGCTCGGGTGGGTGGATTTAGATTCGATTCGGATTTCTGCAGGCTAGACATTGGGGTGGAAAAATATATCAAATGAATGCAATTTAGTCATCTTAAGCGTCGGAGCAGCTCTGCCTGTCATGGCGGCACTGGTATCACATGGGTCCATTGAAAACCCATGGGAACCAGAAAAGTCGTGTCCAAGGGCCCCCCAGAAACTGCACTCTCCCCCAGAATTTGAAAATTCATGCAAACCATGAAAAGTCCAAGGGCCCCAGTGCTCTCATCTCGCCCACAGAAGTTGACTGGAAACGCATGGGGAATTTGGTTTTCAAGGAGAAACCCCAGGAACTTGTTCTTCTTCTTCCGGGAAGTGGAGCTTTTCTTCTGCCTTCCGCGGTGGTCACGATGCCCCCAGCCGCGAAGGAGTCCGCAGAGTGCCGCTTCTGGCCGGTGAGTTGCATGGTGCCCATGTAGCGAGCCGCCAAGGGTGGGGCGTCCTGGCCGATGTTCCACAGGTCTTCACCCCACCCAGGGAAAGCGATCCCAGTGGATCCATTTACCTTTTTTTGGTGGGAAGCTCAGGGCTCACCCTTAAAGAACCAAAAGGGCGGCAAAAGGCGAACGCTGTTCCTGGACAAATATCATGTTCACGTGTGTTATCACATTCTCTGCAAGTCAGACAACTCATCTTTCTGCTTTTTGTACTGCACGAGACAAATATCCTTTGCCCCTTGGCTTCCTGTGCCAAGTAGCCACATCGCTTGAACAGACCCATGCGGCTGTCACAAACCCGTCAAGAAACCGGCACGGGTTTGCATGCCGCGCTTTGAGAGCACCCTACTTAGTGGAAACAAAACAGGGGGACGCTTCTGGGGGTTGGTTTCAATGAAAACCAAAGACCACACATGTTGGGGGTTCCCCCAATTTTGAGACCAACCCATTTGTTGAGTTACTCAAACTAATTAAGTTGGAAAGAGGCTGGGGTTGATTAAGCTGAGCTGTGGCACCAGCGATTTTCTCCCCCGCCTGCGGCCTTCCCTCGAGGAACTTGCAGTAGGTGCCTTGTCGGGACATGCCCGCGGGCGTAAACACGCGGTCCCGAAAAGCCGCCGGCAGGGGCTTGCTCGTGAGGTGTTCCACCATGAGCCCGAGCAACAAGTAGTTCCTTACAAGCAGCCTTCAACAAGCAGCTGCGAAAATTGTGCCCCCCCCAACCACAAAAATAAGCTGAGGCGATATCCGCAACAGCACAGAACTCTCGCGGAACCCGCCCCGGACCACCCCGGAACCTTCGCGGAGCTTTGGCAGAACTCTCGCAGAATCCTCGCGGAACCTTACCTCAGAGCCGCCCCAGACTACCCCGGAGCCTATCCGGGCAGAGACCCCATCGCTTTCAGCTGTTGGGGGAAAAACCCCAGCCCTCAGCAACCAGTTGTCATGAAGGGGGCATTTGGGCATGTGGCAAAGTTTTGCAGCGGATCTGTCTCACGAAGTCGAGCAGTGTGCTAGTCCTTGCCACAAGTTAGCAGCGGGGTTTGACTTGATGTACGGCCGTGCTTTTGTTCCGGCTGGGGACAGTGATTCAGCTACTAGCACGAGTTGGCATGGCAACTGCAGCTGGGGAAGGAAAAAAGACAATAACTATAGAGAGCACGAGTGATAAACATGTTCAGTTAAGAAACGACTGTGCTATGATGATTGAATGGTGGTAATGCATTTAATAGAACATATTCAATTTATAAATGGCAGTGCTTTGGTTTTGGCGTGTGTGTGTGTGTGTTGCATGTGTTTGCACATGTTTTCCATTTGTGTTGTATCTGTTTGCACTTATTGTGGGTTATTTTGCTTGGATTATCGTGGGCCTTGTGTGTGGTCATCTTTTCCTTTTTTGTTTGTTATATCTTTTTTGCTTGCTTTACCTTTTTTGTCTTATTTCATCTTGTGTTTTCTTGGTATAACCTTTTTTCTACCTTGTTCTATCTTATTTTATTTTTTGCACTTGAGATGCACACATAAGATAATTTGAGACAAGGTCTAATCCCCGTAAATCTGGTACCCATCTTGTTTTTAATGAAAAACCTAGGGGCCTGAAACTTGGCGTTCCTACAGAGAGTGAGCCGCACCATCCGGCAACGGCCGGGCCCAGTTGCACTGGGATGGGCGGCCCATAGTTCGCGGGGGTCCCGTTCGCACCTCGGGCCCTCATCGGCTTCCGATTGCACCGTCTGTCACCTGTACTACGCTTACATCACCAAGCTTTTTGCTTTATACAGTTGAGGCGGGCTCCTAAGCAAATCCGGCGCTGCAGCAACTGGGGGGCCAACAGGTGACCAGGGCCCGACGGAGCAATCGGGGCCTGTCGAGCCTCGACCAGGCTAGCCACCAACTATCCCGGTTTTGCTTAGACGCCGCCTTAACTGAAAAACAGGCACGGCTGACGGGGCCCGAACCAAATCCGTAAAGAGAGGAAACTAGAGGACGATTGGCCCGAAAGCATTTTTCCACAGGTGCTAATCCAGCTGTGGGGACACCTTTTTACATCGCTGCGGCGAGCGTGTCTGCGCGCGGCGATGCTCAGTGTGTATGGTCACATGAGAGCTCCATCTCATCATCCTACTTTCCTCTCGAACTGCGCCGCGCGATTTCTCACGAAAGTGGTCTGCGCAAGCTGCATTGTTCCAGGCTGCTGCGGGCAAGTTGCTCTCTGCAAGCTGCTGCGCGCAAGTGCTCTGTGCAAGTTGCTCTGCGCAAGTGCTCTGAGCAAGTTGCTCTGCGCAAGTGCTCTGCGCCAGTTGCTCCGCGCAAGCGCTTTGCGCATGTGCTCTGTGCAAGTTGGTCTGTGCAAGTTGCTCTGCGCCTGCTCTGTGCAAGTTGCTCTGCGCAAGTGCTCTGAGCAAGTTGCGCTGCGCAAGGGCTCTGCGCCAGTTGCTCCGTGCAAGCGCTTTGCGCATGTGCTCTGTGCAAGTTGGTCTGTGCAAGTTGCTCTGCGCAAGTGCTTTGTGCAATTGCTCTGTGCAAGTTGCTCTGCGCAAGTGACTCTGCGCAAGTTGCTCTGCGCAAGTGCTGCCGGAGCTGCGGGGGTGTGCTCCGCGTACTACGTTTGTACTTAAAAGTTGCGATTCTCCAGCCGGAGCTGCGGGGGTGTGCTCCGCGTACTACGTTTGTACTTAAAAGTTGCGATTTTCCAGCCTGAGCTGCGGGAGCACGCTCCGCATACTACGTCTGTACTTAAAAATTGCGATTTTCCACCCGGAGCTGCAGGAGCACGCTCCGCGTACTACGTTTGTACTTAAAAGTTACGATTTTCCAGCCGGAGCTGCAGGAGCACGCTCCGCGTACCGGAGCTGCCGCGGACCAGGGGGAAATCGAGCCCGCGACCGCGGGATTGCGAAAGCAGGCGCGCAAACCACGAGACGACTTCCAAAGGCCGTTTCGCGAGCAAGAATATTGCACGGCGCCACAGCGAGAGCGCTTCGACATGCACAATCTCCGCAGAGGGTTCGCCGAGACTAAGACAAATTCGCGCGGCGCCACAGCGAGAGAGCTTCGACGCGCACGATCTCCGCAGAAGGTCGCGCGCGCACCGCAGAAATCGTACAAAGTCCTCAGTTTTTGAACCTCGACCACGCGAATCTCCGCAGAGGGTCGCGCGCGCATGCTACAAATCGTAAAAAGTCCTCAGTTTTTGAACCTCGACCACGCAAATCTCCGCAGAGGGTCGCGCGCACATGCTACAAGTCCTCAGTTTTTGAACCTCGACCACGCGAATCTCCGCAGAGGGTCGCGCGCGCATGCTAAAAATCGTAAAAAGTCCTCAGTTTTTGAACCTCGACCACGCGAATCTCCGCAGAGGGTCGCGCGCGCAGCAGAAATCGTAAAAAGTCCTCAGTTTTTGAACCTCGCACCACGCGAATCGTCCTCAGTTTTTGAACCTCGACCACGCGAATCTCCGCAGAGGGTCGCAATCCCGAGCGACGATCAAACTCCCGCCCCGGCGCCTTAGAAACCTAAACTAACTTACATAGCTGCTAACGCCGAAGCTCTAAGCTCTACCTAACCTTGGCTCCTTGGCTCTATGTAACTTGGCTCTATGTAACTTGGCTATGTATGTAACTTGGCTCTATGTAACTTGGCTCTATGTAACTTGGCTCTATGTAACTTGGCTCTATGTAACTTGGCTCTATGTAACTTGGCTCTATGTAACTTGGCTCTATGTAACTTGGCTCTATGTAACTTGGCTCTATGTAACTTGGCTCTATGTATTGGCTCTATGTACTTTGGCTCTATGTAACTTGGCTCTATGTAACTTGGCTCTATGTAACTTGGCTCTATGTAACTTGGCTCTATGTAACTTGGCTCTATGTAACTTGGCTCTATGTAACTTGGCTCTATGTAACTTGGCTCTATGTAACTTGGCTCTATGTAACTTGGCTCTATGTAACTTGGCTCTATGTAACTTGGCTCTATGTAACTTGGCTCTAAACTTGGGCTCCGCACGGAAGAACCCTTCGCGATGCTTTCGGGAAAAACAGGCACGGCTGACCGGGCCCGAACGGCGACGGCAGGCCCCGACTGTCGGGCAGCTGGCTTCGATCATGGCCCGGAGGCGCAAACTCCAAGCCACTGCAAAAAGCAAAGCTGGGCGATGAGCACATCTGGACGATGCCAGCTTGATACAGCCTGACGGGTCCGACAGAGGCTCGACGGTGCAAGCCAGCCCGACAGTACAATTGACCTGAGCCCGACAGTGCAGTTGGGCCTTGACCGAGAGCTGCAAGCCGGCCCTGAGGCCAACCAAGCCCAGAGACCCATTTCTTTTTCTTGTAGTCGTTGTTCAAAATGTTTTTTTTTAACTTTTCTTCCCCAACAGCTGAAAGCTGTGGGGCCTCAGCCAGCCCAGATAGGCTCCGGGGTGGTCCGGCGGCCCTGAGGCAAGGTTGCAGAAGGGTTGCACAGGGTTTCCACCAAGTTCCACGAGGTTCTGCACCGCATGCTGTTGGGGATATCACCTGAGCTTCTTTCTTACATTTTTATCTTTGTTCATTGTTTGACCTTTGGGCTCTATATAAATATGGTTGTGTTTTTTTGTGTTGACCAGTTTTGGTCTTTAGCATCTTCCTATTAGAAGACACAACAGATACTAAGCTCAGACTCAGTGTCTGGTATCTAGACTATCTACTTACTCTCCCTTATATCCGCATTATCTTGCCACGAGCCTTCTTAGCGGGGCCCGGTGGTGCAAGCGGGGCCCCGGGAAAGTGCAAACCGCCAATCCAATCCACCTCACCGCCGGTTTTGCTGAGGATGCCGCCTTGTAACTTTAGAAAGCAAGGCTAGAGCCTTGTGGAACCCTCGTGGTGGAACCCTTGTGGACCCTTACGCCCCGGACCACCCGCAGCCCTCGCAGAACCTCGTGGAACCCTGGTGGAACCGTGGAACCCTCGTGGAACCCTCGTGGAACCCTCGTGGAACCTTACCTCAATCATTCTGGACGCCAGCAAACATCTGAACGGAACATGACATGCCCAAACACGCAAAAGGGAGAGCCTCACAAGATGACGGCACAGACCTCCAGTTTACGACATTTGCCATTTTTTGGACAAGGCTCGTGTCTGCATAGTGGAATGCTGACTCCTTCCCGCGGTCCCGCTGTTCGCAGGGTGTCTGCATCGCGGCCGCATAGCTGAGAAGCTCCCAGGTTTGCCATACTCGGTCAGGCTTAGCCTCGAGGGGCTAAACATTTGCTTGACAAACCAGGCCCTAGCCACTATTGAAGGAACCCAATAGGAGGTTCAATTCAAGAGGTGATTCAGCAGGTGACAGGGGGTTGGCCCAACCTGCCTCGAAGGCTTTGACAAAGTCAGAGCCATCCTCCCAGTAGTTCGGCAAACAACCTCATGGCGGAGGGAGAAAGCAAGTTTCTGCTCCGCAAATAGGATTCAAGCAGCTTCCAAGGGCTATCAAAATGGTACCTAAAAAGTGCCCGACTTACCTTTGAGTGGATGTTGACCACTTTCAAGTTGATCTTCCCAAACGGTGGGCTAAACTGAACACGACCTCAGGGAGTGAGGTGGCCTTTCTGGATTTTTGGGGCACTTTGACAGCCCGAAGATACTGGACACTGCGCCTGCTTGCAGGTCGCCTGGGTGGCCAGTTTTACCCAAGGCCAAATCCTGCACCACCTAAGAAACCCGGCAATGAGAACTCCACTGTTTCCGACAAGCAATGGTTTCTCATGGTTTCAACGTGGCGCAGGAATGCGTCCATCCAGTTCAGGCACAAAACAGTGCCCCCGCATCTCAACAGCTCCCTGGAATGCCCCTACCATGGGAAGGCACCGCCCAACCTCGCTGCTTCTGCGATGGCAGGCTTTCGCACGTTCATGGGCCAGCTCGTGCTAGTTCGAAAGCCCGCACTCTCAAAAGCTCAGGTTCTTCGGCATCCAGTCACCACGGCAACAATAGGCATATTTTCCCAGCTTTGGCATTGAACAGGGCATCGCCGGAGCGGGGGGGGGGGGGGTAATCCTTAGCCCGTGGTGCCAAGATAAGGGGAGCCACCAGCTGGCAAACAGATTTCGGACCGCAACCCTCGAGCCAAGTCTCTGGTGTGCTGCAGAAGCTGCATCACCGTCACGTTGCTGAAGCGTGCGGGCCAAGCGGGGACATGCTCCTGCGGGAAGCAAAGAGGTCTCATCCAAGGAATGCATGCCCTCCAAACGTGCCAAAGGACGCACGAAATTGGTGCAACACATCGTCCGACCAAGTTCAAGGTGAAGCTCCAACCAAATGGTATCACCCCCAAACTGATTGGCTTCCTTTGGCATCCCAAAGCCAACCTGACAAAGGCGAACCTCAAAGAACATACTCCCCGGCCCCTCTGCAAACAACCGCCAAGTTGTGGTCTTCTCCCTGGCCCCATCCTGCACATTGCCTGCCACCGCGCCATTGCCCACAGAGGCCCAGTACCTCGCTGCCCAAGGGGGGCACCGAAAGCGATAGCCCTTGCATAGCTCCATGGAATGAAACCAAAAGCAACGCACACGGCTGTCTTCTCCAAAACTTGTTTTGGGATTGGTCGACAGAGGAGCCCAAATTGGAGACAAACCCGAGCTTTGAACTTTGGCAGGCAAACCAGAAGGAAACTGCTGTTGCCCGGTGACACTGGAAGAAGAATTGGCCATTTCTTTTTGGGATTCAAAGTACCTCAAAATAAATGGTGTTTGAGCCCAACCAAACCGGCCGGGACTTTCCCGTAGGCCTACCGGGGTCAGCGAAATTTGGGGCCCGGGCTGGTCCAGCTGCAGGTGGCCCTCCTCTACGAGTTGCAGCACCACAGTGGCCGTGACCATCTTCGTAACGGAGGCCACCTCACGGCATGTTTTTTTCGGATGCGGGGCCAGGGGCGGGCCCCAAAATGTTGACCCCGGAAAAAGACAAAAAAGGACGCATGTTGATTCATATGGGGTGTTCCCTGCCAAAAGTGATGAACCGCCAATAATTTCAGGGACACCCGCATATTAACGAACAGGAGTTGATTCACCTGCGGTCAACATCAACACCCAGGGCCGGGTGTCTAACAATGGAGTTGGGCATGGCTGGGAATCGCCTCGCCGAGCTGACGCCCACTGAATATCAATCACGGAAGCCAGGGTTACGAGACACAGGCATGTTTCCCATGCCAGCCCCTTAGGCTTTTCGCTGCATTCTTGTTTAACACCATCCTGTGCTTTGTGTTTGCATTCCTTCCCACTGCGCCCCTTTTGTCAAATTCTGACTTGGAGCCATAGCAAGGCGAGCCATGGACAGATGATGACCCTTCCATGTCCATGAATGAGGGTAGGTCCAACCTTTTGTGGGCTTAGTGGACCAAGCCACTTGTTCCCGAAAGGTCTAAGGTCAGCTTCCCTCTAATTGGCGGTTTGGCAGTTAAGGAGGGGTTTCTCCTTCACCCTCTACGAAAGCCAGGGCTTCAAATCCCACCAATCCAAACCACCTAAGGGTCACCTGATAAACTCATGATAAGGAGAGAAACCACCAATCCAAACCACCAACCTGATACGGGGCGAAAGGTCACACCAAAGGACCAGCGATGGCTTATGAGTAGTGCGCCTCAAAGGCATCATTGATGGAGACTCGCGCCATGCTGCCTGCGGCTTGGCGAGCTGGCGGGAGCAGTGGCCGCTAATATAGCGTTTCCACTGCCACTTTACCCAGCCGGGGGGGAATTGCTTGAGAGCTGTGATGAGAGGCCCCTGAAAGGCTTGGGAGAATCGTCCCTTGAAAGGTCCTTTGAATGGGGGTGTAGGGGCATCAGCCCTGGAGCAGAGCTTAAACTGATCCAGGGATCACTCCAGTCTTCTTAGGCGCTAAATATGTTTGGAAGGCAAGGTTAGGTTTGGAAGGCTACGTCACGGAGGAAGGCTTGCACTTGGATGCTCAATCAGGATTTGGTTGATTCTACGGTCGCTAAGTCAAGTTTAAACGTTTGAACCTTTGGATAGGTTGGGCACCCCAGATTCTGCGCAGAAGGAGAACACATTTAGTCTCTCCAAATATATCGTTGGGCTGGCTTGGAAAGGGCACTTTCCAAGCCTCTCGTTGAGGGTATTTACTTTTTTTTTGGATGGGTTCAAACGACGCCAAGAGGGAAATTCGCGTTTCTTGGGGGCCCAGGGGCTCCCGCGCCAAAGAAGGCCTGTGGTCAGAAAGCCGGCTGCCCCGGCAAAGAGCAGCGAGTCGTCAAAGGTGCTCGTCGCCTCGCGTGCGAGTTCGTTTCTGTGGTCGTTGTTCGAAAGGACAACAGGGGCAAGGCAAGGCACCATGCCAACCAAGAACGAGACAGCCTTTAACGAGAATGGCTGGTTACCTGCATAGGTACCAGAGATCCACTGGTACAACTTGCTGAAGAGCTTGCCAAGTGGTTGGGATTGGTGTACACAAATTATGAGTGCTTAAGAAACATGCTATTGGTTCCTCCTGGAAGGGTGCCTGCCAGGGCGTGTTGCCTGGTTGCAACTTAACTGTTCATAGGGCACCATGTCCAAACATGAACCCAGATGGCCCGGGTATAAAGCCCTAAGTTGGTTCTGGGTTTGTGTACTATCTGTGGCTTGACTATGGCTTAAGTATGGAGATAAGACCTGCAAATGGGACCAATATTGCATCCATGCAATCAACCTACCCGAAATAAAAAGGCAAAATGCGTTTGAAGAACACAGATCAACTGACTTCCTGAGTGGCTGGCCCAAAAATGTTTAAGCTATTTTTGTATGCCACTAAAATGGTTTTCCCAATCCATGAACTCAGGAAGTGAGTCAAACAAGTGCCTGCCTATGGACCCCTAAGTTGTCAGTGAATGAACTGCTGGGTAGGCGACTCCTTGGCTGTCCTTTAAAAACCACCCAAACACGGGTACCCTGTTTCCAAGAAATGGAAGTGGACAGGTTCAAGAAAACTGTGGTGTTCCGATACCCTATCAGCTTCCATGATTGGAAAACGGGGTAAAATCTGCATGGGCTTCAATTGTGCCATCTTAATTTCAACTGACCCGCACTCCCCGCCCCCCCCAACCCCCCCCCCCCCGTGCAACACCACAACTGACTCGCGCTTTTCTGGGGGCCGAAATGGGTCGCCTGCAGGAAGACGCCCCCGTAGCGCCCGAAGCTCCGCGCGGCGCGAGAGATGGCCCATTGCAACACGCCGCTGCCTGCCCCTGAGGCCTGACACAGCAGGGCCCTCCGGGGGGCTCCAGGCGTGAGGTAAAACAGTTTCCTCCAGTAATTATGGAGGTTAGAATAGGGGTATTTTTTGTTTTTTGGCTGTAGTCTATTTCAGGAGGGGGACCTAGCACATTGTAGAGCACTTTGAAAAAAGGCCGAAACGCAACTCGGGGTATTTGTAGGGCACGTGTGAAGCAACTTCGGACAAAATAAGAGGGGCAACGTGTGAGTAACTCTCAGATGCCGGCTGGGGCATCTAAAAGCATCCTGGTTTGACAGTAAAATGAGTTGCGCCAAACATGTTGAAACAACCCAAGTTGCTCTGACGCCTCAGGAATCCCAAGAACCAGAGACCCCCTTCGCGAGATTTTTTGTTGAGGCGTCTACTTCAAACATCGCGCAGAGCCGAGGTCTCAAAACACAAACATGCAGGCTTGACAAGTGGCCGATGCGCGCCGCAGGCGGATCAAATCGTGCAATGAAAGCCATCTTCCACCTGAAGGAGCTACTTAGACTATGCTTCAGTGTTAGCAAACTTGTGGAACACAATAACCCGTAGATCGTTCTGATAGTGTGAAACCCCCTACAAAGATGGCCCACCAGAGCTCCAAATTCTAACTTGGGTCCACGTGCTGGCTCCGTTTGGGGCAGCAAAGAGGCAGTCCCTCTTGAAGCGTATGGCAACTCGCTGCAAGAAAGTCTGCCCATTTTCAACCAAAAAGGAGGGGGTGAGAAGGCAAACCTGAAAGTGTCGAATCTTGGCCCATATTTGGGGCAAAAACAATACTGTATGTGCAAATGCTTGTCCAAATTGAACCCGCCCGGAGGAGACCCCACGCATTGGGCCAACACGAGGCACGGGACCACAAAACCGGAAGCCTCTGCCCCAGCTGCGCGGTCCACACCCATGGCTGAAGAATCTTGCGAGGCAAGCCGTCCCAATTTTGGGCCAGGCTGCAAACGCACAGCCTTCAAGCATTTGCAACACAAGACCCAGCAAATCTGCGGGGCTTGCGCCATTTGAACTTCGTAAGTCCTATTGAAGAGCTCCACTGGGCCCAAGCCTCTTTGACCTCCATGCCTCTGGCCCCTTTCTGGACTTGTTTGCCCGACGTTCAATGGATATCACGCCCTCTGGGGCTGCCCATCACTTGCCGGCAACCAGGGACTGAGTGTTGAAGCGCGAAACTGTGCCGCATACACGGCGTCATGCTCAACCCACTTTGTAAGTGGCTTGGGACCGGGTGGCCATGGTTCTAAGAGAAATAAACTCAATCCCAGCTATAACCATGGCTTAACCTACGCAGGAAGTGGGTTGAGCTCCAAGGGAAGACATGCCACACGTACTTTGTTGCAGTCTGCTTTCTTGGGGATCCTATGATTTAGCCTTGTTGGAGGCAGGAAGCAGGACCTTGCATCTGTTCCTGTTGCACATCGCACCACCAAAAAGACCCTCAATCCCAGTTGGCCAAACAGGGTCAGGGTTGAATCAACCAATAAGACTTTGTGCGTCCCAAGGAAAGCCCAGGTTCGGAGGAAAACTGGGTTCTGAATAGGCGGGCTGGACAAACTAACAAATGATTAAATCTTCTTTTGGTGTCCTTTGGGGCAAACAAGGTTTATCTTGCTGGTGGTTGGGAATGACCAGGTTTTGGAAATGAACCTAGGGATTCCTTTACGGAAGCCATAGGGGCTGGTTTATGGGGGTCATTCCATTTCTCTTTCGCTGCTGGAATTCAGCAAGTGAGCGCCCGAAGCACGAGCCGAGCCGCCCCTTTGACTTTTTCTCCTCGGAAGCGCAGTTTGCCAGCGGCAAAGCAGCGCTCGCCAAACCTCGCGCCTCAGAGTTTCGACGTCACCTCTGGCGGCGAATGTCGCTCGCCCGCGCGGATGTTGCCTCAGCGTTGTGCGAGACTGACATAGCAAACTTGTCAAGTACTTTGCCACCCCAAGGGTGGGCCGAGCTTCCAACTCTCACCTAAAGGTGTTCCGGCCGGCCTGCTGGTTTTGAGCGGCCAGGCACCGCAGGAAGGACGCCTCATGGTGATTTTCTATCACCTTGTCATAGGGCAACCTTCTGAAAACTTGGAAGGACGCCCCACGAACATTTTGAAACACTAAGCCTCAAGGGAAGCCAAGGGAAGCCAAAGAGAGCCATGTGGATGTTGTTTCGGCATGTCCCGCAATTCTGATGGTGGCGTCCCTCGGACTAACCCGAAGGGCCATATTAATCAAAGGACTCCCGTATACGGCCATGCCAATCTCAAAAGGGCGTGCCGCCCCAATGCCCAAGTTGACGTTGACCCAGAGGCAAGCCACTATACCGACCCATGCCCGTCTTCCCATCGAACGGAAGTTCCCTTGCAAATCAACTAGCGAAGAATTGGTTCCTGCTTTCATGGCCGCTGGACGTGAAAGAAAGGCAGGGTTTTTAACACCAAGCTTTTAGCGCGGTCCCCTTGCTTACCTGCAACACGGATAAGTGGAATTACTGTGCAAGATTTCTGCGCGAAAGTGTGCGAGAAGGGCGACTCTCTCAACAAAAAAGAGGTAAGGCATGGGCGCCAAAAAGTGGTGTCCACCCAAAAACGAGACATCTGCCCCTGGAAAACTCTTAGAACTCGTGACCCTCCTGTGGGGTCCTGGTTTGGACGATGTTCCTTCAAAACGAACTCTCTGGCCCCGAATGGAAATAAACCAACTTTCTGGGGCTCGGGCTCTCCAGCAGCCGGTTCACCGCATCCGCATCTTGGAAGATCAGGCCGTGGCCGACACCATCTAGCACATGCACCTGGCATTGGGGGGGGAGGTTGGGCGCAAGGATTTTGGAGGCGACCTGGGAAAAAATGGTTTTGAGACAAGCCAAAGATTGCATGCGTTTCTTTCCCAGTTGGCCAAAGTGTATGACTTTTGGGACTGGGTCTGTTCTCCCAGCACCAACAGCAAGCTATGTTTTTGTACGTGCACCCCTGAGCTCGAGCTCAAGGACTTGGAGACAAGAGCTGGCACCTCGAAACGACCTATGGGCGACTGAAAAAGCAGCCCTGAAATGTCCATGCGTTTTCTGAATTCATGTCAGGTCGGTTTCTCCCGGTTTGCCAATTTATAGGGTTTCCTTTTGTGGAAACAAAGAACCTGGACGCAAAGGGCGATCACCTGTTGAGACTTGAACTTTGGCAAGCCAAACGGTCCAAACATCAGCTCTGTTTCACATTCAATCGCCACTATCGACCATCCAAAAAAGAAGAAGGGGACACGTTCATTCACAATTGAAACCCTGTATTCACATATGTCAAGCCCCTTTCTGCATGGGACATGTCCTGTAACGAAGCTTTCTCTGCGTCCGGGGGGGTCCCGCTGTACATGTCCGGCCAAAAAGCAAAAAGGACAACGGTCAAAAAGGTGCCCAATGGCTTCTACACCACTAAAGGGATGTTCGATTTGCGTTGTAGTGAAAAAGGAGGTCTGCCAAATAAAGCAACGCCCAATCCCCTTTTGGCCTTGGGGAACAAAAAAGGCTACTTAGCACCTAGAGTTGCTTCATTCGCAACATGATTGCTGCTGGCTTCTGGATGACCATTCCTGAAGGGGTAAATTGGTCTGCTTTCTTTGGATTCCCTTCCGGGACCAGCATGGGAGCAGCCCTGTTGGGAGGGGGGGACGCGTAGCTCCCCCATTCTTTCCAGGTCCCTTCTTTCCAGAAAACTCCCAGCTGGAGAAACAAATTGCTGGCGGAACGAAAATCAACCCAGGTGACGCGAAGAAAAACAAAAACAAAAACGGTGGAGCGCTTGCATGGTGTGCCTGGGTATCGAAATGCTCCGCGATGATGGTGGAGTTCACCGGCCGCACCAGGCAGTCCTACGCTCAACGTGCTCACCGCGTGTCTCATGCCCCCCGGGCCTTCGGCAGATCTGCCTGGAGAGGTGGCTATGAGCCAAAACCCAAATCGGCTAGCCCCCAGTGAACATCATCCCCACTAACATGGACAACAAATTGCGTGGTGCACCGAAAACCCCCCATATTCCCACTAAAATAGGTTCTAACATGGGCGGTGCACCAAAAACCCCCAAAATGGGATCCCATTGGGGTTGACCCACGGCCAGGTGTTTACGTCCAGGTGAGAGAACAAAGGCGATCAAAAGTGCCCTCCGAGTTTCAGCTTTTTGCTTTGCTTTGGTGACTTTCGGTCACGCATGGTTGGTGGAACACTTGAGGGGAAAGGTGCTTTGAAACAAGATGGAACTAAATTCCAAGCCTCCTGGTCTCAATTCCCACAAATTCAAAACACCTGCAAGGAGGACATTTTGGATTGGGCTTAAATGGAAACCAAAAGAAACGCGCAAAATGGTTGTCGTGCCGTCCACTTTCCTGGAAGCGTCCCACACCTGGACTAAGCTTCCGTGCAAACAAGGGCCCCTTTTTGAAAGCTGAATTTAAAGGGACCCCCACAAAACAAGAGGAAAAGGAAATGCCAAACGCTGGAAGTCGGGACTCCTTATCTTTTCTCACTTCTTGAGTAAATAGGCTGGCCCAAACAGTCCAAACAGGTCCAAACCGTGGTCTTCCCAAAAAGCTGACAACGTGAACGATGGCACAACCGGGGCAAAGGGGAGAACTCACCCAACGGCCGGAATTGTGAAAAAATCCTTCACCTAACTGTAAACTTGGCCCACCAAAACTCGTGGATTTTCAGCTTCTGTTTTCACACCTCGCCCAAAATATACGGTATTGCTTTGGTTAGACCAAAGAAGCCCTGGAACCCGAGTTCCGGAAATCGGCCTACCAACTGGCTCTCAACAGCAAAGTGACCTCAAACCGTCCAAGGTTCCGTCCCAACAGCCAAAGGCTTCCACTTTGGACAGCGTGTGATTCCTTACTAGGCACCGGGGACCAACGGCTCGCTCCACCCCGCGGCGCGTTTCCGCGTTTCTGCGTTTCCGCGTTTCCTGGCTGCCGGTCAGGACCAGCACCGGCACCTTCCGCCTCCGCAGCTCGGCGCAGCGGCCTTTGCCCACGTGGTGGGTCAAGACCTGAGCTGGACCCGGGCGAAACCAAGCCTTGGTCCGTTTTTTTCCTTTTGAGGGGAGCCATATTTGTTGGGTAGGTTTCAATGGGAATTCCAAAGGAACACAGGTTTGGGGGGTTCTCTAAATTCAGCTTCCCACGAAATGGTGGTGTGGAGGTTGGTTTGGTGGTTGGGGGTGGTGTCCTCATTTACCCTCTGCCAGAACCAGGGATTCAAATCCCCAAGCCACAAATCCAAACCAAACTGCGGGTTACCTGAAACTTTTTTTTTGCAGCCCACCACTAAAAATGAGCAGAACAAGCAAACTAAAACCTAAACACCTGCCAACAACCGTGAGTGGTTCTCAGGGAAAGGGTTGGAACCGCCCTGGACTGGGCCATTTCTGGCGGAATCCCTAAGTTCATTTCCAAAGCCGTGTGCCAATGTGGTTGGTGTCCCCTTGGTTTTCCTGTTAAAAAAGACAGACACACACACAAAACAATCCAAAGAGGGATCCTACCATTCTGAAAGCACGGAAAGTCTCACTAAACATCGCCCTTTTGCCCTGTTGGCTTCCCTTTAAACTATTTAGCCCCCAAGTAGGCCAATTTCGCACTCACCCCAAAGACGTTTCCTTGGCGCGATTCACCCGAAATGCACACAGGTGGCTGCCGTGAGCTGCTTGGCCATCTCGTCGGGGTGCGTGCGCGGGGGCGGCTTGAAGCCCTTGCCTCGGCTCAACGCTATCAGAGAGGCAGGCCGAGGAGACAGTGGCACCCTGTTTCCTTTTGGGGGTCCCCTTTCTTTGAGGGGGTGGTTCTGCTTGCTGGCTATTTCCCAATTCCCCCTTCAAGGCCTCCCTTTTTCTTTGGGGCGGTTGTTGCCGGGATTTGTTTGATTGGCTTCTGACTTTGGGAGATCCCAACAAAACTAGCCAACGTGTGGTTTCCTCTCAGAGGATCCACCCGCTTCATTCCCCAAAACCCATCACACCTATTGAGAACCAGCCGCTTTCCCTTTTTGGGTGGGCCTGAGTCCAATGAGATGAGCATTGTGAGGTGAGGGGTTCTCAAAACTACTTTTTGGGGTCGGAGTCGTTCAAATACATGTTTGCAACGTACACTTGTCCAAAAGCTGGCCCTAACAGGACAACCCTGGTTGCACAAACGTGAAGTTTCACAGCTGCGCCTGCCAACTGAGACCTCTTCCATCCATCAGTATCCCATTACCGTCATACTTTCAAATATGTCATGTTTAGCCAACCTTGAAGTGACATCCTCAAAACTACCCGTGTTCAAAAGGGAACGTCTCACTGTGGACCCTACCGGAGACCTCACACACCTGTGAGATCGAATGGACCCAAATGAAAGTCGCATGGGAAAGCTGGCTTCATCGCGTTCGGTTCCTGCACTGTCGGGACAATGCATGGAAATGCCCAATTTGCTTGCTTCTTGGCATACCCCAAGAGGAAAACTACACTGTGATCCCCAAACAATATTGCGTGCTTCCCTGGGACAATTGTATGCACTTCTGTGGTCCCTGGTTTTTGTGGACAATTTGGGTTGTCACCCATGTCCTACCCAAACCAAACATACGAGCAATGTCCTTGTCAGTGCGCATGATAAAAATCCGTGGCAGCCTAAGGACTGGCAAGAGGAGGATTGACCCTTGACCAAATGAGTCCAGGGTTAAAGACACAAACATATTTATTGCGTCTCTATTTTATCCCCCCCAGCCCGGTAGCTTCACATGCAATAACACCTCCAACAACAAATCCACCACACAAGTCCGCCACTTCTTCCCCCCAAAAAGCTCTTTCAGTACTCCGGAGCCGCGCGTTTGGGTGGAAACCCCCGCCCCAATTTCTTGGATCCTGGGGGCTCTTGAGCTCCGGAGGCACCTCCAGGGCCATCAAAATGAAGGCTTTGTTCACCCACCTGCCAGGGGTGTGGGGTGGGGGTGGGTGGGTGGGGTGGGTGGGGTGGGGTGTGTGGGGTGGGTGGGTGGGATGGGTGGGGTGGGTGGGGTGGGTGGGGTGGGTGGGATGGGATGGGTGGGGTGGGGTGGGTGGGGTGAGGGGGGGGGAACTGGATCCTAAAGGGAAAAAGCGCCAAAGGTGCGTGGGGTAGTTCTTTAACAGTGGGGGGCACAACTTCTCCATCTGCTTGCGGCGGCCGGTCGGGCGAATCAAACACTCATCGATTTGCACCTGGACAAGAAAGGATTGAAGCGGTTGGAGCCCGGGATTCTTGATGCTAATTAAGGAGGGCGGTCTGTACTCCCGACGTGTGTGTGATAGAGATGTTGCCGTTTAAGACCCACCCGGAAACCAGGCACTTGGCGCGCCGTGGGTTCCACCTTGCCTGCTTCAGGGAGGAACGTGCAGTTGACTCAGGGTTCCCTACCTGGTGCCTGAGAACATTTCCTGAGGACTTTTTGGTTTCTCCCTTTCACAAAGCACTTGCTGCTAGTTCACGAGGGAAGCGTGATTTCCTTCAACGGAAAGAGGGGTACTTTGAGCAAACCAAAGAGCAAGCCAGAAGTCCCCTCCCTGCCAGGGTTGGTTTCACATTTGGCTGTGGGTCAAAAATAGGTAGCCGGAAAGGACCCTGGTAAATGGAAACATGGACTAAAACCTGCGGTCCATATCCTGGTGGTTTAATTTTGACCCATACCCATTTGATCAAACAACCACCCCCAAATGCCCTTGACCCAAAGGAGGCCTACTCTTTGAACAGCGAAAATCATGGTTTGAACCTACTCCCCCACAACATGGGTCTGTGCACAAAGCTCCTTTCCAAGAGGTCGTCTTTCTTTTTCTGGGTCTCTGCACTTCCATGTTCGCTGGGTATGGCTTAACTGGCCTCATTATTTTACCATGATCAAAGTCACCCCTAAGTGGTGGGTTAGAGGGAAACAACCGAAATGAATGCCATTTTCTGAACATGATCACCCCCCAGAAACCCTCAAAATCATGACCCCAGCTGAAGTCAGGGGTTTCAACCAAGCTGGGCCAAATTTTGCCACACATTGCCCCTCGCCTTTGGTGGGTCACCTCCTTCCCCTCATGCAGCTCGGAGCTCTGGGTCTGCACCAGCCAGTCCTCTGGGAAGTTCAGGCGCATGGACGCACGGGCCATCTCCTGCGCTGAAGGGCTCCCAATACATCCAGGGGTGGATTCCCCGCTTCCCGAATCGAGTGGCCCACCCACAAATAGGGGCTCAACCAAATCAGGGTTCCTTGCAAAAAAATACCCATTTTGCGGTCACCTGAATTCAGTTTCTGGTACTTGCCCTTAGCCTTTCACAACCCACCCCTATGTTGGCAGCCCTAGTTTTGGGATCTCAATCTAACTTGTCCCGCATAATCCGAATAGGAAAGCAAAACGGGCTCAAAGGAAAAGGACTCCCAAACCACATCCTCAAGAGAGGTAACACTTGGCACTCTTGACTTTTGATTGCTTCACTCCTCCGTTTTATCAGAGGTCCCGGTCTCTCTGGAAGAAAGAACGCCAAAACACCCTAAGTGGGCGGTTGCTAATCAGGGGGGGTTAGGGTGAAAATCACAACTTTCCAACCCCGGTGCTGGTGCAAGACTTCGTTCTTGGCAGCCTGCCGGTAAAAAGCGAACAGGACCCAGCAACAACAACTAAAGCACATGCCAAGAGCAGTGATGCCATGTAAGGGCCTAGATCCAGGACTCCGCTGCAAGCGAATCCCCATTCCGCGGGCTCTAACACGGGTGGTAAGACACCGTGCAAGCAGAAGGCAACTCAGTCGCCCGTTCTCCTTCATGTCCCTTGTCAACCACCCGGTGGACCGCAGAAGGTCCAGCAAGGCCTGAAACCCATCGCTCGGGTTTAGGCGGGGAAGCTGTTGGCATCTTGGAGCCATGGTGCTGGGCTCCAAAGCGACAACTAGCTCGAATGGTGCCCTAACACTGGCCGGTCAGTGAATTTAACATTTGCGTGTGTGTGTGACTATATAGCGGCAACAGGGTACCCTCACGTCACATGGAAGACAAGCGACTTGGTAAGCAAAGCAAGCTCTTTCAGCGAGAGGCTTCTGCGAGAACCCAGCGAAAGACCCGTCGCGATGCTTTCAGGAGACTCTTGGGAGAAAACTCGCGGCGGGATTTCTGAGACTTTCGCAACTGGACATTTCACACAAAGTGCGGCCCACGGCAAAGACCCACTTAGCGGTGCCTGTTTGTCCAAGATGGGTGCAGCAAAGTGCCGAAAACAATGCCTGCGGGCTTCCTGGGCCTTTTGCAGCTTGAAATCTGCCACATGCTGCCAAGAGGGCATCCGCGAACGTCACGACGGATAAGAGCTCTTACCCATCCTTCGTGGTGATTGTTCTGCCCAATCTCTGAGCAACTCTTTTTTTGCGCAGGCTCTCTGTGCAAGTCTCTGAGCAAGGTCTCCCAGCAAGTTCTCTAAGGAAGTTGTTGTCCGCAAGTTTTCCCGAGCAGGTTCTCTAAGCAAGCTTGTCTCCGCAAGCTCTCTCAGCCAGCTTCTCGTCAGGCAAACTTCTCGGAGAAAGTCGTCTGATCAAGCTCTCTAGGCAAGTTCTCTATGCGAGCCCTCTGAGCAAGCCAGCGCAAGAGAACCCTTCGCGATGTTTTCGGCTTCGGGAAGGACATGTTCGAGGGATCTCAAACGAGTATTCAGATCTAAATCAGCACCAACGGGAAGGAACATGTGTGGCGCAAACAGCCGAGAGAACAGCCAACCCGTTGTCTAAAGTGGAGCTATGGGTCCCCAAGGAATTTCTTGTTAATGAGTGGATCAAGTGGGGAGGGGGGGGCCGGGGGGCGGCTGGTGTTAGATTGTTCCATGGATATTTGATATTTGTCTTCGGATCTTGTGCAGCACCGGCGCGGCTGCGAAACGCAAAGAAGGGACCTGGCGCAATAACGAGCCGTGCCGCAGCTTGGGGCCCACAAGCATGCCAAACGTATCGTGCGTTTTTGATTGTGCGCATTTGCCCTTTGAACGACAACAGCGACAAAACACAAAAACACACACACCAAAACAGCCAACAACAGAAACAGGCAAACAGACAAACAAACAAACAAACAGACAGCCGGACAGATCCGCAGTCAGACAGGCAGGCAGGCAGACAAACAAACGAAACAAGCGGGAACAAAAGAAGCCAGCAAGCAGTCAAGCAGGCAAGGAAGGTTTGAAGCAAGCAAGGAAGCACGCAAGCAAAGAGGCAAACAAACAAACAAACAAACACACAAGCAGACGTACAACACAGGCATACAAACGTACATGGAAAAACAGAGCAAACAAACAAAACAACGCAAATCACAAAACAAACAAACACACAATGCATCACACAAATAGACACACACACAAAAAAAAAAAAAAAACAGAACACAAACACACCGAAAGAAACAACCCAACCAACCAACCAAACGAACAAACCAAAACACAAAACAAGCGCACAAAAAAAAAAACAAGACGACACACGGCCGGACGGACAAACACATAAACAAACAAACACCTGACTCTCACAATAAATTGTGAGTGCACACACATTTTTGACACATGCATTTAACATGATTGGTCATTCATGTTCATGTTTTGCACATGTAAAGGTCACGCGACATCATACATGAAGCAACCAGCCCTGGCAATGCTTCAAGAACAGTAGCCAAGGCATCCAACCAACCAACCTGCCACTTCCCAGTAGAAAATCACGGCACCCAGGGATTCCCCTGAGAATCCACAGGTCAACAGTTGGGTTCAGTTCAGTTCGGGTCGTCACCCGCTCACTCTCTGAGAGCCCGTCAGCCCAACCAATCCATCCTGCAGGCGTTCCGGCCTTCACGGTGGGCAAAGCCAGGCGTGCTGAGGAGTAGGTGGCCAACAACGCCAAGGAGGCGGTCCTCTCTGGCGCGAGGATGGCCAGCTCCTAGGAATCGCTTGTGCTCCCACCGACCGGCCCGGGGTAAAAGGGCGAACACCCCCTTGGGGTTCTCAGAGAGGGACGTGATGGGAGGCTGGTTGTTTTTCACATACCTCCTGTCTTTGCGGCTTTGGTTGTCGATATGTTTTCTTGTTGATCGGCTTTTTGTGGAATGAACATTGAAACCAATGGCGCGAACATGGCAATAGTTAGGGAACGCCACTGCAGCGAGGGAACTAGCTATCTGGCAGGATTTAGGATTCAGTTCGGATGAAGGATTTTTGGAACAACCCAGTTAAGTCACGATTAGACTATCTTAAGCTATTGTTTGAGCGACCCTCCTTTTGGCCTCCCTTCAAAGGTGCCATGATTTGCTTGCTTCCAAATCTTGTCCTGGGCGATCATGCCCCCCATGCTGATGCCAACGATGTGGACCTGGCGAGTTTTTCATGGGGTTTGGAGGTGCAGGGGGTGTGGCTTTCTTCAGGAGGCTCAAAGTCGGCCCAGAGCCAGCGTTTCACCCCTCCAGGTGCTTAAGAGGGAAAGCTAAACAAAACAAGTTGAATCTTTCATTTCAGCTTGCCAGGTGAAGGCATTCTAGAACGATGGAATTCTCTGCTGAAATCTTCTGGGGAAAGGACATGGAAAGAATGAGTGAGTCATCCATGTCCCTCCCAAATGGACCAGTTCTGGTCCATATTGAACGAGCCCTAAAAATAAATATAATCTCCAAAGAGACCCCGGGAAACGGTTGAATTGCCCCCCACCTCGTGCCGGACGCTTAAAGCCAATTCTTCTAACTGAACCCTAAGATCGAAATCCCTAAAACCAAGACCCTCAACAACAACAACAACAACAACAACAACAAAAAAGGTGTTGCGAAGCAGACACCCAGCCCCACCCCACCCCACCCCCGTGCCGCAGAAGGCCCAGCGCCCACCTTCTCCCAGCCCAAGTGGTCCATCACCGCCAAGGAGTCCGCCGCCATGCGCGCTGTGGTCCAGCGCATCTCACCCCGCGGCTGGGCTGAGTACCCGGTGCCGCGATTGTCTAGGGCGCACACATCGCAAAACCTCGGCTCGCCAAAAAAGGTCTTTTTTGCTCTTGTGTGTGTCTGCGTGTCTGCGTGTCTGCGTGTCTGCGTGTCTGCGTGTCTGCGTGTCTGCGTGTCTGCGTGTCTGCGTGTCTGCGTGTCTGCGTGTCTGCATGTCTGCGTGTCTGCGTGTCTGCGTGTCTGCGTGTCTGCGTGTCTGCGTGTCTGCGTGTCTGCGTGTCTGCGTGTCTGCGTGTCTGCGTGTCTGCGTGTCTGCGTGTCTGCGTGTCTGCGTGTCTGCGTGTCTGCGTGTCTGCGTGTCTGCGTGTCTGCGTGTCTGCGTGTCTGCGTGTCTGCGTGTCTGCGTGTCTGCGTGTCTGCGTGTCTGCGTGTCTGCGTGTGTCTGCGTGCGTGCGTGTCTGCGTGTCTGCGTGTCTGCGTGTCTGCGTGTCTGCGTGTCTGCGTGTCTGCGTGTCTGCGTGTCTGCGTGTCTGCGTGTCTGCGTGTCTGCGTGTCTGCGTGTCTGCGTGTCTGCGTGTCTGCGTCTGTGTCTGCTGTGTCTCTGTGTCTCTGTGTGTCTGTGTGTCTGTGCGCGTGTGCGTGCGTGCGTGCGTGCGTGCGTGCGTGCGTGCGTGCGCGCGTGCGCGCGTGCGTGCGTGGGTTTGTGTGTGTGTGTGTGGGTGCGTGGGTGTGTGTCTGTGTGTCTGTGTGTCTGTGTGTCTGTGTGTCTGTCTGTCTGTGTGTGTGTGTGTGTCTGTGTGTCTGTGTCTGTCTGTCTGTCTGTCTGTCTGTCTGTGTGTGTGCGTGCGTGCGTGCGTGCGTGCGTGCGTGCGTGGGTGGGTGGGTGGGTGGGTGGGTGGGTGGGTTGGTGTGTGTGTGTGTGTGTGTTTTGTTTGTGTGCTGTTGTTGATGTTTCTTTATTTTGCTTGTTCGCGCTGCGGGGTTGTTGCGGTTTCCTTGTTAGTGGGCCATCATAGAGAGAGAGAGAGAGAGTGAGAATGGGAAAGAGGTGTAGAGATACATACAAATATACATGTACGCATGCCAGTGATAGAATAGTATTTATATATACATATATATATGTCAGTCAGTGCCTGGTGTTCTTTTGTTTTGCGTTTGGCGGACGGTTGGTTCTTCATGCTTTCTTGTTGGCTTCCCGTAGCAACATGGGAATCGTTCGAGAACACATGATGTAGGGGCGTTCCCAAGTCGCTTGAGTTCTAAAATAGTGCAAGCTGAAAACAAGGACCTGCAAGCTGCACTAAATACTATATGTCGCCAACCTGAAATCAGGAATCCCTGAGAAGCCTTCATCAGCAAGAGCTCGTTTCACCCCTCTGTGATCTTGCCGAAACTCACGGGTTGTGGCCGGCTTACTTACCATAGGGAACCGACGCTTTCAAATCACAAACATTTCAGGCATCACGTTCTGCACTGACTGCAATCAGACCGAAGCAAGGAAACCAAAAGGCCAATGGTTTAAAATGCGCAAAGGTCGACAGGGAGTTTTCAGATATGGGTTTTGGAGGTATGGTTGGCTACTTCTAACGATTCCGCGGAACATCACGTTTTCTTCGGATCCATGTTAATTTGCAGGAACTGACTCTTAGTTGACGGGCTAGCAAAAGTGCGAACAAAAACCAAAATGCGTGTGGGGGACCTTGGGACCTAAGGTATGGAAGACTCCACCCCGGCAAAAGTCGGTTCGGCTCGCTGAGGCGCTGCTGCAGGAACTCCGACTGAAACTTCCAGAGACCGTGGATGCCTCCCAGACCCATCAGCAGAAGCACCTTAGGCCGGCCATTGGAGGCATTGGCACCGCCCTCCGGGTAGAGCCGGTAGTAAACCTCTCAGGCTTTGGGTTGCAGCTTTCCATCAGATCCAAAGCATTGCTCAAACAGAAGCTCACATGAAAAGGTTTCAAAATATGATTATTTAGTGGGAACAAATCGATTCGGAACATGTGCAGCAGAAACAATGAACGCCAAATTAAGAAGCATCCAACATTGGCCAACATTGAAGCTTTTGGGCATCGGTCAAAATTAGGGCCCAAACTGGTTTCCTTGGCGTCCCTTCAACCAAACCCAAAGGGTACCAACTCACACAACCATGACAGCCGTTTGATTCCCAACAAAACGGGAAGACCAGGGCTTGCCGTGCCTGGTGACCGCCGGAAGCAGGGGAGATCTGCACAAAGGGCATGGCGGATCGTCTAAAGGGTCCGCCGGACTCGAGTCCCCGACTTCAAGTCTGGGTGCCAAATCCAAAAAACAGCCAACAAGGCGATGGGTGCCAGGAATTCATCGCTTTGAATGCTCCCCTTTGGTTTCCGGGCTGCTTAACATCCAGTGCTGTGAGGTCAAGCGGAGCCCGCAAGCGGCCAGCGAAGATGGAGGTGCCAAATGGGAGACTAGACCGAGTCAGGAAACATGAGGCAAGAAATGGACAGGGGCGAGTCAAGTTCCTCACTCGCCCCCGGCATGCTCAGAACTGTTTCCTGACTCGCCCCTTACCCGTCAAATGCTTGGGTGCTGTAGATCCCCCAGCAAAAAGTTTAACTTTTTGCTGGTTGAAAGGAAATATGAGGGGAATCTAAAAAGTTAAAGTCTAAAGACCCAACCCAATAGCAGTAGAGAATGGAGCCCCGGGCGATGTGGAAATGTCCAGTGAGCCTCGTGAGCCCTCACAACGAGAGCTGCACGCCAGCGCCTGCCAAGCACCTGTGCTCCTTCTTTTTTGGACCCTGCCTAAAGGGAATAAGCAGGGGTCCCTATATTTCCCCAAGGCTATGTTCCAACTCAACAAGAAACAAAACGAAGGAGAGTCCTCGTATTTTACTAATTGCTTGCCCACATCAAGTAAATCGTGCCATCTACTTTCACCTTGCTGACAGACAACACCGAAAACCCAAAAGACCGATCGAAGATCTGGTCGAGTTTCTTTGGCAAGTGAGTAGGGACCCCTATTGTTGGGGCAATATTTCTTGTGGGCCGCTTGCCCCGTTTTGTGGGTCCCTTTCAGCGAGAAACGGGAGGTGAAGCTGGTTTCCTGGACACGGTTTCACCACAGTTCTCAACAAGTTGAACACTAAACAGCTCACTTCCTGGAAGTAAACTGCAAGAAAAACATCTGTATGTTCACCGCTTAAACCATCTTAAACCTCTCCCTGGGGAAGTGAGACAAGTCGGAAGAAGCAGCCCGGGTGAAGCGGCAACGCCCTCGCCGCTTTTGGCTGTCCGCAAGCTGCGCCCGACTGATCCCCGGCCCGCGCAGGGTTCCAGATAGTTTGCTGCGAAAATCAGCAAATCGCGAAACAGAAGCTCACTGTAAAAGGGTCTAAAGCATGGCGAACAAGGGGAAACACAAATACTCTCGAGTTACAAGACAAGCGGCCGTTCATAAGAAAAGTCAGGCAAACGACATCGTGATAGAAGTAAATCGGTGAATAAGGTGATGTTAAAAAAGCAACGCTCTCATATACGGAACCCCCACGTTCCAGGCGCTTACGAGATCAGGGACTTGGACTGTGACACCTTCTGCTTGCCACGCCCTGCTTTGGTCGTGTGGATCAGCTCCTGGAGTGCGGCCCCGGGTTTGACCAAAAGAAATCCACAGGGCAAAATTCAGGTGAGTCAAAATCAAACCTGGTATTAAAATGGTCTACCCAGAACCGTGCAAAGAATTAAGAAGGCGGATATCCGCAGCTATGTTTGGTTGGGAGTATCCCTTGCTAACCTTTGTCTACCCGGGCTTTGATTCTGGTTCAGGTGGGTTGTTTGGCTCTTCTCAAAACGCCTGGAAATAACAGCTTTAACCTTGGACCTTGGCTGAATACAAATGCCGCTGTGTGTGTGTGTGTGTTTTTGCTGAGGGTACCCTTCCCGTCTCGGTTTACAGGGAAACCACATCAAACTTTAAGTACCATGTTTGGCCCCTAGTTGGCGCATACCCTAAAAAAAGAACAGAGTATATCAAGGGCATGTCCCCTTGTTGTTTGGAGATGTACTGGTTACATATGCAAACAAAACAATAATATTATAATATGTATATATATATATATACATATCACGTTTGTAGGGTTTCGGACGGTTTGCGATAGTAACGCAAGGGGGTATACAACCTAACAATCAACATTTTCTTGAAATTAACTTGGCGTTGATTGGCATGGCCAACCTCAAAAGATAAGCATAATCATATCTTTCGCACGTTCAGTGAACCTTCACATACCAAATGTTATCAACATAGATCAAAGTTATGGAGTGCTGGCAACCACTGAAAGGATCTTTGGCTAGCGACCACCATCACTCACATCAGTTTTGCCATGGCAGCCAGGCTTGTGCTTTCTTAACTCCTTTTCTGAAGTACTTTGTTTTCCAGGCGCCTAGATGGCGCCTAGGAGTTCCAAAGCTATTATCTTCTAACCATTAAATGCGAGCGACTCCAAAACGGGGAAACCCCGTTTCAGCATGGTTTCCCTTTACACTCTGAAGACCCCTCAAAAAAAGCCAAACCTTTTGTGCAGAAGTGCCTACGGATATCTCATCGAATTTGGTCCTATCAAGAGGAGTAGTCCGGAAGGGGGGCTTGCCTCACTTGAGTGGATGGAACAAAGACAGTCCAAAGTTCTGGTTTTCCACCAAAATGGTTCCAAAAAGCTTCAAGTCCACTAACGCGGGGAATTGAGCAAATGAAACTGCAAATGGAGATCTCCAGGGGTCACTCCAATTCCACTTTTAGTCGCATGTAATCAGGAACGATATGATGGTTTGAAGAGGCCACCATGCCTGGGTCCGCGATAATTATCTACATAGACATCCCCAACCTGGTCTCAGGGAGCCTGAGTTTCAGTCAAGCACAGGTGGCTTTAATCCCATTTCGCAGGGGATTCAACCCCCCCGCCTCCAGCTTCCGCTTCTTCCCATCGGCGCGGCGTCGGTTCTTGGCCTTTTTGGCCGCCGCGGCCGCCTCCGGGTTGATCGCCGGCTGCAGGCGCCGCTTCTGGACCCGCTCCTGCGTCCGAAGACCGACCGGTCCGGGTAGTTGGGATAAAAAAACCCGCGCCATATGTCAGTAATTGGCAAAAGGCACGTTTTTGATAGGCGGGTGAGGAAAGCCCCCTCCAAACCATGGATTTCTACTAATTCACACTAATCCCTTTGGCCTATTTCTTCAAGTCAGCCTTCATGGCGACAAGGGTGCGCGCAACCCCGTATTCGGATGTGGTTTAACCCTGAGTGACATGGTCCTGCTGACCAATCTGGGCACACAAGCTGCAAATAAAGAAAGGACCGGGCAAGGAACCGTTTGATCCTGGTGAGATCGTTCTGATTTGTGCACGTTAGTGGTGACCAAGTTGAAAAGTAAACCTACTTGTTCAACACCCAGAAGCTTAAACCTTTACTTTCGTTGCCACTGAAAACAAAATCGTGCATTTCCCAGTCATGTCATTTGGGTTTGTCTCGAAATAGGGATTGGAACCTTCCCCAAAATTGGTGGTGTCCCTTTGGTTTCCCTTCAAACAAACCCTAAAAGGGCACCCTCAAAAAGATCCACCCATTTCGTAACCAAGCCCTGAGAATCCAGGTCCAGGTGAAGGTTTCGGGGATAGACCCAAGTTTCATGTGTAGCAACGGGGGGACGTATCCTCTCTAAGCCTCAATGGACAACGTGATGTTTCTGAGGGGAACATTTGGGTTGTTGAAAGGGGATCCCTAATCCTAATCCGACATATTCCGTAATCCAAGCCGCATGATGCCTATGCAAGGGAAACCACTACCAGGCATGAGGATCAATGGCTTTCCGACGGTGCTCACTGAAATCAAGCTGAAAGAGGTACCGTCCAAAAAAAAGACACCGCGCACCCATCAATAGGACTTGAAGTTCCCCCCCCCTTCCACTAACATAGCACCTGTGAAAAAGTACCTGGAAGATCCTGTCATGTGCCATGGCAAAGTGGAAGTGAGGCTAAGCACGTCAACCCTCGCGCGCGAGGCTCGCCGAAGGTTGGTCCTGGCGCTTGTTCTCCACAGCCTTCCGCACCTGGTTCAGCACCTGGGCGCGTGGACAGCGCTCTATGCCCGGACGGGGGCAGAAGTTCCTTCGCGTCAGTTTCGGTTTCGTGGGAAAATCCGAAAGCACGGCCCAAAGGGTCCAAATGCGGCGATTTGGGAAAGGCATAGTAAGAAGCATGCCGGGCATGCTCAACAGGTACAGTGACTCATTAATGGACATTTCCAGGAAATGGGTGAGCGATTGGGGATCTATGTAGCGGATTATCATGGGAATCGCAATGTTAAGGTTCCCTGCTGCCACATCCCGGGTTCCCAAATGGAGGATGCCTTTTGTTCTGGTTGCGAAACCAATTCTGTCATACCAAAGTTGCTCCCGAACCTATACCCCAAAGGTATAGTTTTTGAGGAAAGTGTTCCTTCGAAAATAATTTCAATACTTTTTGTCCACCTCCCACCTCAAAAACCGCCTTGTTCACAACCAAAAGCGCAGCCGGACGTCATGTCAGAAGGTCCCAGTGGCCTGAGCGAAGTGCGCGCCCTGGCCAGCGTCCGACAGGCGCTGGTTCACTTTGTCGATGAAGCCTTGGGCCAAACCTGAGAACGGCTTCTCTCGGTGGCATGGGACACCTGGAATGGAGGCCAAACATCATAGCTCCCAACCCCGATCCTGTTAGAAAAAGAAAAGCCCTTTTGGGGTTGGCCATTTATTGCGGAAGCCAATACGCACAAAGGAGAACATTGATAAAGGCACTGAACAGCTGAGTCGAACTAGCCGTGACTTTCTCGTGTTCCGAAGGCAACAAATAAATCATCAAACCAAGGGGCTCGTATGGGCGTACCATGCGTATTATGGTGCAAAGGAAAATCGACAAGAAGGGGCTGTGCACATCCATGTTTGAGGGGAGGCTAAGCAGATTGTCATTTTCTCGCTCGGCTCAAGCTTAGCCATCGCCCAACAAAAGTACATACTCAAGAAAGTGGCTTCTATGCATGGTGGGTTTACAATCACTTGGCTTTCTGAAAGGGCAAAAGCCCCCTCAGATTCTCAGATCCTCTCAATGCCCATCACCTCTTGGGTTGCCAAGACCAAAATGGGGGAGATGTCAGCCTCCCTCTGCCTGTGCCGCCAACTTTCATTTCCGAAGGTGGTGAGATATTGTCCTTGCTGATTTGTGAAGGGACAATTCCTGACGGCAGTTCGGATATTTGTCAGGCCATGTCTTAGTTTAGGACGTCAACCATCAATTCAGAAAATGGAAGCCGGTGAGGAAAGGGTCAACCCTGTGTCGGAACACAAACGGATCAGCAAATGGAGGTCAACCAGGCGCTTCGCTACGGAACACCCTGAATTCACAGGCACATGCTTGCAATGAGGGCCTTTCCTTTGGCTTCCTCAAACAGGGTACCCCAAAAAAGAGACACACTCATTTCGCCTACGGCTTCAAAACAGCAAGCAACAGTTCAATGCGTTCGCTGTGCTTGCAACGCCGCCGAGTTGACGTGACCCCGATCCCCTGCCAACCGAAAATCGCGAGAAGTCCCGTCTTGTTATGCATTTGTTTACCGTGGAACTGGCTTCGTAGTACCCATTATGGATGCGCATCACCTATACCTTAATTCTTTGGGGATCCCCCCCCCCCCGGCCCAACAGGAATTGCAGATCCCGAGTTCTGAGTTCCCTTTAACCTGTGAAGCAGGAGATGCGATGCCCCCTTTGACACTTTGGAATCCTAGGCGCCGCCCAGTTCAGCAAAGCTCGGGGCAGAATTTGGGAGCCTGCTGTTGGGGGGGGTGGATGAAGGTCATTGCCAAGGCCCGTGCTTGGGGGATCACCGGGGCTCACCCCCCCAAAACGGTAGAATACACCTTTGAAAGTATCCAGTATCCAGAAGCTCCACTGGAACCGGGAACCACGAGACAAATGGTTGCCAACATTGGAAAACCCATGGGTCACTGGTTGCCCAAATGGGCAATTGAAGTTCCTCAGAACCTCCACTGGAACTGGGAAACAACAAACTAATGGTTGCCAACATTGGAAGCCCAAATGGGAGAAACAGATAGAAAGCTAAAAGGTGAAATGCAAAGTTGGCATTGGACATATCAGCCCCTGACTAATAACGTACCCGCTTATTGCGGGGAAGTCCCTTTTTGCAAACTTCCAGGAGGCCGGAAACCCTGATGAACAACTGCCGGGGGGTCTGTCCATGAATGTGATATCCTCAGAATGATCCGCGAAACGGTTCACAGCTGAATTTCCACCCCACCCCCCACCCCCACCCCCCAATGAAAAAAGAAAGACAAGGAGGGAGTCATGTTAAGAACCGCTGATGCAACTGGAATGGACTTGGTTCAACTCGGGGCTTGATTTCACTCGAAGCAGCTGGCCAGGTATGCCCTCCTCTGGACTGGTCGCAGCTGCAGGGCCTGGTCCAAAGTCACCACGTCCGGCAAGGAGCCACCCCTGGCGGCTAGCTAAAGATCGTTGTTATGGGGGTGTCTTGAAGTAGAGGACGCTGAAAAATTGTTGGTGTCCCTTTGACTTCCCTTTGTTGAAGCAACACACACACAAATACTCTAGGGGTTGATTCCCCATTCTTTTCAACCATCGTTCTTTGCAAAAGCCGGATCCGTTTTCCCCAAGGGTTTCCGGAGGTTTTCTAGAAGAATGGAAATGGAAGGTACCCTGGAGTTGTTCTTTTTTTGAGGGCTCTCATATTTTTGCTGTTGGGGGGCCCCGGAAGAAAGGAATCCCAATCAAACAGGGAGCCCTTGATATAAGGGTGCGGATCTGTTTTTTCGTTTGTTTTTGTGGATTTTTTGATCGTTTTTCGTCCGGGCCAGTAAAATGTCGTATTTTAAAGCATGTTCTCGCGAAATTGACGCATTTTACACTAGCCCGTCAACATCCCCAGCATCGTTTTCAACATCCCCCGCATGTCCGACCAACATCCCTAGCATCACCCACAAATCGTGGGTAACAAAATCAAAAAACTAGCTGGCGGGTTGCCCGTCAAAAAAAATAATGCTTCAAACAGGAGGCCCAGCAAAAAAACAAAAACAAAACAATTAACAAAACAGAGCGTGGGGGTTGGGGGGGGGTGGCAACCCCCCCCCCCCATGATGGTCGCAGAAGTGCAAAAAGTCTAAAAACTAGCGGGGGTTGGGGGGGCGGCTAGGGGTGCAATTAATAAAATCTCTGTAGAAAATCTAAAACGTAGCGGGGGGGTTGTGGGGGGCGGCAGCCCCCCCCAATGATGTCGGAAGAAGTGATGATTCAAGTAGGGGTGCAATGATTCAAGAAAGGGTGTGATTGAATGTAAAAGGCAGCGGGAGGGTGGCTTCCTCTATGATGTTCGAAGAAATGCATACATACAGACATACATGGATTACACAGATTACCTAAAATGTCGTATTTTGCAGCATTTTCTCGCGAAATTGGACGCTCGAAAAAGTGATGATTCAAACAGGGAGGGGTGCAATTCAACCTCTGCCGGGCCAGTAAAATGTTGTATTTTTACAGCATTTTCTCGCGAAATTGATGCATTTTACACTAGCCGGTCAACATCCCCAGCATCGTTTTCAACATCCCCCGCATGTCCAACCAACATCCCTAGCATCACCAACAAATCGTCCAAAAAGTAGCTGGCGGGTTGACGGGGCTTCCCCTATGATGTTCGAAGAAATGCATACATACAGACATACATGGATTACACAGATTACCTAAAATGTCGTATTTTGCAGCATTTTCTCGCGAAATTGGACGCTCGAAAAGCGATGATTCAAATAGGGGTGTAATTCAATCTCTGCGAGAAATCTAAAAAGTAGCGGGCGGGAGGCGGCAACCCCCCCCCCATGATGTTTGAAGAAGAGTTGATGCAAATAGGGGTGCAATTACTCTGCAAACAACACAAAGCCCGAAGCATGCGAAAAGCCAAAGCCGCCAAAAGCCGCCAAAAGCCGCATAAACTGCCGAAGAGGAACTGGAAATGCAGAGGATGCGAAAAGCATCAAAAGCCGCATAAACCAGCAAAAAGCCGAAAGCCCAGAAGCCCAGAAGCCGAGAAGCCAAGAAGCCGAAAAGCCAAGAAGCCAAGAAGACCAGAAGCCAAGAAGCCAAGAAGCCAAGAAGCCAAGAAGCCCAGAAGCCCAGAAGCCGAGAAGCCAAGAAGCCAAAAAGCCAAGAAGCCCAGAAGCCAAGAAGCCGAGAAGCCAAGAAGCCGAAAAGCCAAGCCGAGAAGCCAAGAAGAAGCCAAGAAGCCAAGAAGCCAAGAAGCCAAGAAGCCAAGAAGCCAAAAAGCCAAGAAGCCAAGAAGCCAAAAGCGAAAAACTATATATCCTAAAATAAATACCCCTCCTTGATATAATAAGTCGGTGGTCTGTTCATCAGGGCTTGGGACCATGATTGCGGGACATAGGGTTTAGGGGCAACTTTCTGTGATACCCCTTTAAAGTGATGAGGCAGCTATGGGAAATCCGACTAGACGGCATCACAGAAAAGTCTGGAATCTGCCACGGCTTTTCCACCCTTTTCAACAAACAGCACGGGTTAGGAACTGCAAATCCTTGTTTTTTCCTTTGCCGCGAAAAAGAAGATCCAACAGGTACACCCCAGATTCCTAGAACCCCGTTTTCCGGGCGATAGGCCTGAAAGCGGTGGTGCAGCGATAGGCTGGGCTCAGCAGGGGCCGAAGCAGATGTGCCAGGACCTCCACCGGGAACTGCTCAGCCAAGAACTCGCAGAGACGAAACCAGGACACCTTGGCTGCAACCCGCAAGTGAAAAACTGGTCGCTGGAAATAGGATCCAGCAAAAAGCATGTATATGTTGCCTGGTTTTTGGAAAACAAAAGGGGACCCAACAAAAAGCAACGAAAGAAAAGTGAGCTAATTGCGGGGAAGAAAACTGGTCGCTGGCTGAAAGGGGAACATTGCAGATTTCAAAAGGAAAGCCGAAGGAAAAACGATGGGCTAAGATCGGCGATGGCACCAGCCGCACGAAGTGCTCAGAGGGATTGGCCTGAAAGCCTGCAGGGCGAAGGGAAAAACAAGAGCATGCTCAATATGCAGGTCCAGAGGTGGGTTGTTTGGAGGCGCGGAGGTTCATTAAACGTCACCTGCATCCCCTTGTAAGCAACTACAAGCAGGCGTATGACCTTCACACCCAAGCACTCCAGCTGAGCATGCTCGCGGTTCATGGTTGTCGAAAATGGACAAGTGATAAGGTACTACATCCCTGCAATCATGTTGTGAGCATCCCTCTTGCCTGGCTTCATGCCGTTTTCCCAAAAGAGGGAATTGTCAAACTGCAAACCTGTTGAACATGAAGAGACACCCCAGCAATAGTTTCATAATGTAATTTCCCGTGAACTACTCATGGCAACCAAGAAGCTGCTAGCGAATTGTCACGCACCAGATTTTGAAAGTCCTTCCTCTAAAATGGGAAATCCGGGCAGGATAGACTTTGTGTCCGCGCTTGGCTCCAACAAAGCAAGCGCACCATGCGTTGGGTTTGTCCCCAAATGAGACCCCAACATGAATTGGCGCCCTTTACGCCCAAGGGAAGCCACCCCTGGGAGGAAGCCCCACTTAAAAGACACACAAACACACAGACACAGAGACACAGCAAAAACAAACACCCATACGCACACACAGAGACTCTTGGCTCCAACTTGTTTGAGGGCGCCTTTCTCAGGTCGGTTTAAAGGGAAACCAGGAGGATAACCATCATTCTCCGGGCATTTTGACACACATCCAATTGCAAGAGGGGCATCGAGCTGCCATTTCCCCCGAAGCCTTGGGACTGATGGGACCACCTCACCAGCAGCCACCTCACACGGCTGCGCCGGAGGCGGTCCTCCACGTCACCTCAGTGACGCTAGGGAAGAGTTCGCGGTTGTTTGATGGTTTTCTCAGTTGCCCAAAGCACCTGGAAACAAAAGGTTAACCTTTTGGGGCCATAACTAAAAATGGACCAAAGCGGGAAAACCAAAAAGTCAAAAGGTCGGCTTTGGGCAACTAAGTTCTTTTTGGGCTGGAAACTCAACGAATTAAACAACAGGTTCACAACTTTTGGTGGAACATCAAAGAGTCCAACCACCAAAGAAACAAAGGTTCGGGGGATGTGTAGGGTGCCACTGAAGCGGGGGGAAAGACCAAAGGCAAAGCTGAATTCGCTTTTCAGAGTCGCCGGACACTGCGATGGGCTGTGTTTCTTTTGCTGCCTCGGTTTTGGCCAGGGCATCGTAGACGGAGCCTTGGCGTGCACCCTCAGGCTCATCTAAGGCCTCATCTCCTTTCGCAGCTTCCAACTCATCTTTGCCATCCTCAGGGTCGGGGGGTTGGGTCAAGCCACTTCCTTGTTTGAGCATGTAGCCACTAGTGTTCAAACAAGGAACAGGCATTGGTTGTTTAAACGCATTTTGGGGAACTGTCCTCTTGCTCCTCCTTGGCCTCATCTTTCTCTTGCTCCTCTTCCTTCAAGTCTTGCGGCGCGTCAGTGGCGTCCTGATTTCTTTCTCGCGCCTCTTGCGCCTCCTCTCCTTCCGCGGGGGCCGCCGTTCCCGTCTCCATCTCCACCTCCTTCGCTTCCAACGCGGCTTCACCCTCGCCGGCCTCGGCCTCGGCATCCTCCGGGCCAGCCGGGCCCCGCCAGTTCAAAGGCCGTGCTGTTTTCGGTATTTCACCCAGACCGGAATCAAATGGACCCCAACCAGCATGAGGTCGCATCTTTTTAGTATAGCCCTAGTACGTCAACACTGGTACCCCCGCCCCTTACAAAGCAAGCTGTGGGGTTGAGCACGCTTTCCCTTGACCCACCATGGAACATGCATGGGCAAGGCCGGGGCCGGTGTCTACACTACTCAATAAGGGTGTAAGGATTTTGTGGCTCAAGCTTGTTCAATCTGTTCCATGTGCGCTTACCACTCTGCCAATCAGTATGGATCTCTAGAACGGGTTCTTCCTCCAAGTGGCGATCCTTCCTGCACAGGATGCGTTTGGTTTCCCCTCCATGCTAATGTGCGGTGGAGTGATCCATCTTTGTACACTGGTTTGTTTCCTGTTGGCGTCCCTTGGCTCTGGGCACAACACACAGACTACACCTGCACCCCTTTGTTGGATTCGAAGGAGGGAAGTAAACAAGCTTCGCTGCCCTTGGCTGAACAATAATGTCTCGAAATTATTGGAAACCCACAAATGAATAACCCCCTGGTCCTGGTTGATTCATAAGCGGAATATTCCGTTTGAGTTTGAGCGGGAATCCTTCACTTTTGGGGAACATCCCCCAGTAAGCCGCGGGTTTGTCATTTCGCAGTCGGCCGTCAGACCAAAAGGGCAAACCGGTTCCACTGCCACTTGCCCACCCCAAACTTTCAAAAATTGGCCTAGTCTTCCCCAAGGACCCTTTGGTTGGGTGCGAGGTATGTTGGACCACCCCCCAAAAAAAGTTGGGGCAACATCTTTGACCCCCCCCCCCCCGCCCCGGCCCCCCCCCACCTCCTCCACCTCCTCCACCTCCTCCACCTCCGCCTCCTCCACCTCCACCTCGGCCTCCGCCACGGCCTCTTCGGCTTTCACCAGCTCGGGCTGCTGCAAAAGCAGCAGCAGCAAATTCCGCAGGGCCTTCACCGCCTGCGGCCCGGGCCAAATAAAGTTCCAAAAAAGGAAACTGAAAAAAACAAACGAGAACTGGATAGAACCAAAAAAGGACACCACCCATGTTTGGAGGTTCCCTAATGAGGTTTTGACCTGTATTGCGGGTACAGCTCCCTCAGACTAACAGAAGGAAGCTCCCCCAATTGGCCACTGTGAATGGAACTAAGTCTTCCAAAGAGGTCCTGGGAGCTTCCATGGAAACGCCTGATTGGGAGGGTATGCACCATGTCCCTAGGTCGAAGTGGGTTCTCAAAGGCGGGTCACGACGGTTGGTGGTGCGGGGAGGCACCACCGCCCGCAAATCACTGCAGGAGGATGACCACCAGTCACTAAGGCCACTAAGGCATGCACTGACCATTTGCCCGTTGGTGCTGGGTGGTTAGCAAAGACCCAATGTGATTGGAGGGTGCAACTTATGTCCTTTCAGAACTAAGTGTCTAACCCTTGCTCCAACTTTTGAGGGCACACACGCACACACACTCACACCGCGCCGGGACCCTGCAAATCAACCTGCCCCCCCAAAACAAACAAAAAACAAATGGAACGTAAATAAATAAAGGAACATCTTCTTTTCGGGGCTCCTCTTGTTCAGTTTCATGGAACTTTGTAGGGTACTACTCCGCAAGTTTTGCTCATCCAGGGTGAACATGTAATGGGCCAGGGCCTGCAAACAGCAAGAACGGCGTTGCGGCCCTGGCTGCTTAAACGATTACGCCAGGGTGAACGTAGGACAGGGAATGTTAAGGGAATCTCCAAACCCGAAGGCAGAAATGCGACATCTGCTTTCACCCAACTATGGACTGGGGATGTGGAGTACTACTTTGTAAAACAATTGTCCCTCGCAATGCTGAACAAGTATGCTTGTAATTCTCCAGATCTCTTTGATTGCCTAACGGAACAACATGTACCTCTTGCGCCCAGCATGTTTTTTGGTAGCCAGGAACGCCGCCATGCCGCTTTCAGACGGCCAGCGGCCAACTGCCATTATGAAGTTTACCCCGGATTAATCAACTTCACAGAAAAATAGTGGGCTGCTTGCCCCAACAGCCATCCGGATTCCCCTAAAACAAAGTGCACCCTCCCACTCGACATCGACCTGTGGTGTATTGAATCCGTGGTGAACAACAGCAATTCTCCTGATAAGTCGATGCTTGCCTCACCAGCAAAGGTGTGCGTTTTTGTTTCTCTTGGTTTGAGAATCGGATAGCTTTTCTGCGAAACTTGCTTGTGGCTTTACATCTTTCCGTGAGCCCCAAAAAATCCCCAAAAGGAAGTTTCGTCCCAAACACGCTTCCTAAGTTCCGGTCGACCGCAGGCCTGCGGGGCCAAGGAGATATCGGTCTCCAGGCGCGCGCTAGTGACGAAGGACTGCAAGGCACCCATCAGGCCGTAGGCCCTGGCGGCGTTCTGCCTAGCCCTTGTTCAAACAGGTTTCAGCCACATTGTTTCAATCCAGTGGTTTGCAGCTTTAAAGGGTCTCATTGTTTCAACAACATCCAGTGGTTTCCAATTTCAATTGGGGAACTAGGGTCTAAAGGCTCTGATTGCTGAACTTCCCATTTCGGCGATGCCTCGTCCCGCCCTGAAGCCACGCTCCGGCATCGCCGGAGCCGCTCAGCCAGCAACCGATCTGGGCCTGGAGAGGCAGATCTCAGAGGTGAATTTCAGATTCCTTGAGTGGGGAGTTGTCAACCTGGGCGGCCCTCAAATCCCCCGCTACAAGCTTAACTTTTAGTGGGTTAAATGGAAACTACAACTAAACACTGAAAGGCGCTAAACAGCTAAGGAACCGGATGGCTGGGAGCCACCAAGAAACATATGGCCCCAAATGCCTGGTGCCTGGTGCCGCCTTTTTAAAGGGGATGCCAAAACGGGCCCCTTTTGACAGCCCACTGGTTAGACCTAGAGACATGGTGCATACCCTCCCCCAGGCGATTCCATGGAAGCTCCCAGGACCTCTTTGGAAGACTTAGTTCCATCTACAGAGGCCAATTCAACTGGGGCAGCTTCTTTCTGTTAGTCTGTGAAAGCGTACCGCCAAATGTAGGTGTAGCCTAAAAGCCTTTTTGCACCCTTGAACATAGGGGCCGGGTCCCCAAAACAGTGGAAACTCTCATTGGGTCAAGGCAACGCCGGGTTGAGCTCCGGGGCTCAGGAGGTCACGGGATCCAAGTCTCCTCTTCCAGTTGCCTCCCTCCCTGCAAATTGGGAATCGAAGGGAACCTTCGAGGGTAAGCTTTGTTGGCCCCCAAGTGCGCTTGTTGTAATTGGTTGGAATCTTACGGGGTTAATCGACAAGAGGAAGCTGGTCAACCATGCTTGGGTAGTTCTTACAGTATCCATCTCAGTCCCTCTGAAATGGATGGAAATGCTGGCCTCCTTCTTGTGAGCAATCAAAACCTGGTAAATATTGAAGGGGTTTACCCCAAAACCAAGAAACAAGAGTGAACTGCCGGATATCCGCACCTTTTTCTGGCTGGAACTGGCCCCTTCTACCATAATCCATTTTTTGAATATGGCTCCTTTGGTATGCCTCCCTTTGGGGCAAACAAAAACAAAAAGCGGGCAAGCCAACCCACCATGGGACTCCAAGCTCCCTAGCTCCCTCTTGCCATTAAAAGCCAGACATACCCCCTGCCTAACAGCTCGAATATATGACTCCTTGGCATGCCCTGCCCCTTTTTTGTTTGGAAAGGGGGGAGAGGGAAAGGGAAAGGGCAAATCAATCGAAATGTCCGCCGGGTTTAACTGAAAAAAAAACTCGGGAACACCAAGGGAGAAACAGCTGGAAAACAGTTCAACTGGAAAAGAAAAACAACAACAACAGGAAACCCAAGTTTACCTGGACAAACAAAAACCAAGGAACACCACGTCACCACATCAACCCGGTCGGCTCGACTCGACGCCACCTCCAAGCACCGGAAGGCCACCGCCAGGATCCAGGCGTGGCGCTCCTCTGCAAAGGCCTCCCCGAGCAGGTAGCGCCACCTGGAGCCGTGAAGGTGCCGCCGAACGACGCCGATAAATCTAGGGGTACCTTCCAGCTTAGTGGGCCAGCCTTCAAACCATCTTTTCCCACTTCCAGAGGTTCTGGTTAGATTGCAGACCTACCTGTTTAGTCTAAATGTCTTGGATGCAAATTAGGGGACCCCCGTTTCTAGGGGTACCTTCCATTTCCATGCTTTTCAGGAATCCTTCTTTCTAGAGAACCTTCAGAAACCCTTGGGGAAAGCGGCCGGCTTTTGAAAAGAACGATGGTTGAAAAAAATGGGGAATCAACCTCTGAAAGAAAGCAAGCCACGGAGGAAAATGGGGGAAGAAACAAGGGTTTTGAGGTGAGCCAACAAAAAATAAAAGAGAACACTATCGAAACATAGGGGAAAAAGAGAGCTTCTGGACAAACTAGCGGACAAAACACTTTGAAGACGGAAAGAGCCTGACAAAGATGCCACTGAGCCGCAAATACCTCAAGCCTTCGTCGCCCTCCTCCGCATACAGTCGGTTCAGCAAGCCTGCGCGGAGTCCGACCGAAGGCAAAAAGTGGAGTCTCGGGTGACGAGTTGCCCTCCCTCCAATTGACAGCTGGAATTCCCACCACATCCCCCCTACTGTATGGGGGGAGGGGGGTGGGGGGCCCCCATTTCCATTTATCCAGCCTTCCCAATACAAGGGAAAATGGAACCAGACACGGCCCCCCTCCCAGTTCCATTCTTACGGGGGTGGGGATCCCACCACTGAACAGCCGCCGGAATCAGACGCGGGGAAGGGGGGGTCTGGGTGTCCGGTCCTGGCTTGGACCAGCTTCCCTTCTTCAAGGGACCGGGTGCCGAAGGTCCGGTTCCGTGTGAAGTGGGAGGGTACCCTGAACATAGGCACATCAGAAAGGAGTCGACCGTGAACCCTTGTAGGTGACTGTGCGGCCATATGGATCAGAAAGGAGTTGAGTGGACCATGAACCCTTGTAGGTGACCGTACGGCTATAGAATCATGACTAAGAGTTACCTGCCAGGGCCTAGCTGAATACTTCAAGTCCGAAAATATCACAGTGTTCAGACACTTCCTCAGCCGAAGCCTTTTGGCAAATCACCATGCCCCGTACCAAGAGTCAAAGACACAGCCAGCAGTACCGACCACAACTCTAGGGGTTGATTCCCCATTCTTTTTTACCATCGTTCTTTTCAAAAAACAGCCGTTTTCCCTAGGTTTCTGGAGGCTTTCCAGAAAGAAGGATCCCTGAAAAGAATCGGGCATGCCTGGAACAACTCCCGACAGCCACCGCGCAAGACCCAACTTGCCACTGCAGCCAAAGGCGCCCTGTGGTGCCTGCAGCACCCGCTCCACGCCTTACTTGCAGCACAACACGGCTGATTGCTTCTATGGGACGCCCATCAGTAACAAGCAAAACCGCAGCAGCAATAAAACACACGAAGCGTCAAAAAGGAACAACTGAGTGTTGCTTGAATAGCGGCTGGCCTCGAAGGGAAACCCGTCCCGATTGACAAAAAAGGGAAGCCCGGAGCAAGGCAAGTTGAAACCGGCAATATTGGCTTCTCGGGAAATCATGACATGCTGCTTGGCAGGTTTCAGCAGGAATCGTGGAAATCCACGGAGCCTGCACAGAAACAAACTGACGTGGATGCCTTGCATGCCTGGGGCGCTCCTGCGACAAAAAGGGAAACCCACCACAAGAAGAGGGGAAGAGGGGCATGCAGGAAGCCGAAGCCCTTTTGGACCTTATGGGTGGGTCCCCCTAACACCATTCTTCTTCTCCGAAAAAACCGCCTGCGCCTCCCCCCCCCCCTGCGCTTCTCATCCATCCCGCCCGCGGGGCGCAAGTTTCGGCGCATCTCGTCCCACGCGTCCGTGCCGGGGCGCTGCGGCAGGCCGCGTAGGCCACCTGCCAGGGGCCCTCGGCCTTCAGCAGCGTCGCCAGCGCCGGCACCGCCCGTCGCAGCGCCGGCTCTGAGGGGTCCACCTGCGGAAGATCCCCAGGTGAGTTCAGACGGCCAAAAAGGGGGGAAAACGGAGGGAAGAAACGAAAGGGCTGAAACACACAAGTAACATGTAGAAAAGAGGGAAAGCCGGAAGAAGCGGAAAAAACACTAGAGGCAAAAAAAGAAAAGGGAAACAAACTCGAGGTGTGGCCCCTTGAAACCCACAGCCTTCAACACCTTACGGAACAAAAAACACCCTGGAGGCACAAAGGGGAAAGCACCGTGTCTGAACTCGGAAGTCGGAGGCTTCACGCGCTTGGTGCTCAGCCTTGCAACCAAAAAGGCCGGCAAGTTGTTGTGGCGAACCCGGCCGAAAGGATAAAGGGGACTTCGGGCAGGACTCCAAGCTAGTTCACGAAGATGGCCGAGATTGGCTGAGATTCATATAGAGAGATCGTCTCATCCTTAAGCCATACAGATTTTGGGTGCTACTCGAGTGTTCAGTTAGCTTCCCCTCCGGGGTCCTCCACCAAATGAGGAACAACTTGCTTACCATTTGCGAAGGATTTTGGGGGCAATCATGCAACAACATCTGCTTGTTTTCAATCGCACCAAAGACGGCGTACCTGCTCCAAACCGCACTCGTCCTTTATCTAGAGGGAACAGAGTAGCTCTTCCCTCCTCAGACTAACCTTTTGCAAGCTGAAATAAACAGGCACATAATAAACATCCCACACATCTACGGGGCAAGTCGCATCCACCAACGAACGGCCGTGCAAGTTCTGTTCAAACCTCCACGGAAAGGAAAACACCCAGCAAAAGCAAGGGATGGCTGGCAGCTGCGGACCATCCATCTAATTCCCTGCAGTGGGGTTCCTAGCCTCATGTCGGCAAGTGGGGAGTACAAGGCTCCATGGGATCCATTTGCCGGCCTCCACAAAGAGGCCCAAGCACTCAGCCAGCACTGCGGGGGCAGTGGGCGCCCACTTCCTGAGCGTAACACGCAACTCACTCTCACCTTGGCCTGGCTGAACAAATGCTGAACAAAAGCCAGGGCTGCCACCTTGGTTGACGTTGGAAGGGAGCAACATTTTTAAATGTTGCGGTTAAGTGGGGATTTCCCACTAAACCACCATAAGCAAAAATGTAAGATGTTTCCCAACAACAACCATGAAGCAGGGGAGCCTTAAAAACGGTCGGCTTCCTTCTGGCGTCCCTCAAGAGATCCCTTTGGACTCTCGAAGGGTAGGCTCGGAGAAGTCAAAGGTGTGCACCATGAGCTGACTTGTCCACAGGACCCGGGACGCAACGGTTTACCTTATGCCTTTTAGGGTCATGACCAAAAACGGACCAACCCGAGCAAACCAAAAGCTTGAAAGGTCGGCTTGGGGCAGGTGTTTTTCTGATCGGCAAAGGCACAAGGGGAAAAGAGACCGCCGTCCAACATGTCATGTTTAATCATGGCTTTGTTTTGGGGCCTGCCCTTGTGGTCCGCACACTGCGTTTCCCGAGAGGTAGCGTAAGGTGGGGGTTCTGGAAAAAGGGAAACGACCCGAATGGTGTCTCACAGTTTTCAGGCTCGGAGCAGCCCTCAGACCGTTTTCGACCGTCGAACGCGACGACTTTCGATGCGCCTCCTCTAACCGCGGCGGAAACCCGACAGGTCCCTTGAGGACATGGACCGTTTTCGCCGGCACGAACTGTGCGAGAGGAATTTTGTTTGGCCTCCCTTTCCGTGGTACCTGTTTCGAAAGAGAACCCCCCAACAAAACGGAAAGCAGGGCAAGTTGGCTTTCCGTCAAAGATATCTGGGCCAAGGGGAAAAATGTCCAACATTGGAGGGCTCCCTATGCTCTTATTAAAACCAAGGGGCACTCACCTCTCATGGGCCAAACAGGTGATGTTTAGGGACCCCTTCCGTAAAGCTCGCTTCTTCCCGCTGAGCGTCAGCGCCAGGTCCAAGAGTTTCTCCCGGCTCCCAGGGGTGATCCGACGCAGCAGGGTGCAAATTAGCACGTGGAGCCTCGGATGCGCGACACGGGAGCAAAGCGGGGCCTCATGTCAAAAGATGAGAGGGGGGGGGGGACATGTTTATTTTAAAGAATGGCAAGGAACCTTTTTTAAATCAGGCACATGTTGGACGTGGTTGGTGAAATCAAGGGCAATCTAAGGGGATACGGGTAGCGTGCCATTCAAGTTGCCTGCTTGAAACCGCCTTGAACCGATGAAACACGTTTGCCAGAAATAGTCAGATACTGTGCTGCGCGCCTATTTAGGCGCGTGAATCGAGGGGTTGCAAACTCACTTGCAACGAGGACCTCTCTGCAGGCAGCATACGGGGCCATTGTGGCCTGCGTTTCTTTGCCGAACGAAAGGAGGGAAGGCCGTGCTCAACAGGCCCTTCTTTGTTCAAACGCTTGCCGTGATAAGAACAGAAAGCCACCTTTCGGATTGCGAGCGAAAGATGAAGACGTCTAGAGATATCTGGGTGCTCCCTCAAACTTTTTGAGATTTGGGGATCGCTGCTTGAAGTTGACCCATTTCCCAGCGAGGGGGCAAGCTTTGTAATTTGATGATGACCCAATTCCGTTTTCTGGTCTTCCCCGAAAGGGAACAAAGGAGAAAATCAAAATCCGGGTGATCCCTCCCAATTCCATGGGGCATCTGGTGGCAGGTAGGGTCGTCCTCGCAGGGCAAGCGCGCTGCACAGGCGGCAAAGATGATGGTGCCATAGCCAAAGCCTGAGGCCCACCAATCCGCCCTCTCAAAAAATATGCTTCAATTATTTCACAAGAAAATCACCAATACAAACCCCACCCCGTCTCTTCTCTCTCTCACTCTATCTCTTTATCTCTCTCTCTCTCTCTCTTTCTCTTTCTCTTTCTAAAGCTATCTATCGACGCAAGTCCCCAAATCAAGAGCACTCTTGGCCGAATCTCAACCTCACCCGTCCTATGTTCCATTCAAACCAACACACAAAAAAAGCGCATCCCGCCCTTCGGATTTCTTGTGCTATTCGCCGGTCGCGTTTGAAGCTGCGGCCGGGCAGCTGCCGGAGAGCTGGGCTTCTGGGAAGTGCAACACCACCAGATAGAGGCAGTTCAGCACCGCGCGCCTGCCGCCTTCCTATCGGAAGTGGCGAAGTCCAGTGCGGAGCCTTTTTGGGGTCCCGGAAGGGAGAAGGTGGGATGTGGCACCAAAAGGGGACCCGGACCTGCAGGAAGGGAGAAAACACTGTAGCACCCAATGCGAATGGAGTATATGACTTCTTTCTTTTTAAACATACATTGTTGCAAACAAAGACACGCATGGAAAAAAATGGAAAAAACACATTGCTCATTGTGTGATGAACTAGTTGTACACGCGTGGGAACTTCATCTGCACCACTGGTTCTTCGACATTGGGCGTGTTCTCTTCGACCATCGCCCCCTCCGAAAGGGAACTCGGTGAAAGAAGCGGCAGATGTTGAACATACTCCCCTGTGAATTAACGTGACAGCCAAACAAGGAGTCCCCAAAAAAAAAGATTTAGTTTCAACACAAGTGACGCGTATGCACGTTCCATGAATCTGTAAAGATAATGGCTGAGAGGGGCACGTAGGGGATAATGAAGTTTTGCGCAGGAAGATAGGGTGAAAAGCCTTCGCAAGGGTTGTAAAATTCCAGCCTCCCTACTTGTAGCGAAATGACAAGGTGACTGAAGGAGCTGATGCACATGTGAAGCCTCCTTGGTTTTGTACCCCCGCGTTGTTGGCCGCGATTCCAGGCTCCAATCCGGGCTCTGCTTATTAGCCAAACCAGGAGCGACTCCTACTCGTCAGCTCGTTGTGCCCCCCCCCTCGGCAGTCCTCGGCGTAGCCTAGGTTCTTGAGCAAATGGTTCCTCAGTGGAATCCCGTGGGGAAAGCCAAAACATGCACAAGCCCTTGTTAGCTTCCCTTTTGTTACGACACCGAATTAAAGGGCAAAAGGTGGTCATATTTTACTTTGTTTTGGCTGTTCACACAGTGGTTTGGACTGTTCACATTCCTGTTTGGACTGTTCTTGTGCTCTTGGAATCTAAGCCACTCCCAAAATAGGTGAGTGACAAGCGTCCCTTGTCAAAAACGCCGCCCTTGACCCATGGCGAGCCAAAAAAACACAACTTGACAAACAAGTGATCCGGTGTCAGCAAATCGTCTGCCAACTAAGGGCCCTGCTGAACATCAACAATCCCGTACCCTTTTTAGACGCGGGAAACAGAAGCAGCTGGGTCCAAGGGGTTGCAGCGGTTGATTCCCTAAATACAAGCAGGGAAGAAAGGACAGCCTGCAAGTTACCCTGATTTGTGGCTAGTTTTCGTGCACTATTCAGTACTGTCAGTACTTGTCAACTAGGGGGACCCCCAAAAATGGTGGCTGTCATTTTGGACTCCATCGAACACCTACCCGAAAAGGGCATCCCCCCAACTATTTGCATTGTTTCTGGTATCCGCTGTTTTGTGTCCCATTCCCTGGCCCTTCTAGAATCCGGTTGTAAAAACGGAAAAACAAGTGGGTCCAAGTGTTATGTGTGTTGTCCCCAGGCCCCCCCCCCAAAAAAAGAAGACAGAGCAAACGGGCACAAAGAAACCTGAACATGGGGCCCAACTGTCACTGTGCGGTGTGGATCCCCTCGATCCAGGAGGCATCCTCTGCTGCAAGGCCTTTGGCTCATGGGGGTAGTCGAGCATAAAGTCCACGAAGATCTGCGCGCACTGCTGCGCCGTGCGCTTGTCGGAGCCTGGCGAGCGAAGCACCGCCACCCGAGACACCACCCCAAATCACTGCAGGAGATGGTGTGGGGCCGAAACCGCCGGAGTCAGGGCTGTGGGAAGTGACCACTTCTGTGATACAAAACGGGCAAGACTAACCTCCCATAGAAAGCGGGAGATTCCCTTGTATCAGAGAAGTGGGGATAAACCTCTTGATCCTACAACTGGCCTGAGTTACAAACTTAAAAAGATTGCGGCTTCGGGGTTCCGTCAAGGACCCCAGCCAGCAAGCGCCTATTCGAATTAGACTTTCGGACAGGCTACCCCTTTCAAACTCATGTGAAAAGAAGCTTTCTATTCGGATTTACTTCATTTCCAACAGGCGGCTTGTTTAGACAACCTCCTTTCGGGTCCATGCTTAGCTTGCCTGAATTTGATCAACCCATCCATTTTCATTTAACTCGGATTTTCCTTTTGATCATTTCTTTCAATTCAAAATTCCCTTGGACACAACAAACGTGTTTTTGTTGGTTCTTTGAAGTACTTCTAACCGAGCGCCGCTCCTGAAAGAACACGTCTTCTCCAACGGAGACGCCTGTGAGTCTTAATCCAAACCTGGAATTAAAATGGTCGACACCTATGGCACAAATATTGGGACTATCCTTTCCCAATCTTTTACCCAGCCTTTGACAAGGTGTTGTCCATTTTTTGAGGGACACCTCCCTTTGAATCGGCTTGCTTCCCTTTGGGAAACCACCCAAAAAGGGGGGCGGTAGCCTCAAATGTAATTGTCACCTCCCTGGTTTGAAAGCTGGCTCCGTTACCCATGACATCCGGTACCCGACCGGCTCCCGCCCAGCCTGTGATCATGATCTCCCCCACGGCGTCGATGGTTTCGTAGACCGCCGCGCTGAGCACCTTGTTCCGCAGCAGCACGCGGCGCAGCAGCTGCAAAGCCGCGGGCTGCAGGGCCGGGGAGTCCAGCGCATTCCTCAGCTTCGACGCTTCAGAGAAGCGTCTTCCGCGAAACGGCCACAAACTCAGAAAAGGTCTTCCGAGCTCGCCCCGTTTGCACCAAAACGGGTTGTGTTTCATTTGGCAGCAGCATGCAGCCTGGGACCTAAGCCTGGGCAGGGCAATCCTCCGCAGTTCTTGACCAACCCATCGCGCTTCAAAGTCAGCTCGGGGCTGGGGATGTTTCCCTTCAACCCAGCGGGGCTGTGGTGATCCAACAAGGTCGTTTGCCCTTTGAGTAGCTGGCTCACAACTGCTCGTTCAGAACATTCAACTGGCCCTGGGGACAGCTTCTACTTGCTGGTTTTCAGCAGGAAATCAACAAGGGTTTTGGGAAGGATGCAATGGATTCCCTGGTTCCTAGGGGCCTCCCCTGCTGACCAGTAATCTAAAACCCCAAAGGAAATAAACAAGGGAAGCCCCTTGCTTTTTGGGCTTGTGGCCAATTTCCACAGGAAGCCCCTTCTTGTATGGACTTGTGGCCAATTTCCACAGTCCCTAGTTCTGAAAGCGTTGTGCCACTGCAGATTGCTGAGGCTAGTTCAATGCTGACTCGTTCTCAACCAAGAATATTGCAACTTATCATGGGCGAGTCCCTTTATGTTCATTTGTCGGCTCCCTGTTTGGGCATTGGGAAGCTGTGCTCTTTCTTTCAATCTGTCATGTCCATGTCTGTGCCGCTTACTTCACCCTATATTAAGCCATTGTCGACCAACTGCACGGCGAATGGCAACTCGTAGCCCTGGCCCTATTTCCAGGGTTGGGCCAACTACTATTCTTCCAACACCCTCCTCATGGGTTGGCCAGGGTCTGAATGCTTAAACGCATTCAGCAACGCGATAACCAACAAAAGTTGACGTTTGGTTTTACTAAGATGATTCTAAAGGGTTACATAAGCTTTTTATCATAATCAAACGGCCTCGGGGTAGAACTTGATACAATCGCCACCAAGGGTGGCCAAGGGCACTGCTCATCTGAAGCCCGTTCCAATCAGCCCATTGAGTCAAGCTTCTGGATGTGCAGGACAAGGGCATCGAAAACGGTGCTCTTCTTCAGAGACTCTTGCAGCTCCTCCTCTCAAGATATGGCGTAACACGCGTCTATGGAGCCTACCAAGCTTAACCCAAATATAACAAGCGACGCATGGAGCCGAGTTTACAGGTTTCCCATCTGATTGCCCAGGTCCTCCAGTAGAGAGGATAGAATAAGGGTACCCTTTTTTCTGCAGTTTAGTCGGGGAACCCTCCCCCAAAAAAGGGTCAAAGGGCACTACTGGGGGAAGTGACATACAGCTTATACTGTTGACACACACGGGAGCGCGCCGGCTGTCCTGCTTCGACTTCTTGGTCTTGCCTTTGCCCTCGCCCTTACCCTTCTCCTCTGAGGGCTCCTCCTGCCAAAACCGAAACTCGGCGGCTTGCGACTGAGCTCTGCCTCCAAAAGGAAAAATAAGTTGAAACTTGTTTACCCCATCTTGAATAAATCAAATAGTCCTCCCATGCTTTCTTGAGAGGGACATGAAGAAGCCACGATATAAGGCCGACAAGCGTCACCAGCCTCGCGAACATCCAGGGTCACGGCCGCCCACGAGGACAATTTCGTTGTTTGCACTTCAGCATCGGCGTTAGACAAGTCACAAACTGGAGCCGACAGCTCATGGCGTCTCAGGGCTTACAACTTAAATGCAGCAACTCCCCCGCATTCGTCGGCATTGCCCCCTCGCACCCAGCAGGGCATGGCTTTTGAATGTAAAGGAGCCTGCAAGTCCTGCATGTTCACGGGGATAGCGATCGTTGGTATTACAAACAAACGCACGAAACATGTCAGGCTGATCCTCTCCCGAAGAGATGAAGGCCCTCCTCATGGGACCATTTGTTTTCCATAGCAGATTGTTGCGCTTCCTAGGTTGCCCCGAAAGAAACAAGTTGAAAGACCTTGCTTCCCGGATCTGACCGAAGCCACAAAAGCAGCCAAGTGCCACCAAAGCAAAGCCAAACCACAGCCACAAAGAGCCCACAGTCATAAAAGCCAGTTGATCTTTGGGGTTCATTCATGTCTGAACACACCCAAACTCTGGCTTGTCTGAACAGGAAGTTTTGGCCCCTTTTAATCGTTAGGCATCCTTGAGGTTTGGCTCGAGTCAAACCAACCTCGATTTGTTTTCTCGACGGCCATCCTCTAAAAGCTGCCTTTAGTTCAGATGTAGGCATGATTTCACTTAGAACAGTTTGATGAATATCATGGTATAGGTGATTCAACCACGTTTCAGGGGTTCCAAACATTGAAACTCAGAGTGTCAAAGGCACTGCACCACAAGAGCCCACTGGACGACTAGAAACAAACCCCGGCCCGGGTCCTTCATCTCCTTGAGAGGCAAAGGCGCTTCCTCCTTCAGGGTTTCTGTACTCATTGAAACCCCCAAAACACTTCTCCAGTCTTGGTAGATGTTCGTCCTCCCCAAAGCAAGTCTGCTTGGGTGGTGTGTTTGGGCCGCGTGGTTATGAAAAGTTGTGGAAAATGACCCTTTTCTCGATGCCAAAGTGAGATTTGCTGGACTGCTGTATCACTTTCGAAGGGGATTCGCCTGGCATTTACATAAGTTTAGGAATACTCGAGTAAGGGCCCTTCATCATGGGTGAGCTCGCTTTATCACGGATCCGGGAGATCGTTGCAAGCGGCGGCGCTAGGCGAACGTGCAGATTCCTTATGCACAAGTTTGAATCGCTTGGGTTTTTGAAACAGGTCATCTGGATGTCTCACATAAGTCCTAGAAACATCACCCAGCATCAACAAAGTTCCCTATGCAGGGTTTGCGCCCGGCAAAGGGGGAACGAGAAGGAACCGCAACCAATTGTCTACCTTTCTGGCTTGCTCGTTTGAGGCTGTGAGAAGCAAAAGGATTTTCGTCGAACCAGCGGCCACCGGGAAAAAAAAAAACAGTTGCAACACTCCCAGTGATTTCGCAAAATGCCTCTAATGTTTTTTGAAACTATCCGGTGGGCTGCCTCCCAAGCTGGCTGACAACCCTCCCGGCTCAGAGGACTGGCCCCAAAATGATGCAGACAGTCTGCAGATCTCAGCTGGCCAACAAACCCAGAAGTCAAAGGCTCAACCTGTTGAAACCACTACTAAAAATGGGCCAACAAGGGGAAAACCAAAAAGTCAAAGGGTCCATTCGCTTTGAACAACTGAGAGATAGTCCACCAAACAGGTCAGCAAACCAAGGGGGACACAACTGCCACACCCCTGTCCTTTCCCATGCTGCAGAACCACTCCGCGGAGTCCTGATATCGCCAACGACTGACTGTTCGGCCCCCGGCGACCGGTCGGTCGTCTCAAAACCAAGCTGTGCCGAAAAACCGGAGCCCTGCTGGGTGACGGACAACAAACATAAGGGAAAATTTGATGCCAGTGAACATGAACCTCAACTAGTTGTCCCTTTGAATGGACCTTATGTCAGCTACCGCATCTTCAGTGTTAGTGGGCCCTGGGAGGGAGGGGACTTGTTGACCGCAGAAATACATTACATCCGGATTCCTCTAAAATCAACATAAAATCCACCTAGCCAGAAGCGGGTTAAGTTTTTAGGGTATTAACATGATGAAGACACCTGTTGACGAAAAGCGTAAAGCTTGCGGATTGAATGGGTAAGAATGTGCTATGCTTTGGGCATGGGCAAGCGTCACATTTTATTGTTGTTGCCGCTTTTCCAAGCGGAGGCATGGACAATTGTCGGTGGCAAAAGCCCCTCCCTACGTGGTATGTTAGCAAAAGACGCAATTTCACTTGGTTTTCTAGAAATGGGCTTTGTCTCAAAATGGGGGAGCCTCAAACCAACACTGGTTTGCCTTTGCTTGCCTTTGGAACGCCCTTGCAAACTTGCCGGTGCTCAGCAGGGAATGAGGGAACGAACCTGGGGGTTCCCTTAAAGCAAACCATAGGGGATGGTTTATGGGGGTCGTTCCATGTTCATTCCCCGCCTATCGCACCAGCAAGCTTTAGTTGCCTTTGGAACGCCTCCCCAAAACTGGCCTGCCCTCAGATCCCCCGCTTAAACTTTAATTTTTAATGGGTTAAATGGAAACTACCACTAAACACTAAAAGGCTAAAAGGCTAAGGGGATGGCTGGGAGTCACCAAGAAGGGTACCCTCCACTCGCGGCCATGACCCCTCCTTGTGGTTCAGAAGCGCGCTGAGCAGCCGCGTGCTGGTCGCCAGCAGCGCTTCCGCCCCCACGCCCGCCAGGCCGTGCAGCTTTGCCTGGTTCGGGCTCGGTAAAAAACCGCGCGAGGCTTTGGGCCAACCCTCTGGAAAAGACACGGGAGTGTCCGGGACACACTAAAAAATGATTAATTTCACCTTGGCGTCCAAAATTTCAGCCACCCCAAAACGCGTTTTGCAGATGGATGCATCCACTAAAAATGAGTAGTTTCATTTTGGCTTCCAACTTTTAAACCACTCCAAAAGGAGACCCGCATGTTGAAACACAATGATTGTGACCGACACACCCAACAAAAACACAAGGGGAACAGCTTACTATGGCATCTTGGCCCAGATCTCGGGTACACACCAAAAATAGTCAGTTCTACCCCAAAATGCATCCAATCATATATTTATCCACGGTTCTGGGGGGTACGGCTAAACTATTCGTGGGGATGGACCAGTTGCCCAGTGACCCTAGTAGAAAAGATGAAACTTTTAGTTGGAAGCCACCAACCCCCCCTCAAAACAAGAAGAAGAAACAACAACAAAGCAGAAGGGGGTGCTGCTCAACCGGGATTCAGGCAAGACTTTTGGGGTAACCAGCAAGCATCGCCTTGGGACAAGACCATGGGAAAATCCTGCAAAGCCGCATTCTTGGGTCGCTGGTGCAACATTGCCGGGTTCCCAGCTTTATTTTTTGAGCTGCCTTCCCTTTCTGCTAATTCTAACTTCCATGAGCTGCTGCCGGAAAGGACCCGGTCGAAACCCTGCTTCAGCTTCCTCTTGGCCGGGGTTCCTTTCGGTCCTTGAACCCAGAAAAACAAGCAACCCTGGCGGAAGGGGATTCGGACGTGTGCTTTTGGCAGCCCCGGGATTTTCGGTTTCCCATACTTAGTTTAAGCTATATGGCCATGGGTCTAAACCCTGTACCCCCAGTAAACATCCCAATCCCCACTAAAATAGGTTCTAGAATGGGTAGTGAATTCACCTACCCCAAAATGGCACCATTGGTTTGAAACCATAGCCATATACTCAAGGAATAGTTGGTCGGCAAGCAGGAGTTCAATTGTCGGTCACATTGTGACTGTTGCCCGGCAGGTTTCGACCGGTTGCAGCCCAAGTTTCTGCAGTTTAAGCTTAATTAACAAGGCCAGGAGTTTGGTCCCCTGTTTGCAGTAATCATTTGTTGGGTTGTGGCCCCTTGTTTGGAAGAGAGGTGCAGCTTGCCTTGACTCTACCTGATCTGGGACTAAAACCTTGCGACAACAAATGTATAAACCTTGCGACCCAAACGCCGAAGATCCCTGTAACTTTAAACCATATTCATCAACAAGGTGTTTAGTCATCCCACTAGGTCCTCCAGTAGAGAGGTTAGAACAAAGGTACCCCATTTTTCTGCAGTCCATTTTAGCAGGGGAACCCTCCCCCCAAAGAAGGGGTTTTCAAGGCACTACTGGGGGACCTAGCCAGGATTCAGCCAAGTTTTTTGCCACCAAACCCGGCCACCCGGCCGCCTTGGCACGCAGGTGCTGCGACAAACTCGGGGCAGAGGACACGAACTCGAAGGTCTTCAGCACGGTGTGGGCGATCTGTGGGCCGTGCTCGCCCATGACCTGATCGGATGCGCAGATCGGATGAGCCCCCAACTGTTGCAGCTAGTACCCGGGGGGGTGGGTACGCACCTATACCTCACTGAAGTAGGTACACAACCCTGTCTGGGTACCATGTGCAATGTTGGGGAAGATGAATTCAAGGCCGGGCCTGGTGTGTGGATTCCCAACTCTCCTTTTGTTGTCTTTTTTTTTTGGGGGGGGAGGACGTATCCAGGTGTCAAAAGTTCCAGCTCAGTTCTAGTCTTGAGGTCGCACCCTTCCGAGTACGAGACAAATGGGAGGAGTTTGCCTTAATTACACTCTGGAGCCCTGAAGCCCTTGAAGAGTTCATTTTCAAGGTTGGGGTTGCTCCGAAGACCGGATAGGAACAAGAAGGAAACATGGGCAACATGGTGAGGGGACACCATAACCTGCGGGCAGTCTGTGTCAGGCATGCGAGGACGTACTGGCTGTGAAACATCAATCACAGCAAGAGCTCCCAACAAAGCACGCGGCGTCGAAGAGTGAATAGGATAGGCAAGCCCATTTTTTGGCTCCAGAAGGATCCAATTCTCTTCCTCTGGATGGTGACTAGTAATTAGACTCCAAGTTCATCCGTTCCGATCATGGCTGCTCCCCAGCCGCTCCCTGACTCGCTCTCGCACTCTCGCCTGGGGCTCGGCGTCAAAGAAGCCCCGCAGCAGGCCCAGGCACTTGGCAGAGGCCACGAAGAGCCGATCCTGCCTGTGCAACGAACGGCCCCAGCTCCGCGCGGCGTTCTCGGAAACTTGGCTCAGCGAGGTCTCGGGAAAAAGCCCCACCCCTTTTTTGGCGGCCGGGGGATCAGTTGCGCACACAGATTTGGATCAGTTGCGCACACAAAGCCCCCCTGAGTTCTGGCTCAGTTACGCACACAGGTTTGGCTCAGTTGCGCACACAGAGCTCTAGATGCATGGAATCGGTGGCATCAGAAGGGGTGGGTGGGTGGGTGGGTGGGTGGGTGGGTGGGTGGGTGGGTGGGTGGGTGGGTGGGTGGGTGGGTGGGTGGGTGGGTGGGTGGGTGGGTGGGGTGGGTGGGTGGGTGGGTGGGTGGGGTGGGGTGGGGTGGGTGGGTGGGTGGGTGGGTGGGGTGGGTGGTGTGGGTGGGTGTGGGTGGGGTGGGTGGGTGGGTGGGTGGGTGTGTGGGTGGTGTGGGGTGGGTGGTGGGTGGTGGGGGGTGGGTGGGTGGTGTGGGTGGGTGGGTGGGTGGGTGGGTGGGTGGGTGGGTGGTGTGGGTGGGTGGGTGGGTGGGTGGGTGGGTGGGTGGGTGGGGGTGGGTGGGTGGGTGGGTGGGTGGGTGGGTGGGTGGGTGGGTGGGTGGGTGGGTGGGTGGGTGGGTGGGGTGGGTGGGGTCCAGAAAGGAACGCGCACAAGAGATGGGGTAGGTGGATGGGATGGCTTACATGAGGGTCATACACACAAAACACTGGGTGAAATAGTGTTATACCATCCTAGCTTGCGGATAAAAAGATCTGGCTATATCAGCAGGACGAATCAGGTAAACCTTAAGTCAATGTAGCAATGGTTTACATGAGGTTCATACACAAAAGACACTTGGTGAAATAGTGTTATAGCATCCTATCTTGAAAGAAACCCAACACGAAGGGGCCGCAAGCTACACTTTGTCCGAGACTCCATGACGTCTGTCTAAATAGCTGCATTTCACGTGGCTATTCCCAAGGTAAACAAGTCTGCGTGCACAACTGAGCCGGGCCTCGCGTGCACAACCGAGCCAGATTCTCGCGTGCACAACCGATGCACCACCCTTTTTTGGCACATTGATTCATCATTTGCATGGCGAATGTCAACCACCCATGTTTTCAGGAGGTGTCCCTTACATGCATGGCATGATTCTTATATTGTTGATTGTCCTTGTGATATGCAACCAAGGAAATGTGACATTGAATCTGGCTATGTGGGTCGTGAAGTATGGTCATTTGGTCTAGTGCTTCTAAATGGCTCCAAGGTCTGCAACCTTGTTCAATGGTGGAGCTTTCAAGGGTTCCCTACGCATGGTATTGGCCTGGGCCCTGACAAGCACAACCTGGAGGTTCACCAAAAGCGACACCCTCTCCGTCTCCCAAGAGACATGAGGGCCCCCGCCCAGAAAGGTGCCTCCAGCCCTTGGATCAGAACCCCTGAGAAGGTTCCTTGCACATCTTTGGGTTAGGGCCCTGGTTGTCTCCGGCCCGGCGGGTACAATTCCCTTTCTACTCATGGGCGACCTTTTGGACAAATAGATGGCCATCACAAAAATGGAACAAAACCCATCGAAACCATGCTATCTATTTCCAACCAAGCTAACCTAAAACGGTTCCCCCCCTCCCCATCTCCTGGATGCGAAGCACGCCACCACAGCGGGCACCAGTTCCTTGAGGCCGCACTCCGTGCCCTTGTGGGCCTCTCGAGTCCGTCGAGAGAAACGCGCCAGAACTCGACGGGTCAAAGGCTGAGTGTATACATCCATCTATACACCCTGGCCATGTTGGACCCGTTGGGGAACTAGTGGATTCATATGTATATATAGTGTAACACATGTATGTATATATACATACTATACATACATGCACACACACCTATACATATCTATATATATATATATATGTATATGCATATGTATGTATATTTGTATGCGAACAAATGCTACGAAATCCGCAGAAGCACTGCTTCAAAGATTGGCTTTGAGCAACTTGAGCTTATAGCAGTGAAGGCCCTCAACATGGGTTTGATCAAATGACGCACAGCAACCTGGGACAAAGTGTCAGAATTCATAAACCGAACGTACGGGGAAACCTACGAGGGTGCGGTGGAAATTGTTGTTGAGGCTGCTACAACAGCAATGATGAGCTTCTTCCGCAGCACCGTCTGGACAAATGACGCAAACGCTAGATATCGGGAGAGGGTCTGATGTTTTGGGGTGTTCAGATTAGCCTGCAAAACCATAGAAAACAGAACAGCGGAAAACCTGTTGGGTTGAACGGGATGCCACTTTCCGGGTCAAACACCTGGCGACTGTTGCACAGGCACACGGCTTTGTATGCAACCCATGAATTGATTCAAATGGACTGCGCAGTGCGACAACACAATCCAAGCAAGGTGCATGCCATTGCCCACCTGAGCCTCAAGCCCCAGGTATGCACTCCGGGCCGTGACTCCGGGTTTGCTTGTTAACCAACCATTGGGAACAACTGGAAACCGGCCAGAAAGGAGCCCAAGCTAGCCAGGCTTAATGATTGGTGGCTCTAAAGCGCGCAACCAAGCATATTTTGAGACACACCCTAATATGTCTACACAAACAGCTTGAGCCTGCGAACACTTGCCACAACATCAGGGCGCCTCGGTATGCCTTGCTTCCTCTCCCAACCACGGATCAAGCGCCGCTAATGGACGTGGACCATCCTACGGCAATGGGAGGTGCTAGGACTAAACTTGCACCAATGCCATCTATGTTCAACTGACCTGACTGAAACAAACACAAAGTGGAATCCAATGGCGCCTGCCTGTGATGTTTATCCTCAGCGGACATCCTCTTTTACAGCATGAGCATGTGGAAGTGAAACCCCCCGAAGGGAAAAGAGCCCTTAATGACCACTATGAAGGCTGTAATCAAGATGGGGGTGTGGAATACTATACGCCAAATAGGTCAGCATCATAGGAGAAGGCGAGTAATTGCTCAGCCTATGATTCGTTCATGGCTGCTTGCATTCTTGCATGTTCAACCCGAGTATTGCAACCATAGGTGTCACTGGAGTAAGTGGGGCTAGTTGCCTCTTTCCTGACGCGGAGTTCAACGTCCAAGCAGCGGAAAACTACCTCTTGCCGCCCCTGGGTCCAGTCGCATGTGACCTCGTCAAGTTTTTCGAGTTGTACAGTGCAACCAGGGAAAGCCGCCACGACCCACACAAGCCCACAAGTACTCAACCGGGAATCCCTCGAGATGCAACGACTTTGACACCGGGGTGACAACACCTGGTGGACTGGTGCCATCTTTCACCCAACGGGTCGGCCGCGAGCTCATCGCCCCGCTCATCGCCCCGCGGCCCCGCGCGGCCCCGCCTTGGCGCCTTGCAGGGTCTGCCGCAGCACCCGGAGGCCCAACCCCCCCAGCGCGCCGGCGCGCGCTGCCTCATCCACGCCTCACGGACCCGGCCGGCGGACAACGGGGGAGGCTCAGCCAGCGGATCTGGGGAGTAACTTGCCGATGTCTTAGCTCGTCTTCCAACTTTTTCCGTGAGGAGATCAGTTGAACCTTGTTGTTACAGTCAATTTCCGGCTGGACAGTGGTGTTTTGCTTGTGACTGTCAACATGTTAATGGCACAAACGCACGACACGTATACCATATATCCGGCATACCTATCAGCTCAGCTCATGCATCGATCTGCACGTTTACTACCTGACTCCTCATGGCTTGACTTGCCGGATCAGGGGATCAACTCAGGTAAGTTTTCTTGAGGCAGCCCTTAGTGCATTTCCCCGTTTTACCCCCGAAAAGCCCTTCCGGTGGTTTAGTGGTTAGGGGGTGGTTTCCCAAAATCCCCAAACCACCACCCCAAGCCACAAACGAAGAGTTACCTGAGACCCTGAAACAAACCAGAACTGCACCACTCCGACCAATCATCATCATCATCATCATCATCATCATCATCATCATCATCATCATCATCATCATCAACAACAACAACAACAACAACAACAAACAACACTTCGGCGTGGACGCAACGCTCCGACTCCGGCCCCGGCCTTGGCTCTTGCGGCCGGCGCCCCTGCCAGTGGCAGCGCCTTCCTGGACCTGCCGCATGGGCCACATGGCTTTCCCCAGGCCATGCGTGGTGTTGGTGCTGGCTGACCTTTTTCTTTAGGAGGAAGGGCTTCAAAAACTAAAGAATATGGAATGCGGGGCTTTTCCTTAGGAGGAAGGGGCTCAAAAAAGTCAAAATATGGAAAGCAATAAACAACAAAGAGCATGACAATGGGAAACAGCCAAAGAAACTCATTTGCACTCTGCCTTGCTTCCGCCATAACTCAACTGAAAAATGCCATTTTCAGTCGTGAAGGGCCAGGAATGTGGGGCCTGCGTTTGTTGAAACACCGAAACAATACATATTTTGCATGTTGTAATGCTACTTGTGCGGTCTTGCCTGAACCGCGTTCCCTTGAAAACCCTTACTTCTCAAAAAAAACAAACAAACACCCAGAACTGAGGAAAATAACAACACAAAAACAAGAAGCTAAAAACAACAACAACAACCCCGCAAACAAAAGGTATTGGACATGTCCGAAACATTTCCCTCAGGGCTTTACGTATTGTTTCTTTTTTGTTTTCCTCCAGGTTTGTCCGCTTTCTGTTCGCAGATCTCTCCCATTCAAAAGCGGTGCTGCTAAGAAATTGCCGCTGTTCGCATGGTTTCTAGTGCGATTTGCCGTGTTTTTCCTTTTTGTGATGAAATCAACAATTGCCAGGTGCCTTCCCTTGCACTTGGCAGAGGCAGCGCATTTGTAGGCAGAAAATGCAATCATATTTTTGAAAATCAGGGGGAAAATGGCAAACTAGATGGTAAACGCCAGCAAAATAGATGGCACATGCAACTTGGATTATGTTTTGCTTTGCTTTTGCAGGGTGGTGTATCTTTGTGGGAGTGTGGTGAGAAGCTCCTATTTCCCAGAGAGTGTAGCTCCCCGAGCACGTGCTTGTTCAATTTCCAAGTAGTGTTGCACAATATCTCAGAACCGTGGCAAGAAAACATGCTAGAATGGTGGATGATTGTAGTTTGCCAAACGCTTTTAAAACTGATCCTGAGCCAAACAATTCTCTGGCTGAAATACGCTAATTAGCCATGTAGCATATGGGAACCGAGCCGGAAACACAATCAAGCTAAGCTAAACATGCTTACAATGTACTCTACACACATCTAAGCACCGCATGTCCCAAGACAATTTGATGGACACATCATGTTCCGACGAGCGTTGCAGCTTTTCACATGAATTTCACGTGATTTTTGTGGCACGGACCACTTGGAACATAGGGTTTGGGGGTCAAAACAAGGCTGATGTCAAGAACGCAGGCCCCCACGGCGGGTTTGCGCGCAAGTGAGAAGTCTTTGCGGCCGAGGGCCCAGAAGCAAACAAGCAACAAGCCAACAACAGCAGTCAAACCAACCAGCCAGGCAAGCAACAAACCGGCAAAACTAACGATAACCTAACAGCCAGCCAGCCAGCCAACCAGCCGGTCTGCCAACCAGCCAACCAGCCAACAGGCCAGACACCAACCCAACCATCACACCCCACCCGCTTGCCCACCCACCAACCAACCAGCAAGAAAACACAACAACACAAAAGGGAAAGACACACGCCAAACGCTCCCTAAGTCCCTGAGCCCGCCTGAAAGGCCTTGTCCTTGTCCCTCAACTTGGGTGCAGGCTTCTGCTTTTCCTCCTCAGGATCGACTGCCTCCGACTTCCTAAGTGTCTGAGGCCTAAGGGCTGACTGGCAATTGAACCAAACCTCCTGTAGGTGCCTCTTCTGCTTGTTGGGTGGTGAGGGGATGGGGGAGGGGGGGGGGATGGTCTTCCCCAGTCTTTTTTCTAGGATCTGAATTTCCCGACCACCTGCTGTTAAAATGATAATTTGCCGAGCAATAAAATCCGTCACCAAGGCAGAGTAAGGCGTTTGGGTGCGGCCCCCCCTCCCCCCCAAAAATACAGAATAATAATAATAAAATAAATGAAATATATGTGGGCCTCTCGGGAAACCAAAGGGACACCCACCATTTTGGGGGCCACCTAAAAGACCCACCCATTTTGCCGGGTCTCCTTCTTCTTCCCCGCCAGCATCTCCGCCACCGCCTTCAGCATCTCCGAGCAGGCCGTGACCTCAAATTTGCTGGTGGCGTCTCGGCCCAAAGGCCCGGGGGAAAAAGACTCGGTCGTTTGCCTTCTGCAGAAGTTGCCCAAAAAGAACCCAGAAATACAAAGGTTCGCCGGCGAGGCCAAATCTAACTATGGACCAAGCAGACAACTAAAAGGAGTCGCCTTCCGCAGAAGTTGCAGGAAAAGAAGCTGGAAATACAAAGGTTCGCCTGTGAGGCCAGGACTAAATATGAACCAAACAGGGACGAGTATAAAAGGTAAAACCGTTGGTCTCGAACGAATGAGGGGAAAACCTCAAGCTAAGGTCGGCGGTGGCAAAAGGAATCGGTGGTTTTCTTCAAAGAGTGTTGAATGGATCCCGCTTTGTTTTTTGGCACACCCTTGTGAAAAGTCAAAACCAGGGACTGGCAAATCCATGTTAGGCCAGCCATGCCAGCCTGACGCACCCCATGCCCCCCGCCGAAAGAGGGATAGACTTTTTCAGGTTTGCAACCGTTGAGACCGGCTGAGGAAACCAAGCAAACAGCATAAGGGACTCAGGCCAACGAACATGTTTCCCTGGCTGGAGACTTGAAGCTTGGCTCTTCACACCCAGTTTCAATAAACTTCGTGAAGCAAGTGCCTCCAAGAACCCACTTCTCAACCTTGGAGCTACGCTTTTGTTTTGCTTAGTGGGTACAGCCCTTTCCGGAGTCCGGGGGGGGTTTGGAGCAAATATTTGGGGATGAGGGCCCGGACATTGAGGACTGCCAACCTTGAAAATGAGTCGTTTTGTCTGGATTAGACCCTCGCTGCGAGACCGCCTTGGTTGTTCCACTGCATGTGGTCAGAGACTGCCATCGCTAGTCCACAACTTCCGGGCAGAATCGAACAGTTAAACCGCGAATTACTGTAGCGTGCCGGCGCGGCGAAAATTTCGTGGGGCCCAATAGGCTGTAATAGTGCCCAATAGGTTCAATAGGCCCCAAGAGGCCCAATTGAACCCACTGGCAAGGGGCCCAATAGGCCCCAGCAGGGCCCCAATGCGCTCATGCAAGTGGGACTTGGACGGGTACACACGGACCCACAACAAATCGAGTCTGCTTCTTGAGATCGTGGGGAAAACCCATGTGAATCTGCAGGGGGTAAGCATGGGTAGACCTCTCTCTCGCTGCACCTCCGCTCTCTTCAAAATAGTTTCGAAATTTGCTTGGAACTCTTTCTGACCCTGCTTGGCACGGTCTTCCCCCTTTCCTTTGACCAAGTCTTGATGCTTAGATTCCAAGAATTCTGTGCCGAGCTACCACTCCAAAACCAAATCAGGACAAACGTCTAAACCACCTTCTCCCTCTTTGGGCCCAAAAGTCCCAAAAGCTCCAGCTCCCCTCTTTTTCCCTTCCCACGGCACCCCCATCAAACGCGCAGCTTCCCGCAGCTTCCCCCACCCCACGCCGTTGAACCGAACCCGCGCTCCAACCCGCCGCGCGCCTGGGCGTCGAAGCTCCGGGCGAAGGCGGCGTTCACGCAGAGCCCGGCCACGGCGCGGCTCATCAGCTCCTCCACGCGGCGCAGGAAGACCAGGCCCCGGGGCACCAAGTCGTTCTTGTCCCCTGGCGCCACGCGAGCAGCGCATGCAGCGCATGCAGCGAATCCATGCGAATCCATGCGAACGCATGCGGTGGCGTTTGCTCGGGTTCAGGGGGAAGGGGTCCGTCCGGATTTTCAGGGATCAACGGTGGAAAGCCCTGAGGATTGGCAAGAGGAAGCTGGTAAGGCTGAAAAGGCGATATCATTCTGGTTGGGAAGGTCTGGGTGTTCCAAAAGGGCGCAACGGTGTTCCTTTTGGTGGTCCTTTAAAACCAACAAAAGACGAGCCACCCATATGTTGACATCCTGTTTCGCATTGGACGAGCTCCTTGTAGCCGAGGAGACCCCCCCTCGGACAGGAACTTTCAACGGGCCGCTTGCGCTCGCGCTTGCTGAAAGATTTCCCGCCTTTCAGGCCCTCGCCCTGGAGCTTCCGGTCAAGCGCCCAGATCAGCTTCAGCACCTGCCGACGTTTTGCTCAGCCACGTGTTATGAGTGACTCGCTGCTCGGGTTCAAGAGGCGGTGGCTACCGCTTGCTTCCCAACCTCGGACTTCTTTTTCGGACCCAACATCCAAAAAGAATACCCTGAAAAACAGATGAACACATCTTAGATGGTCCTTTTGACATAATATTTTGAGAGAAGTGCTCAATCAAAACAATTGACCCAAGCTTTTGCCGCCAACATGCTTGATTCAGGTCAATGCTTAGAGAATCTTTAACTTAAACTGCAAAATTCGCAATGATGGTCCTCTGGATTCCACAATTCTTCCGCTCTGGGGCTACTCTTGGGCTCAGAGTGCACCCTGGGATTTTGCCTGAAGAATTGACCGATTCCTGGCTATTTCGCGACAAACACTTTGGCTGACAGCATGGCAAAGGAGAGCAACTGTTTTTTTGGAAGCGCTCAACTAAGCGGGTGAGGCAAAGGCCCAAAACGTAGGCCTTTCCTCTCCGGAAAAATCCCGGCGCCTGCTGGGGCGAGCAGAACTTCCCGGCGAAGAACATGAAGTCAGGCCCCTTGGGCTTCTTCGCCTCCGGCACCTGGTTCGGCCGCACCAGGTCCTCCCCAGTCTCCGCCTGGTCGAAGGACGGAAAGGTGCGACAGCTGGGGAGTGACCACGAGTCCAGGTGGGAATGAACCGTTTTTGGATTCCCTGAAAGGAAACCATGAGATGTTTTTATAGGGCTCATTCCAGTTCTCATTCGCTGCTGAGAACCAGCAAGATGATGACAACAATCCCACCAAAACGCACCATATGCATCAACCCGCAAGACCGATTTGGGTCCAAGCCCGTGTGAAACATGTCATGAACCTTCCTAAACTCTACAAGAACTACAGTCAAGCCTCAGGAACTGCATCTAATTTCCGGGAGCCCAACCTAGCTCAACCGTCTTCTTTTCCGGAAAAAAAACTGCTTCCAAAACCGGGGGGGGTGGGGTGGAAAAACAAAACTGCTTCCAAAACCTTGGTGGTTGTCAGGCAGGCGTGGTCCTTGCCAGGAACTGCCTGGCGGTATGGCGGCCCCCGGCCCCCGCCTCTCTGGAGGCCAGCTGCCTCTCCAGCTCCTGGCGGCTTGAGGGCGAATTTTTCCTTCTTGAATGCGTGGGCTGGGTGCCAACTTGAGAACGAACAAGAAACGCGAGTCAGCCGAGAGTCCCAAAATCCTCATGATCAAGCTGATTCGGGTCAATCCATCCATTGACTTGCTGGATGCTGCTCCATCCGGGAGTTCCAAAAAAATAAACTGCTTGTCAGTAGGCAGGAAAATGAATGATGTCATGTTCACCATCAATCTGACCGTGTGTATCTGCAAGCCTTTTCACTTCCATTCCGCAATGTGTTTCCGGAGGGCACTTGCCACAGGGGTACCCCGCAAATTGAGGTTTCCCTTGTGGGTCTCCCTTTGGACCAAGGCCAAGAGGACACAGTTGGGTGAAAGTAAATGACACAGTTGCCCCCCATGTTGCTCTAGCCAACCCCCTCACTTGCCGAGGGAACTGTGCCATGTACTTTCACCCACCCCTATCCCCTAATCCCCCCCCCTCCACAAAAATGCAGTTGCCTCTTGGCTTCCATGAAAAACCCACTAAGACCCCAACAACAAATGCGTTTCTTCCCTTGGCTTCAAGAATCAAACCCCCCCCCAAAAAAAAAGTTTTTTGCTTTTTCCCTTGGCTTCCCTGAAAAAATCCGGATCCCGTGGTTCCTCGCCAAACTTGGAAGCGCACAGGCTGCTAGGGAGTGGTCGTCTCCCCAAATGGGCCTGGTCTTTCCTCTTCCCGACCCTTGACGAAAAACAGTATGTTCATTGCAGCACCACGTTGAAGAGAAACAAAGTCCAAACCGCAAACAAACTATGGCATTCAGGGATGTCAAGCCAACCCGTTCTTAGGTGGATGACTAAAACTAAGTTGAAACCAGTATTCATTCCCAAAGCATGCCCACCTGGGCAAATAACTATTCACAAACTGGAAATATGGAATCCCTAGCTAAGGGACCTTCACAGCTCGTTTTGCCCCCGAACCGGCGAGCTCTAGCCTGGTGCGGATCTTCCCCCCTCCAGAGAAAGAAGAAAAACAAACGAAAACAAAAACAAAAACAAGAGGAAAGAAACATAACTAGACATCCATGCCAGGGCATTTTCGATTGTTTTAATTTGGGAGGAGGGGTTGGAACATGTCCAGCCTTTGAGCCCCTTCTCCCCTCCTTTGCTGAGCCCCGTCCTCCATGGCCTCGGTGAGCAGCTCCTGCAGCGCCGCGTCCAGGTCCCCGCTGGCCGCCAGGTCCTGAACCGAAAGGGCAAACCAAGGCACGGCGAGGAAAAGAAACGAAAGAGCGGGACGGGGGAAAAAACATAGCTACGCAAGGAGGGTGCTGGTGAACCACAATGGACACAAGGAAACCAACAAGGAAGGAAGGAAGGAAGGAAGGAAGGAAGGAAGGAAGGAAGGAAGGAAGGAAGGAAGGGAGGGAGGGAGGGAGGGAGGAAAGAAGGAAGGAAGGAAGGAAGGAAGGAAGGAAGGGAGGGAGGGAGGGAGGGAGGGAGGAAGGGAGAGAGGGAGGAAGGAAGGAAGGAAGGGATGAAGGATGCAAGCAAGCAAGCAAGCAAGCAAGCAAGCCAGCAAGCCAGCGAGGGAGGGAGGGAGGGGAGGGAGGGAGGGAGGGAGGGAGGGCGGGAGGGAGGGAGGGAGGGCGGAAAGGAGGAAGAAAGGAAGGGAGAGAGGGAGGGAGGGAGGGAGGGAGGGAGGGAGGGAGGGAGGGAGGAAGGAAGGAAGGAAGGAAGGAAGGAAGGGAGGGAGGGAGGGAGGAAGGGAGGAAGGAAGGAAGGAAGGAAGGAAGGAAGGAAGGGATGAAGAAAGCAAGAAAGGAAAGGAAAGGAAAGGAAAGGAAAGGAAGCAAGGAGTGGGGAAGGGGGTAACGGGGTAAGGGAGGAAGGGAAGGAAAGGAAGGTCACACTTTTAGAGGAGTTTCCTTCTGGAAATGGGAACCCCTGCTTGGGATTGATAAAGGCGGGGCAAGCAATACAGAGTCAAAACAAAACACGACGTTAATGCAAGTTGTCAAACCCAAACCAAGGGGCAAAGGCGACCCCCCAACCAATGAGAATTCCATCCCTGCCAAGCAAAAGTTGGGAACCCCCGGCTGCATCCCTTCCTCAAACCCACCAGCGAACCAAACCCAAAACCAACCAAACAGCCGAACAACGAACGAACGAACAAACAAACCAAGCAAGCAAGCAAGCAAGCAACCAACCAAACCAAACCCAACAAAATCAAAACCCATAAACCCAACCCAAACCAAACCACATCTAAATCTGCATGAAAGCTACCCCAACCATGACCCGCACCCCCCCCATCCCATCTTCCGGTCCTCCAGCGCCTGCAGCGCCGCCAGCACCGCGCTGCCGCGCACGAAGACCATGAAGCCCCGGTCCAGGCGAGGCCGCAGCTCCCGGACCAGCCACGGCAGCCACCTGCCGAAGGCGCCGGCGTCCCAACCGCTGGGACGCGATAGCCGAAGCGAACTTCCACAGCAGCGCATTCACGCATACGGGTGTGGCTCAAGATTAAACAGGAGGGGCAAACCGCAGGTTTTGGTCCATGTTTGCACTGACCACAGCCTTATTTCAGACTTGACTCATTCCAGCCCTCAGCTTCTAAATTTGGGGCCTTGGTCGCCTCCCCACAGCCAAAAAAGGCCCCCGTCCCCGGGGGCCAATTCAAATCAACCAGATGGCACGCCGGCGTCTCTTCCCTACGTGGGCGCTCTTCGCAGGCCTTTGCCATTGATCAGCGCCAACACAGCGCAAAAGAAGCCAAACATATCATATACCACATACCACACATTGACCAAAAAGGGGACAAACCTCTTGGGGCAACCTCTGCGGAGTTAACTTCTTTTGGACATTTAATGTGGCCCCTCCCCCTAATTACACAAACAAAAAAAAACAAAAACATGGAGGGCAAATCCCTTACCGCAGGCCTCCCCCCCGCCCTTTCCGCTTCGGCTTCCTCGCGCGCGCGCGCGCCTGGGCCCCAGCGCCTGCGCCACGCTCTGCAGTGCCTGGCGCGCCGCGCGCCTGGTGTCCGCGTCCCGGTCCTGGCGGTCCGGAGGACCGGAGGCCGTTTCTCCAAACGGGGAAACTCGGAACAGAAATCCACGACTTTTTTGGCCCATCCACTCTGGTTCTGGCTTTTTCAGTTCTGATTGTTGTTCAGGTTTTTTCAGACTTGTTGGGCCCATCCACTCAGAAATTGTGTTGAACCTTCTGGTTTTGTCTGGGATTCTGGGGACAATTTTTCAAGTGCAGGTGCCAAAAGGCTCTCCCTCCCACGTTGCCATGGCCGTTCAACTCACTTCCTGAGTAGACTAGTCAAAACCAGTCAATGTGGCCGTTCAAGCAGATTCGTCAAAAACAGTCAGATTTGTTTGTTTGCCACTAAAATGGTCTTCCCAAAGAGTATAAAGTCCAGGAACTGAGGAAGTGAGTCAAAGGAAACCTGAGAAGAATCCAGAACAGATGTAAGATGGCAACTTCGAAAGATACCTGATGTGGTTGAAACCAAAGCAACCCTGAGATGTAGGAGGACCACTTCGAAAGATACCTGATGTGGTTGAAACTACGGAACCCTGAGATGTAGGATGACCACTTCGAAAGATACTTCTTCTCTTTTTGCTGACTGCTTCGGCTCCCTGCTTCGCAGGCAAGGGCCGGCCCAGCCGAATGGGTTCGGTGGGTTTGCCTTTCTCCAAACGCCCGCCTTGAGCCCATCCACCACGTAGCCCAAAACCCTCGGCAGCTCCGAGGCGAAGTCCTGCGGCGTCTACCCACAGCTCAGCGGGAAATGACCGAAGGGGTATCCTCGAGAAAAGCCTAGTCACCCAGCTTCCCCGTATTTGGTGGTTTGGATTACGGCCTTTTCTCTACCATACAGGGGGAAAAGGGTCCTCACTGGTGGTTTGGTGGTTAAGGCGGGGATGACCCTCAAAGGAAACTTTTGGGGATTGTTTTTCCCTGAGAACCAGCAATCTGTTTCCTCAAGAAAAGGGGCTTCACAGGGCACCAAAGGTCTGGGATGCAACATGGGACTATCCCCTTTTTCACGCACCCGGATTGTGGCGGGCCGGCGCTTTGCTTCAGGACTCTCCTGTTGTCGGGGATGCCACGTTTCTAGAAAAGTCCGACTTGGATGTGCGAGTAGAAAATGAAGGAAATGCGCCATGACTCCAAGACTCCAATATTAAGAGGCAAACACCCAACCGTCACTGCTATTTTGGCCTTCGTTGGAGGAAACCAGAACCAAACAGTTTTGGGTCATTGGATCCAATGAAAAGAAAGCCACTAGAAAAAAACAAGACCAAAACGCATGTCCCTCTATCAACCTCCTTCCTTCTCCGGCAAATGCCGCACGCAGTGCATCATCACGCTGATCACGGCGATGCGTACCGATGGGATCGACTTGCCACCGGATCGGCCGCCCTTGCCGCCGCCCTTGGCCTCTTTCCTGGTCAGACCGTCCTCCCCTAAGGGAAACCGCTGGGGCGGCATGTGCTGGAAAACCTGGAAGCACAATCAACTGAATTCCAAAGAATCTGGACTGCCGGTACAATATGGCGGAAAGTACGAACTGCGGGTCAGGGCTGGGCAAACTGTTTGAAACAATTAGGCCCTGGCCCTCCTTGAAGGGAAGCCAAATGTTCAAACAGTTGCTACAACACGTTTAAAAGAAGAGGTTAGCCGAACCCTGGTGATGGGTTTGCAGATGGTGCGTTCTACCAGCAAGAGTCAATGGGGACGCCTCTCTTTATTTGGGGGTACGGCCCCTTCCATGCAGTGCTTACAACATCGCAAGCAGCATTTCCTGACCTTTCCCCGATATCATGGCCCATCCTTGTGCCTGCTGTGTCGCCTCAAAGGGGTACCCTGGGTAAAACAGCAAGTCTCACCGGCCCGGCGTGACAGGTTTCTCTTTTGGCCACTCAACTACCTCTGGGTGACAACATGAATTCCCCTTCCTTGTGTACTTATGCTTTGTTTTCTATATGTTTCTCTTGTCCTTCCTTTCTCTTTCTCTCTTTATTTCTCTCTTCATCTTTCGCATTCTCGTTTCTCTTTCGCTTTCGTTTTACTTGTTTAATTTGTTCCTTCTCCTGCACCCCACAACAGTGCAAGAACACAAAACAAACACCAAGTTGTTAAAGGTCGACCCCCCAAAAGTCCGCAGAGGGTTCCGCAAGGAAATGAAACACAACAGTACAACTTACGCCTTCCAAAAGGGTCGACCCCGTAAAACATGCGTGGCACAAAGGCTTCGCCATTTGCTGGGCTAGGGGGTAATTAATGCTGTCGAAGCCTTCCGGGTGGCTGCCTCATGCCCACAAAATCTCCAGGAAGTTAGCAACACACTTTGTCTCGTGCGGGTGCTTGGCTAACTTCATGCTAACTTCATATGGGCTTCCCCAGAACTCATTGTTTCTTTTTTTTGTCTTTCGGCTGGCTGGGTAGTTGATCCCGCACGTCACACAGATGCGATTACTTCCGGACCAACCACCAGGACCAAACATCTGCCAAGCTTCTTGCCCTTCCACAGCTTCTGCAGGATCGGCAGCACCGTGCTCCTCAAAGAGCGCACGATGCTGTCAGCGCTTTTATCCTCCTTCTCCTTGTCCTTCTGGCCGCCCCCCAGCGGGTTTTTAAGAAAGAAGGCACCTGTTTGGGGGACTTGAGTTGAAAGGGAAAACCCTCCCACAAAGAAGGCAAAAAACCGCCTCAGTCTGCGGGTCGGGGTCCTTGTCCTCCTCATCTTCCCTGTCCTCTTCTTCTTTGCCCTCCTTCTTCTCCTCCTCCTCTTCCTTCTCCGCCTTTTCTTCACCATCCGCACTGCGTTCTTGCGCTGACTTTTTTGCGCTCTTCCTGCCCTTTCCTTTGCCCTTGCCCTTGCCCTTGCCCTTGCCTTTGCCTTGGTCAATGTTCAACCCCCCAACGCAGCGATCGAAACCCTTCTCAGACTCAGGATGTAAACCTGTTCCATCATCATCATCATCATCATCATCAGAAGCATCATCAGAAGCATCATCAGAAGCATCATCAGAAGCATCATCATCATCATCATCATCATCATCGTCATCGTCATCATCATCATGATCACCATCACCATCACCATCACCATCATGATCATGATCATGATCATGATCATGATCATCATCAGCATCATCATCATCATCATCATCATCGTCAGCATCATCATCATCATCGTCATCATCATCATGAACACCATCACCATCACCATCACCATCACCATCATGATCATGATCATGATCATGATCATGATCATCATCAGCAGCATCATCATCATCATCATCGTCATCATCATCATCATCACCATCATCATCGTCATCATCATCATGATCACCATCACCATCACCATCACCATCACCATCATGATCATGATCATGATCATGATCCTGATCATCATCAGCATCATCATCATCATCATCATCATCGTCATCATCATCATGATCACCATCACCATCATCATCATGATCACCATCACCATCATGATCACCATCACCATCACCATCATGATCATGATCATGATCATGATCATGATCATGATCATGATCATGATCTTCATTAGCATCATCATCATCATCATCATCGTCATCATCATCATCATCATCATCGTCATCATCATCATGATCACCATCACCATCACCATCACCATCATGATCATGATCATGATCATGATCATGATCATCATCAGCATCATCATCATCATCATGATCATCGTCATCATCATCGTCATCATCATCGTCATCATCATCATGATCACCATCACCATCACCATCACCATCACCATCATGATCATGATCATGGTCATGATCATGATCATCATCAGCATCATCATCATCATCATCATCATCATCATCGTCATCATCATCATCATCATCGTCATCGTCATCATCATCATGATCACCATCACCATCACCATCACCATCACCATCAGCAACATCATCATCATCATGATCATCATCATCATCGTCATCATCGTCATCATCGTCATCATCGTCATCATCGTCATCATGACGAGTAAGAAGACACGCCGTTTCCCAAACAACTGAACCACCAAACAGCAGCCAAGAGCTTGGTATAGGGCACGCACTTCTCGAGCGACTTTGGCACAATTTAGCAGAGTGAAATGGAAGTTTACTACAATTGGGTAAGGACAAATGGGCGTGTCCTTCTTGAGGCTACCCTTTAACATAGGGAAACCATCCCTTCTTGGCATCCCCTCCCCCCCCAATTTGAAGACAAAACGTCATCCCCCTGAATTTGAAGGCCGACCTTGAGACTTGGGATGTGACCAAACCTTGGCCCAGTGGCCTTTCTTGCCTTTGCCTTTGCCCTTCCTCTTCTCAGGGAAGGCGTTGAGCACTTCTGGCAGGTCTGCTGCCCTGAAGCCCTGCGGATCGGCCCGGGGGTTCGCTCGATTTCGGTAGGTTCTACCTGGCTTCATGGGGGGGTCCATAGTAAGGCCAACCTAAAACCTGATCGACCATGTAGGGAATAGATTTGTCAAATTTGTTCAGTTGATCAATACGCCTGGCCGACTTTTTAGAGGGACACCTTCACCTTTGTCCTTGTTTTTTGCCCCGCTATTAATCCCGAATGCGACTTTTCTGGGGTCAACATTGCGCCGTTGAGTGCTAAGTGCCAGAGAGTGCCGTTGAGTGCTAGGGAGTGCTGGAGCAAATCGCCAAGGCACGGAACTGAGACACAAAACACAAAACATGAATCATGAACAAACAAAGGAAATATGGTTGGATCTCCGCAGCCGGTCAAGTTGCACAGCGCTTTCCTCCAAATAAGGTCTTAACAGAGTGTCATTTAAGGACTTAATTGGGGGCAGCAAAGTGAAGGTCTATGGGGCGGGGGCGGGGGGAAAGGGGGGGTGGAATGTCAATCCAAAGAACAATAAAAAAAAAACAAGAAAGAATTAATAATAATAATAAGAATAATAATAATAATAATAATAATAATAATAATAATAATAATAAAAATAAAAACATGATCTCAACAGCAAACCAAGGAACGCGCAAAACAACAAGGGACTTTCAGGGCGAACGACTCTGTGTAAGTGTAGCTTATAGCCATCAAGAATGTAATGCTAATTAAAGCCACTCAAACACTCAAAATGAGACAACAAAAAGAACCAAACAGCAAGGGCCAACAATGCCACAAGGGCAACACGGCCAAACACCACCCAAAACCACCGAAACGGAGTTCAAAGCCGCCCAAAAGAAACTAAAGTTAACAAAATGGCCAACTTTCCCTGTCGGATCCCTGAAACGGCTATCTTTCCGCCTTCGGATTCCCGGGGCTTCTCACCAAAAGCCACGCCTCCAAAAGCTCGGGGTCCGGCAGCGGGTGCTCGGGCAGCGGGAAGCGCTGCAAGCACTCGCAGGCGCCCTTCACGATCCAGCGCTCACGGGCCTCGTGCTTGGACAGCAGGAAGGAGAGCCTCGCGGGCGGGATGCCAGTGACAAAGTGGGCATGGAAGGGCAGAGTACCCACATTTTCCCACACCGGGAGGGGGGGGAATTCTGAGAAGATGGGTATAGAAGGGCGAAATACCAACATTGTCCCTCACAGCTTGGGGGGAGTAAAAACTGTCTTCTTGCTGATTTGATAGGTGGAGAGGAAGAGCCTCGAGCAGCAAGAGTTGCCGTTTGGGTCTGTTTAGCGTGCTCGTAAACGCCCGTGTGTGAACCCATGACCATGTTGAACCACTGGACCGGGTTCGCGCAAACTGAGACATGACGACCAGTGACAAGTGCTCAGTCAACCAATGCCTCAGGGTAATATCCTCAGGGCCACGACAGGTTCATATATGGACATGTCCTTTTCCCCTTAAACTTTTTGCAGCACCCATTCTTCACACAAAAATTGGTCCTGGAAAGGAGTTCCATAAAAATCACCCAGGGGTTACCAGGGGTTCATACCAAACCTACATTTGGACCGGGTCTTCCCTTTTTTGGCTCCGCCGCGGCGCTGTCGTATGGTCTGCAAGCAGGTGGACCAAGACACGCCGCGCATGCTCTCCCCCAAGCATCGCCTAAGGCTTAGGGCGCTAGGGGGCGGCCCCCTTGAGCGAGACCTCCCTTTACCCCGACCGTTGGAGGTGACAGAGCCATTGGGCTTTAAGGGGGGTTATCCTTGCACTGGGATCCTACTGTGACAGGCTTTCCTATTGCACCTTGGCTTCTGAGTCTTGAACCAGGATTGGTGGTTGAGAGATCGGAGATTCCTGGAATGTTGTCGCAAGGGTGCTCGTTTGCAACCAATTGCAACCAAATGGGGTCTGCCTCAAAATGCGCGGTGGGACCCTGCAAAAGGGGCGTCTTCTGATTACGGGTGCTCCGAAGAGGCTTTTATAAGGCTGATGAGGAGAAGCGGTTTGGTCATTTTGCTCCTTTTCGCACTCATTTTGGCTGAAAATCCAGGTTTGGTGGTGTTCGGCCCTAGATGTTGCAAGCAACCAAGCCATGGTGAATTGCCCTTCCCTTGCCTAGGTCTACCTCAGCCATAGATCCTGGCCAACTTGTGGGTTGGGAATCAAGATGCCCCATTTTGGACATCAAGATTGGACCCCAGGGTATTTCCTCTGAATCGAGAATCGGGGAGTGGGGGGGTCTCGTCATTCATGCCAAGGGCAGCTCACTCAAACACAACGAGCTAGACCAGAAAGCTAGCTTCAGCTGAGTTTCACCCCGGTCTCCGCGTAGTTGGGGTCAAAGGCGTTGGTGGAAGCATTGTGCTGCAGCACCGCCTGAGACAAATAACAAACATGGGCTACCCATGGTCATCCCTATCCCTCAATGGAAATCATGAGGGCCCCTATTGTGGGGGCCCGCTTATTGGATTGGCCCCCCTCCTGATGCATGATCTAGGGGGTGGGAAGAATTGCCTTTACGCTAAGTGGCAGCTAAGTGGCAACGGTGAAGCCATGCCAGTTCCCAGGACATTGAATGGATATTCCTTTGCTGGTGCTAAAAACATCTAAACACCATCTGGACACTAGTGGCAACGGTTGAACTTGTTGATTCAAGCAACAGGATCATTTTGTTGAAATAGTTAAATAGCGAATTGATGTGTTTAACTGCACTACCTGCGTCGGAAGACATAAGACAATGCGGACGGTGCTAACAGCAAAGCCCCAACCGAAAGAGAACCCAACTTGGCTGCGAAACATATGTCCCGCAACCTCGGCCCCTTGCATCACAAGTGGCAACTCAAAAACCTGACGAACACCGCAGCTCCCAGGACCCCTTTGGAAGACTTGGATCCATCAAGTGGTCAATTGGAAAAGCTTCCTTCTGTTCGCCCAGAGCGTTCACAGCCACGGGCCTCTGCAAACTTTACTTTATAACTCCCAAACGCTGACTTCAAAATTGGATCCCCGAGTCATTGTTCGACCATTATCTTTGTTCGACCATTATCTCCTGGCTTTCCCTCGTTATATGCCCCCCCGAATCGAATCCGTGAGTTTCTGTCGCGCCATATAAAATCGGCATTTTGGCCTGCAGAGACAGGGGCAGCATGAAGTGGGTGAGCGTGGTGGAGGACAAGCCGTTCTGCTCCGCCCGCTGCGCCAGAGCCAAAAGGCCCCGGCCCCTGACAGTCGAAACGCCATCCTTGAGGCCCAACATGTTGGGTAGACGGGGGGGGTTTGCCCGAAAACCACCGGCCCCCCCGTCGCCCTGCTCTGACTCCGTAGTTGCCCACCATGATTTGACTGGGGGTGGAGGGGCTGGGGGGGGGGGGGCATGATTACGTCGGTGCTCGAGATGCTTCGTTCAAGAGCTAGATCTTGGCACCGAACTCGCCTGATGCCGCTTCCGTGAGTTCATCTAAGTTGTCACTTCAGCTGCATTCGCCCATCAGCAACTCAGGTGCATTCGCCCATCAGCTGCATTCGCTTCAGCTGAGATGGAAAAAACAACTCAGACGCTCAGGTCAGCTTTGCGGCCTCCCACTGCGCAAAGCGCACGTTTCTGTGCTTGCCGCTCAGTCAGGTCTGCAGCCACTGGTTCAGGCATTCAGAGAATACCTGGACCACATCGCTGACCGTATCAACCCCCAAGATGCTTTCAAAGACACGTCTTGGAAGACGTGTCTTTCGACCTCAAGCAGAAACGTGAAAATCCGCAATCCTGCGCGCCTGTCAGCCGCGCGTACTCTTACCTAGATGTCGGAGTACGCGGATTTGAGGAAAGGCTTATAGCTTGTGAACCCAAGGGAAGCTAGATTGCATGATAAAAACCAATGCAAAACAACGTCGTCCTTTTTCAGTATCTTCATTTGACGTTGCGGGTCCGGGCAAACCCCCCCCGTCTACCCAACATGTTGCACCCAAAAGACAACGGGCGAAACTCCTTTTTTACAACCTTGGAGCTGTTTTTGGTTTCATTTGTTTAAAGCTATTCTATATTCACACATATATATATATATATACACATGTCTATACATATGTGTTTTTCTCACCTCAACACTTTTTACCTTGGATGCCTCCTTTCTCACACGTTCAGACTCTTTTCAGTTTCAGCCACTTTAGCGAATAATTTTGGAGGAGACCAAACCGGGTGTCCCTCTGAAAGGCCTGAACGTCCCTTTGAAGGAAACGTGGTCGAAACCAGGCGCATTCTGCTGGCCTTAGGTTGATGAGAAATGGTCCCAGTGTTTGACAGTGACCTCTAAAAACGGTTGAAAGCGTGGGCCCGATCCCAACTGGTCCCTTAACAGGCAATAAGTGACGTGTTTCAAAAGACCGTGCTTGACGGTTGCAACGTGCTTTGGACGGGTGACCCCCAAGAAAACAAGGAACATGGGTGGAATCCAGTGAGCAAATGAGAGATCTCGCCGTGGACCAGAGATGTGCTTGTCTCCAAACGGGTGGAAATTCAAACATAGGCGCTTGCCCGCCCCCCGCTTTCAAAAAAAGAAACCGACACACGCCCTTCCCCCCACCCCCCCCACCCCCCCCCCAAAAAAAGAAATAAAGGACAAAAAGAACGAAATCCACTGAGCAAATGGGCCGATTCCATTCGCGGTTCCATGGCGTTCTGGGCCCATTCCGGCTGGCTGGTTTCCCCCCCGTTTCGCGCGGGGCGTCGTCTCGCGCGTTCTTCCGCGGCCTGCGGTGCTTTTGGAGGTGCAGCAAGTTCCCGAACAAGTCCCCGCCGTCGTCGCCCCGCACGTTCTTCAGCAGGGGCAGCAGGTCTTGATGCAGCAAGGCCTGGCGCGGCCGTGGTCTTCCTTGTTTTTGCCGGGCAACGGGTTTAATAAGAAAGGGTAGGAACTCGGCAACCATGATAAAAAAGGAGTTTCCACTCTTCACCAACAAGCCTTCAGGTACAAACCGAGCCTGGACCATGGGGAAACACCTGTGAACAATTGCACCTGGCCCAACACAGGGACCAAACGGGGGTTACCCCTTGTCGGTCTCCCCCACCTCCGGTGAGGACCCAAAGGAGGCGCCCCTCTGCTCGCCCGACGCCGGCGCCGCTTTCCAGGCGCCGCAGTGGGGAGCCAAGAAGCGCACGTAGTGCGCCAGCACCCGCAGCGCGGGGCGAAAGACCTCGTCCGCCGGGGCCTGGCAGGTTGGCGGGGTTCAGGGGGTGCCCGCGTCTTCACGCACATCTGGAAAGGGGGTCCACTCATTTTCAAGAAAGGGCTTCATCATGCCTTTGAATTCCCCGAAAGATCCATTCCTTTTCAACAAAGAGTTTGATCATGGCTTTCTTGCGTTCCCCTTCACTTTCCTCCAGTTCCTCCTTTCTAAGTGTTGGAATTTATGGAAAGGCAAACCTGCAGTTGGAATAACAAATATCTCGGCCCAGCCCAGGATACAAAAGCAACATGTTCAGAGTTTGTTTCATACATAGCCAACTTTGCATAAAACAGTTTGGGAGGAGACCCAACATGTGAACATAAAGACTTGGACCATTTTTCAAGCATCCAAGGGCCAGTGTAAGGCCAGCCAAGTGCTCTGAAGAACACCTGGTTCAAATCTGCTTCATGCGTTCTTTTCCGTGTTGCTAGTGGTCTGCTACATTCGTTTGAGCATTTGGTCGACGGGACTAACACTCCTGGCTTCATTGGCGGCTAGCCTTCCTGGCCGCTGGGACTGGCTAAGCAAAGGCCTAAGGAGCCTGACTGCTCTCGCTTTGACCATGGCCTTGACCCATTGCCTAAAAAGAGCCCAATACAAAATTCATGGTTTCCCGAAAAAGGGCACGGGCAAACTGGGTGGGCCCCCCTGTTCTTTTGAATGCAACTCTGGCACAAGTTAGACTCGTCACTCCATGAAAAGCCTGGCTCCTCGCCAACACTTGCTCAGCCAATGAACATGGACCCCATGTCCTAAAACAAGAAGAGTCCTCGAAAATGCAACTTCATCGGCTTCCTGAAGCCAATTTGCTCTGAAGGATGTCCTGACCTGCTGAGCTGACTGGCTAGGAAACCTGAGTTCGGAAACTGGTATGCGTCCTCTTGGCGTGGGGAGGTAGGCCTTTCCCAGGTCGATTCATGCAACAGGATTCAGCATCCGTTCAAACAGTGCCTCCCCAAAAAAGCGCCCCGTTGTGAGCCACACAATGCGTTCCCTTTATATACATTCACCTGGGGAAATAGACAGCGTTCCTTGAAGCTTCTGGCCATGGTCTCAATCTGAGTCGGATTGATGCAGCCTTGGACAGCTGTGAAAAGACCCTATTTGATATCTATGCCGCTTTCGAGACCTGTGGTGCTGCTTTGGCTGACCAGAAAGGGGCTGCGGTGAAAAGGCCAGAAAGGTATAGAACGACCAACAACGAAACACACATGCCAAGAACCGGAATGTTGTGGCATCGTGTTTTTTTGGTGGTTCTGAATTGGGTGACTTGATGAGCTGACTGAGGCCTCTACTTTACCAACATTACAGAGGCTGCGGTACTACAAGTAGGTGTAACTTTCAGAACTTTGGGCAAACCAGGACCACAAACAAGGGACCTTCATCATGGGTCCCGACCCCTCCCCCCCCCCCCCCCGTTTTTTGGGGAAGCGCAGAAAAATCCTGGACAGCATCCCGCCTTCAGCATCCGCCGTAGCGCCTGGATGGTAACCGTGAAGGTGAGGTGCAGCAGCTCCTGACTTTTGGTTCTACCATACTAGAACCACCCTTTTGGGGGGTTTTCTAGGGGTTTCCCCATTCTTTTAAACCATCGTTCTTTTCAAAAACCGGCTGTTTCCCCTTCAGTTTTGATGGTTTCCTGAAAAGAAGGGTACCCCTAGGGGTTTGGGCGCTGCACAAGTTCTTAACTCTCACTTGCCCAAAGGACCCAGGAATAAAACGTGATGACCAAACCAGGTCGGCTTTGGGCAAGTGAGTGCCACTAAGCTGGGTGCCAAGCCAAAAGGGGGGAATCCCATCCGCAGCGCTGCAGCGGGACTCCACCCGGATTGGTTTTAAACCCACCCAACCACCGAAAAAAAGAAAGAAACAAAAGAAGAAAAAAAAAGAAACAAAAAAGGAGAACAAAAAAGACAAACCACCACGAAAAAGCGGGCACCGGCCGGGGAGCCCACCGAAACAAGAGAGAAACGAAACCGAAAAGGCCGAGCAATTGCCCCCAGAGCCTTGATCAGCCCGGCCTGGCGGTCTTCGGTGGCATCCTCCACCTGACGGGCGCGGATCTTTGGAAAACTACACCCAAAAAATGGGGCCCCGAAATGGACACCTAAAGACAAACCAAGCAATAAAAGGTGATCACCTTTTGCGGCTATGACTAAAAATGGGTACCAAAAAGGAGAAACTTTGGACTTGGGTGTGCCACTTTTGTGGGTACACTTCTTTTGGCTGAACCCAACATGACTTGTTTCCCCAAGTTTCCACTCCCGAAGCTGAAGCCGATATTTGCCGGGTAGAACAAAGGGCTCTCGCCGGACCGCCTTTTGTGGGAACCTGGCGGGCATGTTGGCTGATGCGAAAGAGGCCTCTCTTTCTGAACAACGCAAGGAAAAAGCCCGAAGTTTGCACAAAATGCAAGCCGATGCCACAAGCAAGCAGCAAGCAATGGTGCAAAGCGAACACCTCCGCCCAATGCATGGTTTCCCTTTTGTTCTGCTATATAACAACCCCCGCAAAGCACCCCCAAAACACCAACATATATCCGTACATATATATATATATATATAATATATGTATATATACATATCCCTTAACAACAAAGAGACACACACCCATAACTTACCCCCGGCTGCCCCTGGTTCCGGCCTGGTGCAGCAGCCGGTCCGCCAGGCAGCACAAGACCCGCTCCGCGCCGTGCTGCACGCCCAGGTCGACACCCTCACAGCCCAGCAGGAAGAGGCAATGATACCTCGCGATACGTGGCTCAAAATGAAATTGAAACAGCTGGTTCACCAGGGTTCCATTTTATTTTGGACCCCCATTTTTGATCACCCATGTCATGGGACCCCTTTCAGGGGGAGGGAGGTGAGGACCCATTTCCATTTGTTACCATAAGGAGAAGGGGGGTGGGGGGTCCCTAAAACTCAATTTCTCTAGTCTTCCCAAAGGGAAACGGAACCATAAATGGAATGAGGCTCACACCCAGGGGGGGCCCAGAAGAAAACCCATAGCAGAAGTCATGGCAGAAGTCATGGGGGAACCTATACGGGAATGGAAGGGGGAATCCCTCGCGATTTCGCGCTAAAGCGGGGGGGGCCTGGAAACATACACTCACTTCCGATCGAGTGGATGGGCCACAAAAAGTAAGCAAACGTCTTGTTTGCCACTGAAATGGTCGACACAAAAAGTTAAAAGTCCGGGAACTCAGGAAGTGAGTACAACAATTACACTGCCGCCTGTGGTGTTCTTTTGGGGATGTTGCAGTATGCGCTACTTCGGGAGGTCAAACATACGTAGCCAAGCTATTCGAGGTTGAGACTGTTTTGTCGTTGGAGTTCGTACCTCCAGGCTTCTGGCTGTTCACTCACAGTGACCTTGCACAAAAACTTAAAGTCCAGCAACTGGGCATGTGAGCGAAAGGAGCAGCAGTGCTTCAGTTTGTGGGTCAACAGGGACTCGAAGGAAATCACAAGGGACGGTTCAGTTGGCCAAGGTCATTCCCTCTACGGGTTGAGGTGTTTGAGTTTGAGGTTTGAGGAAACCCCTTTCCGGCTCAACCCCACCTGGTTTCCAGGGAAAAGATCCACCGCTTTCGGGGTGAAGTCTGCCTTGGGGCGAATCCCCCAATCGAACCCACGCAAACATATCCCAGCGGCAAAGTAGGGGCGTGCCTCAAACAATGTGGTCTTCTTTTGGTTTCTCTTTAAGACAAGGTGAAAATGGTACCGAAGAAACAAACCTATGCGAGGTTGGGACTGTTGGCAGCTTTCCTTTTATCAAGCTTCTCATGAACCACTCTTCCTCACACCCCCTGCTTCTGGACGCCAAAAACCCACATGCCAAGGAGCAACAAACGAGCGATCAAACAGCCAAGTACCTGCCCAAACTAACACATGTCACGACCCGCCTTATTTGTCCAGTCCGCCTCACACACACACACAACCAACAAACAAACAACAACAAACCCAGCCGGATTCAATCAAACAGACATTTGGGGAAGATTCCTTGCGGGTACCCCCCCCCCATCCATGCATTGCTTGCAAAGGCACACCACCGGTGCCAGCATCTTGGCAGGAACCACCTCAGGCATGCCCGAAGTGGGATCCGCCGAGGCCGAATCCTTTGTGACCAGCTCTGGGCAGTTGGTTTGGGCCCTTTGGGGCCTTGGAAAAGCTGCATGGGCGGACAACTTTCAAGATGAATGCCATTGAACAACTAATCTCTCAGACATACATACCGGGCACAGTTCGGTGGGTGATTTCAGGCAAATTTAGGGCGCACACCCCGGGGACAAGCACGAAGATGCTTCCCCATGAACAGCTGCCATCCAAAAGGATGAAGCCAAATTGACCCAGGAGGGTTGATTCCCAAGCAAAGAGGTACGTGGACAACTGTCGGGGCTGCCAAGCAACGATTTGGGTTGCTTGCGAGCCTCTCAACGCACATCTTTTCGGAGCCATACATCCCGTGGCTCCCGCCATTTGTGGTTCGACATGGTCCATGTCGCGAATTTCTCCGGGTACAGCATGCCTCGCTACACCCCTCGGAGCTAAATAACAAGAGGCACCAATCGAAGCCTACTCACCTGCCCGTGCAACTGGCCTAGAAGAGTTGCGGCCAAATGGGCACCATCGATTCCAATGCTCGGCCCCCTTTTCTGGGATAGAAAAGCTCAACCTAAAGCAAGGAAAGTTAGCTCACTTGTGTGGTTTTGGGGTGTACCTGTGAATATGAATTCCTCCAGTTGCTCAAGTTCCCTGGAAATACCTATATCCAGTAGTGATTGATTTCCTTTAAATCCTCTAAAACCAACAGGGGAAAATGCAACCTTGCGCTTGATTGGTGGTTTGGTTTGGTGGCGTTTCGTTCACCTTGCCCTTGATTGGTGGCTTGGTTTGGTGGTTTGGATGTTAGGTTTGGTTCCTTCGAACTTGGTTTCAAATCGTTCATGGTCTTTATGCGGTTTGTGTAACCAATGAAAAAGACAAGGGTAGGCAATTGCTTTCGGATCCTGTTGAGGTTTCTTCACTTCCCCCTTGAGCCAGCAAAATAGTTCAATTCTTGCAGGGGTCTACGGCTGGCCAGTGCTTTTCTTGGGGGAAACTCCTCTGGGTTGGTTTTCACGGGAGATTAAACAGGACACCTCTCTCCCATTGGCTTTGGCAACATGTAAGTAACAAGCTCACCGATCGGAGCGAAACTTGAAATGATGGAGCTTACCAATGACGAGGTCCCGTACCTGATTATTCCTGATGTCCAGTTTGTGAATTCTTCCATTTGGTTTCAAACCACCAAACCAGCAAACCAAACCACCAAACCACCACACCACCAAACCACCAAAACCACAGCACCAACCCAGCAAAAACCTCTGGAGTCGCAAACACCATGGCCCCCGCCTTGCCCTCCACGAGGTGATGGTCCGCCAAGCCCTGCAGGATCTCCACGTGGGCGTCCACATCCGGCTCCTGAAGGCCTGAGCGCCTCCGCGGTTAAAAACCGAGCGTGGATTGAAGAAACGCAAACAAAGGACGCCAGGTGTTCAAAACACCCCGTGAACACACGGCACCTTGGGGCGCGCGCCTTTTCCCGTACAGCGCGCGTAGAGAGTGTGCGCACCGTGCGCGTTTTTTTTTCTGCGCTGTGTAAGCGCATTGTTCGTGTTCTGCACGCACTGTACGCGCTCATCACATGCGCGACGTTGGCCCTCCCGCGCAGGGGCTCGCTGCATCGGAGGGTTGAACAAGTTGCTGCCTGCAGGTTCTTGCCACGTCGCCCCCTCAACACTTGGCGATCTGAGCAAACCAAGCCTGGCTCAGCCCGTTTTCTGACATCATTTCGGGTATCCCGTGTTGGTTGGGAAGGAAACGGATTGATGGAATCCCAGAAAAGGTCTGGGAATCTTCTGGGAGTGAGAGGAGGTTCTCTGATAAATCCAAAGTTGACATTCCCCCTATTCGTTGTCTGAACTGTGCTTGATGACCATAGTCAGGTGAGAGGAGCTGCAAAAGAAAAACATCATCAGCTTTGAAGTGAGTAGCAGCAACAATCAAAGATCATTCACTCATTTGTCCACCTCAGTTTGCTGCCCGCAGCTAAACACAATGAGCTTAGATTCTAGCAACCATGAAAAAACCTCAAAATGTCACCCTCTCGCAAACTAGCATGGAAAAGCTACAACAACGTAACTTGTGTTGCTTAATACGGGGATGAGGGAAACACCCAACACTGCAAAAAGTAAAACAAGGTGAGCTGCGCGGCAACGATGCAAGACACCCCACAAATCACTGGGCACGGATTAGCCTTTTCAAATGCCGTTGATTCTTCATGGGCGCTGACTCAAAAAGTCCAAGCTTGCCCAAGTATCGCAGGTAAGCCAACTGATGAGATCCTTTAGGTAAGCTCCGAAGATAACCAACAAACTGTTGGAATCTCTGCTGATACGGGTCTTAATATGCCATCAAAAATCGGTGATCGATGTCCTCCAACCGCTTTTCAGAACTTTGGAGGTGGTTCCCTCTGATTTGTGTACCGAAAAACGGCGGGCTTATGGAAAAAACACAGCGCTGGGGACACTGCCCCTCCTTAAAATTATTGGCCACCCCGTGACGGTCCAAAGCCCGCCTCAGGCTGTTCAACGCGCTCACCAAATGGGCCACCTCCAACGTACTAAAGTCCTTGTCCTGAGGTGGAGAAACCAAGCAAAAGGGGACCCTGAAGAAACTGTACCAATTTTGGCTTGTCTGTTTGTTTCTTTCCCCTTAGTTGTTTCTTCCTATCTCCTCTAAATTCCCTCCTTGTGGTTCCTCTTTTCGTGTCTGTGTTGGCTTCCGTTCTTGGCTATTTTTGGAAATGCAGTTGGATTGCCTTTGAGCTTTATTTTTAGACTCGTACTTTCCTTTTGGTCATCTTTCCTGGTGGCGTCCCCTTTTTCAATATGCTAGTCGCAAGTGAGTCGTGGCTTCTCTGGTGCCTTCCTTCTCGAGTTCCCCGTGCAAACGAACATGGAACCAAGCATCATGTCAGGAGGAATCTCCCTTAGAAGAGCCCAATTCTTGTGGGTGGTCCCATACTGTTACTAATTCTCAGGGCTTTTGGTCTCCGTTTGGTTGCTCGTTGCCTTCCAGCGCGCGTTCGCTTGCCTGCTCGCCTCAGTTTGCCCACCACGCCACTGGCTGTCTTGTCCCCTTCAGAGGTTGATCAACAGCTGTGGATGTTACGGGTTGTTGCCACTTTTGGAGGTAAAATTGAGGTTTTGACTTTGACTGCCCGGTAGGTGCTGAGCTGGGTGAAGGAAGCTCCGTGTTCCTTCCTTGGGGGCTATCAAATATGCCTGGCATCGGGACCAAGCAACCCCGGAACTCGGGAGCCACTCTGAACCCGACCTCCAGGCCTTTCATGTAACATGAGAATAAAGTCACCGGAACTTCCCCTGCAGTTGATGAATTTACGTTTGTTTTTCATTGAAACTGCCGCGAAATTGGAGGTTCCCAAACGGGAACTGGAGGAACCCCTTGCGAGCCGGATCCCGATGAAAAGTCTTTCCTAAAGTAACCGGATGCTTCGACATTCACTGGGAAATGACTCTGGACCCGTTGCCTTGGCAACAAAAATCCTTGGAACCTTTTTTGGGGGTTGATTCCGTTTTGTAGTGGGGTTCGAACCCACAAACACGGATTTAGAGGCTGAAATCTTCAGAGCAACTGGGGAGTTTTTTTTTGCACCGGCAGGGACCAGTCCTACCTCGGCCTTTGCTCCCAAGCCAAAATTCCGCGCTTGCTTCTGGCTCATACTTGGCGAACCTTTGGCAAAATAGTGTCCACCGAGATCCCCGCGTGCGCCGTGTCTTTTCTGAAGAACGAGGAACCTGAATCAATTCCTGGGGGCGTTGTCGTTGGCTTCCCTGAGGGCAACTCAAGGTGGTGTTTTGACCAACCCTGTCAATTTGAGACGTGGGTGTGTCGCACAATACCGGGGGGCTTCTCTCCCCCCCCCCAAACCGGAAAAAAAAAGGAAAGGACAAAACAAGGTGCGCTGCTTCTTTTTGGCTGAAAGGCCACACACCAAGAAAGATCATTCTCTTCAAGTGCCATGTTAGTGGCAGTGAGGGTACCCTCAAAAAGAATCCCCCCCCTCCCGCCCCCCATCCCCTCCCCAGCCCCTCCCCCCCGGCCTGATCTCCGGAACCGAACCCTCCCCTCTTCGACCCGTCCTCAGGCGGCTGCCAGGTGTGGCTCGTCTCCAGGTAGGCCTTGGCCTCCTGTCCGTGGCGCCTGATGGCCTCCACCTCCACCAGCAGCTCCGCCAGCTGCTTTCTGACCACCACGTCCTGAGGATGTTGTTCTCTCTCAGCCTCCCTCTGACATTGGGGCAATCCTTTCTTTTTTTAGGGGGGCAACCACTTGTTTGCTAGGTGCTAAAGGGAAACCAAAAAGAGCACCATTTTGGGGGTCCTCTAAATTCAGCTTCCTTCTATTTGGTGGTTTGGAGCCGAATCAGTGTTTTGGCTAGGGCATGGTTTCCCTTTTACCCTCAAGAACCAGACTTTCAAAACCCCAAGCCACCAATCCAAACCACAAATTCAGGGTAACCTGAGTTTCTAAGGATTACAAACCGGTGCGCGGGGGGAAAAAAGATACAAGGAAAGTTTGGGGTATTGGGATTCATGGTTTGCTAGGTTTTCTTGCATTCCGGGGATCAATCCTGGTTGCTGCAATTTCAGAATCCTGCAACCTACATTTTGAGCATACCCCCGAACCCCCTATGAAAGGAGTCTTCACGGGGACATGCTCCAAGGCATGTTGGAGGGTTCTTGGTTCCAAAGACCCCAGGGAGAAAAATCAGGCCCCCGGACAAAGAAGCAACAGAAACGCACGGAGTCTATCTGCTTACGTGTTACACCACTCCCCAATTCCTCCTCGCTTGCAGGTCCATTGCCCCCTTCCCACGCTGCCATCCGCAAACGGATTTCGGGTCGCAAAATGCTCGCTTAGTCACCGACATTCCTCCGTCTCCCCGGAAGCGAAGCAGCCAACGGGGGCAGAACATCTGTAATGCTAATGCTTTCAAAGAAGCCTCGATACTGAACACACTGATTGTTTGCTTTGTTTGTTCTGCCATGGTTTCTTCTTGTTGTTTTGTGTCAGTCCTCCGTTCCCCTCCAAACGTGATATTTCCATTCCTGCTCCCTGGGCAAACTTCCCAGTGGAACAAAGGTCCCAAACGGATCCAAACGGCTTAGAATTCCACTGCAGACTGCAGCAGCAAATTCTTTGGCAACGTGGCCAAATCACCGGCCATGACAAAACCATGCCTGTTCAAAATCTGAAGAAAAAGACACTGTTTGCTTGGCGGGTTGGCTTTGAAGGGAAAGCCAGCTCTTCTTTTTAAAGGCACCACCAGAGGTCTGGGAAGCAGTCTTTGCAGGGTTTTCTCACAAAATTACAGAAGGCTGGAAATGGAAAAGTAAGAAAAAGGAACACATTCGGGTGGACTTGGTGTGTTTGCAGCGGACCCCTGCGTTTTTCCAGATGCCACACCGACCATCTGGACCAACAAAACCTGGTTGGGGCCCGACAAAAACAAAAGAACTGCTTCTTGAGAACCACTTGACAGGTTCACGTTTAGTGGACGTTTCAGCTTCTGGAATAGACTAAGCCATCCAAAAAGTCGCCTACCCAATATAGATTTAGTGACACGCCCTGGAAGTCTACCAAACTCTTCTCAGCCTACCAAGCTTGTAGTGAAATGCCCTCCCACCCAATCTTACCTAAGCCTCTCTGGAGGCCCGGCATGGAAGGCTCCCGCATGCTCCCGCGCCCAACCGGGTCCTTGACGGAGCCCAGCAACCGGGCCACCGTCTCGGCCACGAAGCTACTCTGCGACTTTGGCTTCTTGACGGCCTCCTTGCGAGTTTCTCGGTCCTAGAACTCAGGATGACGATGAACCACATGTCAAAACAACATGATGCAACATGAAGCAACATGATGACGAATGACTGATGATGAAGAAGCAGAAGATGTGATGATGATGAAAGATGACTGAAGAAGAAGAAGAAGAAGAAGAAGAAGAAGAAGAAGAAGAAAATGATGATGATGATCCCTGTTGCTGGCCTGCTCAGTTGACTGGTGAGAACAAACGCAAACCTTGACTAAATGATCACAGCTACCAGGAGCAAGTTTAAGGTTGGCCAAACTAAAGTGGCAAGCATAGGGTGTAGCAGGGGAACCCTCTTTTCGGTTGGCGAAGGGAAAGCAAAAGGTTTGACGGGGAACCAGAAAGAAAGCCAACCTGATGAGCGTCCAAATGGGTTTGTCTCAATGGTGGAATTGTCCTTCGGCTTCCACTTGAAAAAACCAGCTAACCTGGAAGGGCCCCTTCCAAAAAGACAATGGGTAACATCGAACCCTTGAGTCTGCTTGGGTGGCTGCACGATTCCATTTCTATCGGGGAGTATTCCCACCCCGCTCTCCACGGCTTCAGTTTCAGCGGCCGACGTCGCCGCCTCTGGACCACTGGGCTTGGCTGCCTCCTTGCAACCGGCTTCCCATGGGCCAAAGGGGGCCACCAGTTTGGAGGACGGCGTTACTTTGGGGAAGCCCGGTGTGCACTTCCACAATTGCGGAAAAAATGGTAGGGGGGAAGATCCTGAACAAACCCAGGCAAGCCACCCAAGACACAAATCAAAGGGAGCAGGACACCAAAAGGGCCGGCCCGAAACAAGCTGAAGATGCTGAATGGGAACCAACCCAAAACGCTCCAAAGCCACGAGTTTTTCAGATGCCGCCGGGCTGCTGTCTGCATCCCGACGGCTTCTGATGGCAAAGCAACAAAGACCAAGCGCCGTAGGGACGTGACCAGGAGCAGCTGGCTCTCGCTGGACACGCCTTTGCCTGGGTCCGAGGAATGGAGGAAACCCAACAAGGATCTGGGCACTTCCATTTGCTTCAGCCCCGTGGAACAAAACCCTTTCCAGTGGTAGATTCCCTTTAAAACCCAATAGGGGAAGTTTACGACATAGTCTTCAGCGAATTGAAGGTCCCACACCTGAAATCCGAAATTCTGTCTGGGGCCTCCACAACAACTAGATGCACGGTCACATGGTTCCCACAAAACGAACCACCCAAAAAACGGCGCCCACAAAAATATATATGATCGTCCATGGCGCATGCCCTCCTGAAGGCGAGCTTCGGTTGAAAAGAGGGTACCCACTTGAGACGGCTGCTTGCAAGGGAAACTCCAGGCAAAGTTCAAGCCTTTTTTTTGGGGATCTGGAGGCACACGGAATCGCAAAATGTCGAGCCGTGGCAATGGCGACAAGGCGCCATTGAAGAATCATGTCGCCCCCGGCGGCGGAACATGTGCTCCTTTTGATGACTACTTACCTTGCTGGTGCTCAGCAGGGAATGAGGGAATGACCCCTATAAACCATCCCTTGTGGTTTCCTTTCAGGGGACCCTTGGGTTCATTCCCACATTCCCTACAGAGCACCAGCAAGATACTGCCTTCAGTGCTTGGTTTCCGATTCTGCTGGAATCCCCCCTCGCAGAAGGACTGGAATCCCCACTCGCAGAAGGAAGCGTCCCCCAAAAAAGGCACCAATCGCCTACCACGGCCGTGACATCATCTGGCGAGTCCGACTCAGCAACTTGAAGCGGCTCGATCCAAGGAGTTCGGTTCAAGTTCCGTGGCTCGCCTTCAAACTTCGGACGGCTGGAGCCAAAGAGCCCCTGGAGTTACGTGGCAATCGGACCCCAGTCCCAAGGAGATTCCACAGCTTCTGCCCCGGACAAAAAGTAGGTTTAGATGTTTGGGCAACCATATCTGAATGAAGTAAACCTGACAATGGAGAATATTATCAAAATAGATCTCTGCATTCTTCTGACGATGGTTTTTTTCAGGTGATTTCTGTTGAGTCCAAGGGACTAGACAGTGAAGAAGTGTATGTCCTCAGGCCAAAAACAAGTTCATTTTCAAAAACATCCCAAAATGAGCAGGTTTTTGAGGGGGTAGCGGTGTACCGGCTTTCAGGGAAACCGGACGGGCAAGCACGCACGCACGCGCAAGCGCACGCGCACACGCACACGCACACGCACACGCACACGCACACGCACACGCACACGCACACGCACACGCACACGCACACGCACACGCACGCGCACACGCACGCGCACACGCACACGCACACGCACACGCACACGCACACGCACACGCACACGCACGCACACACGCACACGCACACGCACACGCACACGCGCACACGCACGCGCACGCGCACGCGCACGCGCACACGCACACGCACACGCACACGCACGCGCACGCACACGCACACGCACACGCACGCACACGCACACGCACACGCACACGCACACGCACACGCACACGCACACGCACGCGCACGCGCACGCGCACGCGCACGCGCACGCGCACGCGCACGCGCACGCGCACGCGCACACACGCACGCGCACGCACACGCACACGCAACGCACACGCACACGCACACGCACACACACGCACAGCACACGCACACGCACACGCACACGCACACGCACACGCACACGCACACGCCACACACACACACACACACACACACACACACACACACACTCACACACACACACACACACTCACACACATTTAGGAGGGTCCCTCATTCGGATTCCCGAAGGGAAACTGAAGGCAAACCAGAAGCAAATGGAAACCAAAGAAAAACACAGTGTGCTTGCCATTCTTTCACTTTCAACCCCCGATTTGGGAGTCTTTCTTAAGGATACCTACTGCCTCATCTCAACAGACAAAAACCGAGTTCGGCCTCACCGACGAAAACAAAGTGATCCAAAAGGTGGAATCCATTGAGGTCCCTGGGTGTTCCTCCAAAACCATCAAACAGGACACCCTTTGGCTGATTTGCGGAGGGAAACCCACCAAAACAAATTCTCACTTACCTACAGGACCTGGAGATAAAAGGTTAACCCTTCTGGGACCTGGACCAAAAGGCAAAAAAAGGAAAATCAAAAGGGTAAATGGTCCATTCGCCAGGCGCCTTTGGTGGTGGACAGTACCGTCATCAGCAGCTGCACCAACTGCTGCGCCACCTGACATCCAAAATTCGTGGGGAGGCTAAACCAAAAGGTCATGATTCGATGCCCAAATCCAACATCTTACCTGGGACACTAGACTTAGACCTCCAAGAAAGAAATAGACATTAGCCTTGGCAAGCACAAATATGGTTCAGAAGAACCCCCGTCCAACACAAAGAAAGAGACACATTTCCTCCAATGGAACGCCCATGCCCTCTGAAGCCGGCCTTGGGATCCGAGCACCACTCCGACACCGACGCCAGCACCGAGAGCTCCGTGGGTGTAGCCACGTGCACCTAATACGAGGAAAACCAAGACCCCCAGCCTCACGGCCCCACTCCCCTGTCACACACATCCACCCCCCTCTCGCACACACCCACCTCCCTGTCAGCCCCTGTGAGTCTCACGTCTCGCTGGGCACCTTGTCCCGTTGCTTTCCCTTGAGATGCAGCCGGTTCTGCACCAACTCGTGCATGGAGGACAGCAACACGTCCACGTGGGGGCGCATGACCTCGATGCCCCGACGCACCGCTTCCTCCTGGGCCTCCCGGTCCATGATGTCGTCCTAAGTGCGGCAACTCGTCGCAGGGTTTCGCGGAAGAACCCAAGAAGCTATCATGTGGTTGGGCTTCAATTCACTGGAAAACCAGAGAAACCCGACAAATGCAAGACACCTTCTTGGCATGCCTTGGCCGTTTCAGCCACGGTTTCACTCATGACCCCTGTGAGGGAAACCATGGAAACCTGAAGATGTGGACGTGGAGATCCCCACCCAGAACTGGTAGTCATGAGCCCCCCCCTGTTCATACGTCTTTCCTTTTGACCCAGGAAGGGCAAGCCGTGGGAATTGTTTGAAAGGAGGCCCGCTTCATCTACGTCGTTCTGTAAAAGCTGATACTGATATATATATATATATATATATTGATTTATTTATATTTGTGTATATATATAGTATATATCAGGGGGTTCCCTCGAAACTTTGAGTCTGAAATCAGTTCGTAGTTTTGGGAATTCGTCTGAATAGCCTGGTCCTCCGGAAGAACCCAACCCCAACACACATTACCCCTGGACTGGTGCTCTGCAAGGGGTATGAACTTATGAACCCCCAATTCCTCTTGCCACAAATTTGAGCGCTCGCCACCCCCCGAGCCTGCGATCAGTTCTTGGGCTCCGCATCACCGCCACCAAGGCAAACTGCACAGTTCCCAGCCCACAGCCAAGGTGATAACATATCCGTGCCGCCCCAGTTGCCCCAACACGTAGATTCTTCAACCCGGAACATGGGCTATATTCAATAAGCTCAGTCATGGAACTTCATGGGGCAAGCAACCAATCTGTATCCCGCCCCAAACATTCCAGCCCCGAAAAAGCCTTGCCCCAACCCCAACCGACACCCCCAACCCGTCCTCCTCTTCCTCGTCCACCTCCTCGTCGCTGTCGTCACCGTCCCGATGCCGCTTGCGCAATTCGCGTTTCACGTCCCTGTACTGTCGCCTCACCTGCGCACAAACAGGTCAGGCAACCATGGCATGGTGGGCAAAATGCGCTGAAACAACCAGACCGTGCGGCACATTTCACAGGATGTTTTTTTCACAGCAGCCTGGGTGAATTACCACCAACCAGAAAAACAGAACAACAGGAAAGACAGTTTAAACATGGGGCCTTGCAAACAACTCATCCTGAGGTCGCTGTAACATGCCGATCGCCGCGGCTGCGTCAACGGGAGGGGCTTGCCAGACTTGCAAGAGTCGCATTGGAGTTGCACGCAAGCCAAATCTATTTTATCCGCTTGAAATTGTGGTTCGAAGGGAAACGACCGGGCCCCAATCGACAAAGGATTCTGTTTTAAAAACCTGTCAGGGTGTTTCTCAAAAATTGGGACCCGAAAAAATGGTTGGTTCTCCTTCTGAATTCCCCTGAAGACACCCCCATCAAATCTACAGACAGGCGCTGCAAACGCAAGCAAGCGCCTTCTTGGCCGTCTCCAGGGACCCACCGCGGCAGAGGCGCAGTGCAATCTCTGCCACCAGGGGCACGACCTCAGCCAGCCAGCTCCGATAGTCAGTTTCCCACGAATTGGCTTGGACTGGTGGTTTGGTGGCCCAGGGTAGGTTCCCAGTAAACCTCTACAAGAACCAGGGTTCAAATCCCCAAGCCCCCAACTAAGGTTCCCTGAAATATGTAACACAACCGCCGGTTCAAGCAGTTTTGTAGGAAGGACAAACTGGAATGCTATTTGGAGAAGTTATGGGTTCCAATGGTTTGCCGCTCTTACAGGTTCAATCAACTCAACTAAAAGGAGTTCTCCTGTTGCCCTTTCCTTCGCACCGATTTTCTACCCTTGTGAAAGGATCGAGTGGGAGCAATCCTGAGTGAACAGTCACTTGCCACGTCATTCACCTAGGACTTTCTGGAAGGCAAAAAGGCTCGTCCTTGCAAGTTCTCCTAGGTTTCTCCCAAAACCCTTGGACAAAACACAAATCAGCAGAATGAAAACTGGCCCAAGCCTTCGTCCTTCCCGTCTTCCACCAAGGCGCGTCCCCCGCGTGGCCGTGCTCCGCCAACGCGGCCTTCACCGAGGCGGCAGCCGGCACGCGGAAGAGCCACTCGAGGGCTGGAAACTCCTGGAATCGGCGAAGCGGATGGATGCGCGGCGTGGATGCGGAGGTGGAGACATCTGCCGAACAACGCGGTCCCGGAAGAAATCCCCCATTGGAATCGCTTTGGAGTTCCCGAACGATTCGCTCTGGAGTTCCGGAAAAATATCCCCATTGTTTTGTTTTGTTGGGAGATCCGGATGTTGATATATTTTCAGGGGATTCCCCGTTGTTTGACCCAGTTCAGTTCAGCATTTTTGGGGAGTCTCTTGTTGGTAGTTCTTTTTGGGGGGGATCCTCTCCCGGAGGAATCCCCCAGACCCTTTTTGGCGTTCCTGAGTTGGAACGGATTTTGGGGACTCCCAATTGTTTGGCCCATGGGAGGTCAATATTTTTCGGAGTCCTTTTTTGGGGAGTCCCTTGTTGCTAGTCCTTGTTGGGGGGATTCTCTCTGACAACATGGCTGTGCTATAGACGTTTCATCTGCTTTAAGTTTCGGCCGGCGTTTCCTTTCCGAAGGGTATGGCGCATCCTGGGATCCGTCTCAATTTGCCTTGCCCGCGGGTTCAGCCTCCACTAGAAAACTAATAATGTTTGGAGAAAGTAGTCCTGGGCAAGATCTCCCTATATAAACCAAATAGAGGACCATGACGACCAACGGTGGTTCTACCTCACGTTGGGGAGAAAAGCAAAGGCTTCCAAAGCAATCTGTCAGGCGAATGGGTCGGAAGGAAGAAGAAGTTGAAGGGGTTCTGATCGAAGGTTTCTTCGAACCCGTCCGGGATGGATGGTTTGCCCCGATGTCTCTTCTGATAGGTAGGCGGGTTACCGGATTGAAGATGACACTCCGACATAGAGACTTCGCTTTTCTAGGGAAACAGAACTTGGAAGGTTTCATGTTGCCTCGACCCCCATTTGCTTAAGCCCCCCTGACAAAGACAAACATGTTTATGATAGTAATAGATTCCCTGTCAAGCCAACAGAAAAATTAAGCAACATATTAATTTCAGCCAATGTGGTATATAGGTTACCCTAAAAAAGGCGATTGGACCCGTTTCGGCCGTTTCGGAGCACGCGGGGATCCTCGAAGCACTGGAAGAGCGCGGGCTCTTCCGCCCAGCTCCGTGCCATGACCACCGCCGCGGAGGTCTGCACGGCCCCGCTGCTCGCCAAGCGCCGGAAAAGGAACTCCACCTCGTTGTGCCAAACGACCCCCCTGCAAAAGTTTAAGCAGCTACAAAGTGGAACGCTATTTGGACAACTCGTGGTTGCTGTTGAAAAAGGTTGTCACTTTTCGGGGGTTGAGTGGAAAAGACCTTTATTTCCCCAAAGTACTCCCGAACGGTTCGGGAAATGGTCCCAAACAAAAAGGAAAATGGTCCAAAGCAGGACCCCCCGAACGGTTCTGGCTGTTAATTTGGTGGGAAGCTTGGTTGCTGCAAAACCCCCCCTGCAAACAGTTTTTCACTTTTTGGGCGGTTGAGTGGCAAAGACCTTTATTTCCCAAAAAGTTGAAGTCTAAAGACCCAACCCAATAGCAGTCAAGACCTCACAGCTCCGATCGCCGCGTCTGACCGGTTTTCGGCTTCGTCCGGCCCGGGTTTTGGTTCGCGCGTTCCAAAGGGCGGAGTCCAAGCAAACCTAAACCAGGAGGGGTTGAGGATAGCAAAACAGGACACAACTTGCAAAAATGTGTGTGTGTGTGGGTGTGTGTGTGGGTGTGTGCATGCTGTGCGGCGCGCAGAGTCCACCCCCGCCCCCGAATGTTCAACTCAACTTGTAGGTAGGTCACAATTAAGCATCATTCAATTACCAACTGACCTTGGCGGCCCCAAATCGGAGAGGTTCCGACTTGAGCAGGGTTTCCTATATTTCTCCACAGTGCGAGGGGCAATTGCAACCGAAATCAGCCGGAAAATGCACACGTGGGGCTCACCCAAACAAACCCATATCTAATATGTTTCTCAAGGTTGGTGAGTATAAACATCGCCTTGCCCCTCTAAAAAAAGCTGCCAAAGGCTGGAAGCCCAACTCCGCAACTGGGGGGTTGAGCATCTTGGAACGGCAAACCCTGAAAAACACTTGGGTGCTTGCCACGATGGGTGGCCTTCCGAAAACGCGGCAAGCGCAGGAACTCCGAAAATGAAACACCCCCAAGAGGGGCAGATTGCTACACTCCCCACGTTCCCTTTTCTAGCAGGCCCCATTTTTTGTTTCTGGTCAAAGTCATCCCCCTAGATAAACCCAACACGATGACTTTAGCCCAAGCGGAGCCAAAGGCCCATTCTCAGAGCCTGGCCGTGCCGCGGGCCGGCCGCATCGCCGCCAGCAGCTCCTTGCCGGAGGGGTCGAAGGGGTCGAAGGGGTCGAAGAGCTTGAGGGGTCGAAGGGTTGAAGGGTTGAGGGGTTGAATGGTTGGGGGCAGAGTTGCTTGCCAAGCTAAGTTGCAGATTCTTGGGAGGGCTTCAAAGAGGAATGTGCACCCACCTGGTGAATGCATGAACCAAAAACTAATATGGTAGGACTGATCCAGGACTTATGAAACTTGAAGGCCACTCTTCAAGAGCCCAGCATGAATTGAACTGTGTCCTTTGTTGGTCAATGTATTCAGCCTTTGACAAGTAGCTGTTCTTGGCATACATGCCAGCAACACGCCGAAACACGAGCAAACAAACATACATATATACATACATACATGTAACAACAAATACGCGTATAACATATGTATATATATGTTAATATGCATTAATCGATTGGCACATGTGCATACGTATAAATACACATATACGCATAGTCAGGTGTACTTCTCCGAGCACGCAGTTCAACAACACGAGGCTCTCCTCGAGGTCCTCCGGGAATTGCTCCAAGAGCTCCTTGCAGCGCAGCAAGGCGGCGCGCAGGCACTGGCGGGTGATCTGCATCTGCTCCTGCGGATCTTGAATGTCCATCCCGAGGAATTCTGTCGTTGCACAAAGGCTGTTGCATCCCACCCACCATGGGAAACAAAAATGTCAGACCCCTTGTGGGGTTCTAAAGGGAAGCCAAAAGGAAAACAAGCAACGTACGGGAATGCGGATCCCCACATGTCAGGGGACAACGGGCTGCCATTAGAGAGTTTGGACAAATTGGATATTTGTGAATCCACTTCGTGGTTCCTTTTCAGCTCAATTAACGGGGGAAACCACCCCCCAAGCCTCGAAACTACAAAATCCTCCGGAGCCCTCAGAAGGGGGACCAATGAAGCGATTTTTGGGGGTCCAATTCCAAAAACAACAGCACACGCCCATGTGGGTTTGTCTCAAAATAGGGGGGTATACACCAAACTGGGTGGCTTCCCTTTGATTTCCCCCCCCAAAAAAGGTAACCCCTAAAACGGGTACCCTCGGAAAAAAGACGACCCACCCAAAATCCGCCAAAACGGATCGAACACGGCGCCAGGCGTCGCCTGGCGCTCCATGGCTCTGGAGGTCTGCCCGGCGCGCTGCAGCACCGAGACGCAGAGCTCCATGAGGCGCCGGGGCCAGGCGGTCGCGCGCATCTTGGGCGCCAGTTGGGGCACCACCTGCGAGCGGAGGCTCGTTTTGGTCCGGAAAATAGTTTGGGGCTTTGGTTGGTGGGTTGCAAAACTAGCTTGATTGATGGGTTGGTTGGATAAATCAATTTGGTATAGTTTGATTGGGTGATTGTTTGGTTGGTTGGTTGGTTTGGTTTGGTTTGGTTTGGTTTGGTTTGGTTTGGTTTGGTTTGGTTTGGTTTGGTGTTGGTTGGCTGGCGAGAATTGGAGAATTTCTTGGTGTGCCTCCTGACAGTACAGTTGGTTGGATGAATTGGTCGGTGCCTGGTGTTTTGCCTGGAATTAGTTGGGTATCCCCAGACTCCCAGACTTGAGAAAAGGCAGATCAAGAGTTGTACAAACCTCCAACCTCAGCTTTCGGGACAAACCCCACTGTGTTTTCAAACCTCCACGTACAAGTTTCGAAGACAAAGCTTCCATTGGTGGCTTCAAATTTATCCCAGCCCAGCCAAAACACAAACACATACCCACCTCTCATGGGCGGCATGGGGAGATGGGGACGATGAGGGTTCCCCTGAGATGCGCTGGATGGCTAAATTTTGGCGTCCCTGCATTCCAAATTTACTGAATCTTACTCAGGCGAAGCTTGTAGGGCCTATGCCTCTTAAAATTCACAATGACGCGGCTTCCAAACTGAGCAAACCTTACCGTGATACATGGTCAAACTGAGGGTGCGTTGCGAGGAACGAAGAGAACCAATACATCCACCCCGCCTTTGATTTTGACCAACACTCTAAAACATAACTCATAATTTCTCCACAGTTTTCGTTGTTCGGGGTTTTTAGTAGTATGTTCCAACTCGCCACAAACGCGGCGAACAATTGAACAACAAATCACACCAAGTCCTACCCACCAAGTCTAAAAGGTCCGCCTGTGTCCTGGCGATAATTCAAAAACACAAAAACATGGCGAATCCTTCACCAACAAGCCAAGACTCCAAAACACACACAATGAAAGAAAGGCAAAACAAAAAGGCAAATCGACGAAAGCCTTCACCAACCGCAGCCAGAAAACAACCACACAATACAAACACAGCCCCCCCCCCAAAAAAAAAACACCACAAACAACTCGATACGAAACCGACCCCACGCTTCAACTCACAAAACTTTTCAAGACGAGGCAACTCCACGAAACCGGGGCACAGCTTCTGAGCCACCCGCTTTGACTCTGTGGGTTTTGGCGCCTCCTCCAGGCTCTGCAGCACCCCGAAGAGGCGCTGCGGCGTGGCCTCCGTGTCCACGGCGATGGAGCCCGATGCATCCGGCCAGGCCCAGCCGGCCGGCAGCTGCGCCGCCTTGCCTCTGACTTCCGCCCGCGTGGCTTCGGGGGGGGGGGGGTGGTTGTCCTCCACTTACATGATGTGCTTGTTTGCCATGCGAAAAAATAAGTAAACATACAAAAAAACGATTGGAAAAATGCGAAAAGAAAAAAAAGAGGCCAAAACCAAAATATTCCCTTTCAAGCCAGGGGAAAATACATGTAGCAAACCCAGCTTTATAAGGAGCTTTATAAGGAAGCTTTATAAGAAGCTTTATCAGGAGCTGTATAAGGAGCTTTATAAGAAGCTTTATTAAGAAGCTTTATAATGTGTTTGCTGCTGTTTTTTTACCACATGGCTGTGGGTCAAAAATAGGGTAACCCCAAAACAGAACCCTGGTAAAGAGAAACATGGACGAAAACCTGCGTTCCTCTGGTGATTTAATTTTGACCCACAGCCACATGGCGAACATATATAACAAACATATGTAGATTCCCTTAACAATTCCCTTTAGAGCCAGGGGAAAATACATACAACACACAGTCTTCAGCAACATGAAAGTTGTCAAGGGCTCCCCCAAGAGGGAGCGATTCCCCAATCCCAATAGGGGCGAATACAAACAAATAAGGCCATGTGGGTCTGATAGGGTTCCTTTTTTGGGAAACCCCCTCTTTGGCCGGGGTGTGCCTGTCCTCCATGTGCGTTTTATGCCGGGTGCATCTTAACCCAGTGACAGGTCGATGCAATTCAACATGGTGATGCTGATGATGATGATGAGTGATAGGTTCCCTTTAAAGCCAGGGGAAAATAAATATAACACATATTCTTCAGCAACATGGAAGTTGTAAAGGTTGCAAAACCCGGGAAAGTGCGAAACTGGAGGCCAAGGGTGGGATATCAGCCATTGGCACAGCAGCTCCTCTGCGTTTGCTTCTTAAGTTAGGACACTAAACCGGACCTCTCCAGGAGTTGGGATGCCTTTCAAACGTTAAGCTAAACCGAATGTGGGCCCAAAATGGCCCAAACCTCCGCTTGCCATGGGAAGAAAATGAGAGGGCATCTATGGGCACCTTTTGACCGCCTTTCTAAACGTCTCAGCTTTGCTCCAACTCGTGATTTGCTTCAGGGGTGATTTCCCATTTACCGCTTCCCACCAGGCGTTCAACTCAGCCACCGACCCATTCCACCAACCAAGGGGATATCTGATCTTGTTGTTTTACTGGGGGGGGGGGGATAGGGAAGGAAAAAAACACAAAAAACACGGGCGCTGGGGGCCGCTCTGCGGCCCGAAGCTTCGCTGCATGCCAGGCCGCGGCCCCAGCGCTGCGCGCTGGCCAACTTCTCGCACCAGGCCGCGGGCTTTGGCGCCGCTTCGGTGAAGACGCGGCGCAAGCCTCGGGAGAGACTCCCTTGTCAGCCCTTTTGGCCTCGCTCATTTCCTTCTAGTCCCATTCTTTGTTGCCCTTGTCCGCTCCAACTCTTTTGGTTACTTTTGACCCCGTCACAGGGGAGCCATGTGGCGGTCTTTGTTTTTCCTCAGAAGTGGCTGGTGGACGTGAATCCCCTGAAAATGATGTCCACCAAAGGGGCGCCCTAGTGAAATTCGCACTTTTTTGGTGGGTTGGCCATTCTCCACGAGGATACCGCGTTTGGACAACAGAATGCAAAGATGACTAGGCCCTATTGGGAATAGGAGGCCCCTTTTGAGACAGAGGGAGGGCTTTGGCAAGCGCGGGGCAGGGGCCTGGTGCTTTTGCCAATCTCAGGCTACCGAGTCGGGACCAGAAAAGAACGCATTGCGCATTTCCCTTCCGCCGTCTCAACGGGGCTCCAACAGGGTACGCACCACAAAAGGGACACTACTGGCAAAGGGATTCTGATTGAGTTGGAGAAGCAGGTAGTGGATCATGGTTCCAAAATCTCCGTGATGAGGAAGGTAAGTTTAGCTGGTAAAGGCAGCACAAATTGTACGTTCTCTGAACTTGGGGTCGGTTGTTTTGAGTTTCGGATCAAGCCTGTGGATTGCTTGGCTTCTGTAGCCACCCACAGCCTGTAACCTGTGTCACTACCTCTGCCCCGGACCATCATCTTGCTACCCAGGGACCCTTCCATTCACAAACACTTGTAAACAGTTGGACACGCTTGAACCCCTTGGCAGATGTGGCCACAGCAAGCCTGGAACACGGTTACCCAATGCTAGAGTGCAGGGTTCCTTGTACCCCCGCTAAGATCACCCCACCCACCAAAAGAAAGCTCTATCAACATGAACCAAAAACTAAGACGATGTTTCAGCCACCCAAAAAACGACCAGTCGACCTCGGCCCACGGTGACATCCTCAAGGTAAGAACCCTGAGCCCACCGATATTCACAAGGCACCCAGGACTGCAGCTGAGACACACGCGGTGCGCTGAATCGAGGAGACCCGGGAGTCCGTACCCTGGACCATGCGAAGCTCGAACTTGTGAGGGCCCGGGGTTGGTTCAAGGCGAGTGGGGAAAGTCGCGCATGTTGCGGGCATGGGGTCCGTGGGTGCCTTAGAACCGCATTTAGTCATAACATAAGTTATAAGTTATAGGGGGAAGCGATCATACACCCAAAGGATTCGTTCGGTTAAAACATCCGCCTAACACACCGCAATTGGGCCCCAATGGTGGCAAAGAGACACGTGGACGCCTCCCCTTCCATTCATTGCTTCCCTTGTACGTGCCCTCCATACATGACTTTCAGGAAGAGAATTATGTTGGTTTGAAAGGGTCCACGGAACGAAAAAGAGAGTCCCGGATTCACATGGCAATGGGCAGCTTTCCTGTTGCTAAATGCGATGCACACCTTGGCGGCTGCCAAAATCACCACCCTTTGTTGTTGATCTCCATGAAAGGTGGCCAAAACGCTACCGGGGTCCCCAAACCCCTCTCATGGAGCCCGATCCAAAAATGATGGCAACTCAACTTGGGTGTTTTCTACCATGCTGAGTGGGATGGAAAATCCACACACGAACGATACGTACATGAATCACCCTTTGCAGGTGAAATCTCGAATTCAGCACCCAAACAAGCATGGATGCCCAAGTGGAACGTGGGCGTAAGGCGATTGTCTGGCGGTTGCATGTTCGCCTCTCTCAAGTTCATCGCCTCAAGCTTTCCCCCCACCCGCTTCTTACGCAACAAGCGCGTGCATGGCTACTCCAAGGATAAGGATGATGGGCACTGTGCATGGTTCCATATAGTTCCACATGGGCAGTTCCAAGTTGCTTGGCCTGTTGCGGATGGCCTTTGTAGGGTTAACCAAGACAGCACACCAGGAGACCAAAACGAAGACGCCAACCGCCAACCCATGGTGCTCTCGGGATCCTGTGCCCGGAGGCTTCCTGAGAGACCATATTTTGTTGAGAATTCATATCATGTACACATCTTAGATATTTTTTTCCGAAGATTAAGGATCTGTTCAAACGGTTGGTTTCTCTTTGCTTGTCTCGGAGCCACACAGGCGATTGGGAAGACCATGTCAAACACCTGCTTGAGGCCAGCGGCAAGCAAAACAACGCGGCCGTCGCTCCCCTGGATGCCCTTGTAGGCGGATAGATGGATGCACTGATAAATAATCAAAACCAAACTGAAACCAATGGAATCCATCTTGCCAACGATTTGAAACCACGGCAACCAGTAGAATCCACTGGTAAATTACTAGAATCAGTGAAACCCGTCGATGACCTGAAGGATGCCTATGCTCGCTTGCCTGCAGCAACTTCTTGCCCGCCTCGGACGGCAGCACCGTCAAGACGGAGCCCAGGAGCACTAAGAAGAGTTCCGGCAGCGACGCCTGCCGGGCCCGGCAGGAGTGGATCGTCCGTGAAAAATATGTTGCCGTTGGCATATGGCAAGTTCAGAGTCTACACTTCTTAAGCCCGGGGATGCTGACGCGACGGTTGGCCAAGGAAAAGATGTCTGAGGGAACAAACATCGCCGCCATCTACAAGAGAATCTGCCAAGGCTGAGTCTCCAAGGCAGAGTCTACACAATTTACCTCCGCCTCTAGGGATCCGTAGGGAACAGGATAACCTAAGTATCTGCGTTGATTCAAAATGCAGTGCGAGCCAATCCTAATCCTTCCTCCCTAGAAAGGCAATATGCAAAACCGGGGACGATCATGAATTGCCTTTGAACAGCCCAGCCTGTCCTCTGTTGTCGATTCTCGCAAAGGTCTGCATGAGTTTTCTCTCCCCAGGTTGCTTCGAAATCACTTGGAACCAAAGGACCCAGAAACAGGCGATCGATCACTTTTGGGACCACATCCGGTTCATCTCCGAGAACATCCCAGGAACCACGGCCTTTCACCGGCTTTTGGACTGGCAAATGCCATCGGAACCTAAGATCCGCTCTCCACCCCAAGGAAAAAGCTGCCGTGAAGGCTACGGTTGGGATCATACCCAAACCAACCCCAACCTTTCGGGGAGGGGGGGGGGTGAATGGGTTGAATGGATCTCACCTTGGAACTCAGGGATCCTCATGGGCATCGCTCGCTTTACTGCATGCATATAAAGTGACATCGAAAACAAATATGCTCTGTAAATGATGGATTGCTGGCTGGGAAACCACACCAAAACAATTCTGAGAAACTCCTTGAACATACAACCACTTTGAGACACCGTGTATGGGTATGTCTTTAGTTGAGGGTACACTTGTTGGCAGTGGCTTCAAGAGAAATTAACTACTGGCAAACCACGCAGTTGGATGGACCCTGTACAAACAAGCCCTCAGCTTTTACCACCCAACCCAAAATTAGCCTTCCCCCAAAGGTAATCAAATGAGGAAGTCCAAACATAACCACTTAAGGCGGATAAATGTGGGGTCCTGTTGCATTTCTTCATTCTAAGGTGGCTTCCACTACACCGGAAAATAATAGCGCAATTCAGTTTGTGTGGGTAAGCAAAAGGGAAAACCCATCATGGGTGGGATTCGTACCATCTACTTGCACCCAAACTGGGTATGTCTTTGCTGATGGTACTCATTTGAAGGGAAACCAAAAGGGAACCCATTTTGACACAACTTCCATTTGCTTAAGCCCCCTGGAAAAATAGACATATTTTCCAGTAGTGCTAGATTCCCTTTAAAACCAACAAGGGGAAATAAACAAATATTCATTTCAGCAAATGGAGGACAAGCGCAAGCGCAGTCTTGCTCGCGGCTCGGGACCGTCGGGACCTCGTCGGTGAGGTGCGTGAGGTAGGCCATCACCGAGCCGCGGCGGCTGGACTGCGTGCTGCGCTTCTCCAGCTGCTTGCCCCTGCGGGTGGCCTGCATCGGATCAGAGTTTGAGGGATAGACTCGAACAAATCAAACATTTGGTTTTGCCAAACTAAAAGCAAAAGGAATCCTAGTGCCCGGCCAAAGGACCCAGAAATACAAGGTGAACATGAACCAAACATTGGAAACCAAAAGGTCAAAAGGTCGATTCCAATTTGGGCAAGTGAGGAGAAGGAGCAGATTCTTCACATCTGACTTGGGTGAAAGCATAATTCAGGGCTCACAGGATTTCACCTTTAACAAGCTGATTCATTTACTGGTGGTTTCCACTAAAATTGCCACTTTGGGAGGTTCCAACAAGGGAAACGCAGGAAACCCTGCAATTCCCAAACATGGTTGGGTCATCTCCTTGCCCGCATTTAGAGAATAATAGTGTCATCTGCTTTCACCCTGGTGCCCCACCCTGAGGAATAGAATGGGATCTGAGAAGGGTTCTGAGAGGTAGCTGGGGGTTACGGGGGCTCTCTCTCCCATGAAGCCTCTGGCTGCTTCTTTTCGCCCCTTGTACGTTTTCCTTTGCCCCTGGACCGGTGGCCTGTTTTTTGTTGACCCCCTGCCCTGTTTGACTCCTGAACCCTGTTCGTTTCTCATGAACCTGTTTTCGCAGGCATTGGCACCCTAAGGGGCCGTCATGGGTGAGCTCGGTTTCCCCTCGACGTGAGCTGTGATTGGATCCATTCGGTGACTTCCATCCTTCTAGTGCTGGATGCCTTCAATTCAACGCGCTGCTACCTTTTTCCTTCAGAGCTGCATAGTCTCGCTGCAGTTACGACTCCTCTAGTGGTAACTTCCTCATGTTTTCCAGGGGTCCTTTCCAGCAAACCAAAACCCTTATGGGCCTCAACCCTTAGAACTGCAGCACGCAAACACACATGGAATATGGGGCCAAGCTTGCCCTGGCAAGCGGCAACTCACTGAGCGTCCCCACAACCTCGAAACACGGGAACACCCCTAACCTCCAAACCAGAAATGGGAAAATCTGTTTTGGAACCATGCCCTAACATGGGCCAACATTGGAACACTGACAGATTGAACAGCTCCAGTCACTTTGACGTATGATCGGCAGCCAAATCCACCACCACCCAAGTGGTCAAAAACCAAATCGAGGCGACAGGTGGTAATGGGCAGAAACATGCTGTGTGTGTGTGTGGGTCATCTTTCCTTTCGCGGGGAGGGGCAAAAACACGGTAAAACCAGAACCGGGCATGTCCATGTTTCAGAGAATTAGCCAAAAGCCCTGTCCGCATCAAAGAAAACAATCTGCTTGAGCCAGCTAGCTGGTGGTAGGCCATTCGCGGTCTTCTTTTCACTTGTTTGCTTTATTTATATTAATTGCTCCACATGTTCTTCTTGGCGTTTGTGCCGGGAACAAACAAGTGGGAACACGAGCTTGCCACTTTTGCTTACCATGCGAAACCCGTTGATTTCTCCCAAGGCACTCGCTCGGCCAAGTCAAGTCACACAAAGTTTTGCCATTTGGGTGTGGCTCAAAATTAAACAGGAGGGGCAAACCGCAGGTTTTGGTCCATGTTTCCACTTAGCAGGGTCCCATTTTGGGGTTACCCTCTTTTTGACCCAAAGCCATTTCATGGCTTGGCAGCAGCTACCCAAGTCACCCATACCTGAGCACAGGTCCCAACTTAGGACGATCCTTGGGACATTTCTACATGGGAACGTGGGCGCGGCAGCACCAACGAATCAGCAACCCTCAGCATGGTCGAAACCTGAATGAACCGTTTTTACCTAACCCGCCGTGTCTCCAGGATATGGACCGCAGGTTTCAGTCCATGTTTCCATTACCAGGGCAAAGCATTTTTGGCTTGCCCTATTTTTTGACCCACAAGCATATACCTATTCCTTCACACTAATGCTAGGTCCTCCAGTAGGGAGGTTAGAATAAGGGTACTTTTTTCTAGTATGGGAACCCTTCCCCAAAAAAGGGGGTAAAAGGGCACTGATGGGGGACCTAGAATGGATTTACTCCTTTCATGGTATGGCTTCCCGCGTCGCCTTGGCAAACAAGATCCGCAGGACTAGGGGCATCAGCTGCTGGCGATGCTCGAAGAGGACGTTGGCCTCCGCCTCCGTAGGAAGAAGACCCATCCGGGAGTCCCCGAAAATGGACCCTTTGGGTTGGGAATGTTGGTATCCAAAGGCGAAGCAAAACCAAAAGCACCCCAAGCATTGCGGGGGACCTCTGAATTTGAGCGATTCCTTGCATCAACCTCTCCGCTATGAAACGGCTTGGAGCCTCGAACCACGAAAGCTGAACACGGGCATTCTCAAAGGCAAGCAACACCGGCAAGCGTATAATCCCAAAAGTGGTGACCAGAACACTGCAAGCCGTTCATGGGGATCAATTGACAAGGGGTCTTAAAATGGAAATAGTCTGCACCCCTACTCAGATTTGTTTGGAGACCCTGTTCGATCCCTTTCGGAAAATCTTCTACTCCACGACCAAAGCATTGCCGCATACATGAGCCGGAGCCCCTGTGCAGCAAAGGAAAGCAGCTGGGGGGAAGGGTCCGGTGCTTAAAATCTTTGCCTCTGACGACAAATGACAAATCAACACATGGGATATCTCCGGACAACAACTGATTTTGTAGCCACCATACACAAACGGCTCTGGAGGTAGTGGCAACCATGCTAGCTTTCTTCGCGCCCCCGTTTCCACATTTCCACATGTACATGACGGAGTGGGACAATTCCTCTGAAACGAAAGCTAGCCCAAGGAGGCTCCTCTCTTGCGGGTTTTGGGCCGTCAATCACAAGACCCGACCAAAGAACAAGCAAAGCAATGCAAACCTAGGGGGTGCAACTCCATGCTTGCAGCAAGAAACTGCTGCCCAAAGAAGCATCTAGAAACCCTCCCCCTCGCCTGGCAAAATGAAAGCAAGCCTTTGTTTTGTCTGTCTACATAAGCGGCACCATAACACGCATTCCCATGCGGGCTGTGTTCGTCTTGAGCATTCGGGGAGCCGCCCTCCATTTGGTTTTGGCGTCTGAAGAGCAACACAGATCACTGGTCACCAGTCATGACCACTGTGGGTCAGCGACAGGGGAAAATAAATCATTAGACAAACAAACGCATTGCACAAAAAATCACAAGTTCGGAACATGAAAGCATCCCCTCTTCAGCCCAAAAGGTGTAACCTTTTCAGACCTGAAACGAAACCCCACAAGGTTTAAGGGTCCATTCGCTGTGGACTGGAGTTATACCTCCGCTGTATCAAGAAAAAGTGTCCAAGTGGACCGGATAGTTCAAGAAAGTGCATGGTTGTAGGAAATAACCCTGATGCCAAAGTCGACCATGCCCATGGCTAGTTTGTCTCTTTGAAGTGACCCAGAAGCCCATGTTTCATTCACACGGCCAAATGCCATAGCCAGTTTTTTGGACGTGTGGTGCCTCCGGGTCATCGTGGGTATCACGGGTGGCCGACAAGGAGAGCATCTCGTCGCTGAAGCTGGCATCGTCGCAGAGTCGCTTCAACTGCTCCTGGCGTCTTTCTTTTGCTTCGAAAGATCCAACCCCTCCGTCCCCTACCCCCCACCTCTGGCTGAAGGGAAGCTCCTAAGACCCCGGGGCCCGTTTGGGCACAAGGGTAGCTGCCCCTTTCCACAGGCAAAGGAGAGGAAACCAAACCAATTGTCTACCTTTGTTCGCCATCTTTTGATTGTCTTGCCCCTCCCCCACTAGGAAGAGAGTTGCCAACATGTCCGCAAAGGGTGATGATTGAACCAACAGGAATGGGAAAATGACCCTCCCAAAAGACAAACACATTTGGGGGTCTGCAATCCTGCTGCCAAATCCGCAAGCAAGCCAGTATCAGCTGGAAGGATTCTGAAAAGTATACGATAAAATTGGTTTTTGGACAAATTCCGCACATAATGGACGTTGAACAAACTAAAATAGTCAACATAAGCGAAGAACTACAGATTACAGGCTTCCGTTTGGTTAAGACCCCTGGACAAGATAAACATACTCATTTCAGCAAATGGAAGCAGGACATCCACGGCCGGATGGTGCCTCGCATTTGCCGATGAAGGGAAAGCTGGTGCCGAATTTTGCCAGCACCGCCACGGCCAGCTGCTGTAGCTTGGAGTCCTCCAATTCGACTTCTTGACATGGTGATGACCCGGGAAGCCCATCATGGATGGGATTCGTACCATCTACTTGCACCCAACCTGGGTATGTCTTTCCTGATGGTACCCATTTGAAGGGAAGCCAAGGGAACCAATTTTGACATAACTTACAGTTGTTTAAGCCCCCCGGGAAAAACATAACATACTTTTCCAGTAGTGATAGATTCCCTTTAAAACCAACAGGGGATCTTGGTTGCTGCAAGGACCCCCCCGCAAAAAAACCAACTTGATTTCCCAAAAAGTTAGTCTCTAAAGACCCAACCCAATAGCAGTCAAGATACGGGGGATGTCTCGGTGTTCCCTTCGGAGCTCTTGACGAAAGCTCTACGCCCCAAACGGAGCCCGTTTTGACGCAAATGGGGCGGTGGGCTTGCTTTAAACAGAAGCCACACCAACACCAGGCCTTTTGTTGGGTCCTTTTTCGAAGCTCTGGAAACTGGACCCCCGGCCAGGGTCCTGTTCAGTGAAAACCAACCCAGAAGGGTCTCCCGGTAGAAAGCAAAGCACGACCCACCAACAAAGAGGCCCCCTGATTCGACCCACCAAATTGATGACACAGTTCTGCGAAACGAGGTCTGCTGACCGAGCAAGGGTCAACAAGCACTGATCAGAGGCCAAGCAAGGAGGCTCAGGGCGTTTCGAACCTTGGAACCCCTTTGGCGGGGTCATTTGAACAGCTGTGGTGTTGGGTAGGAGCTCTGATGCAACCATACATTTTGCTGGTGACATGGGCGAGAGAGAGATCATGCATCAGGCAACCATCAGAAGGTGCAATCAACACCCGGAACCTTGCTGGACCCTGCAGAACCCTAAGACTCCCTGTCGCCTCCAGCAGCAGCCAGTGGATGCAGCCGTGGAGGCATAGCTTCCTAAGCAAAGTTGGGGCTCAGCAGGGGCAGAGTGGGAACGACCACAAACTGATCATCCAACTCGTGGTTCCTTAGTTGGGGACCAATAGGCCATGCCCAAACTTGACCAACCTTAGACAAGGCTACCTTCAACCAAAACACACCCCCAAATGTTTAGGCTGGTGGCATGGCTTTTGGTTGTCAACTGCCCTGGCGAAGCAACCCGACGTTTCTTGTTTTCATATCCTCTAGCAAACATATTTCAACTGGGCACAAATTGAAAAGACACCATCCATCTACTTCAAGAGGGCTTGCGACCCCATGCAGGTTTCAAACTTGGTACTTCCAAACCAGATTTGTCCACCCTTTTTAAGCAAAACAGCTAACTTGCCTGGTTGAAACTCCCGAAATCCTTTCAGGCATTTCCCACCCTGCCGTTTTCACCTACACACCTCCGCGCCTACTCTCATTTATCATATGGCTATTTCTTTTCAATGGCCAAAACCCCCGTGGTTGGTGGACTTAAATCCCCACCGGATTTTGATGTCCAGCAACGGGCCCCCCATGGGAAACAAACAAATCATACCCAGCCAATCCGGGTCCAGGAGCTCTCTCTTCACACGTTGGGTTTGAAAAAAATACCTCGCCAAGCTTCACCAACGGGCGGCTGCAGGTCTCAATGGAGGGCATCTGCGCCACCGCTTGCAATGCGTGGACCAGTGGCCCATAGGTGTCCCTGGCGGCTTGGGGCGTTGTCATTGGCCCACAGCCTTGAAAAGCAATGGGTATGTGTCAAAATGGGTGACACCCTCCCAACAAAGAAAGGGATTCCTTCGGTGGTCCCGGAAACAATCACCACCCCCCCCCCCCAGAAAAAAAGAAAAAGAACACATAAAACAAAACAGCGATGCACCCTCAAAAAACACGACCCATCTGATAAGCCTTGCGAAGGCTAAAGAGGAAACGCTTGGGAGGGAGGGGCTTTGAAGGGGTTGGCAGGGCCAGACAAGCCCCCGCGATTTGTTCTGTTTTTGGTATTGGTGGCAATTCGGGCTCATTGGCTCCCCATTTGATACGAATTGACTCTTGCCTGGCTTTTTGGCTCCCCGATAAACAAGGCCAGAAAAGGCTGAAATGCACAAGGGGTGGTAGGGACCACTAGGCAGGGTGTCTGAATCCCGGGCTCCAATTACCCGATTTGCGCCCAAACACGAGCGGATTCGACGAAAGGTCCAACGCCAAATTTTCTTAAAACCAACTCAAGGGAACAGGACACACCCTAAAAGGTTTTCGCAGCTCAAAATGCAGGCCCAAATATGAGTGATTCCGTGTGTGTTGGCTTTCCATCCAGCGCGCTCTTGATGGGTATGTGTCAAAATGGCTCTCCCAAGAAATGCCAACTGTCCATTTGGATTCGCTGTAAACCAAGCTAAGAAAGATACCCTCAAAGAAACACAACCCCCCCGCATTTTCCCGCCGTCCCAAACCAACCTTTTCGTTGTCGACTTGAAGCCAGTCCCCAATTTGGTGCGCGGAGCGCCGACGCAACTCGACATGCGTTGACTTGATGCGTCCGAAATTGCCATCTTTTTGGGACCAAACCAAAAAAGGTTTTCCGCCAAACCCCACCTTTGCCCTCCCATCTCCGCCAGAGTCTGGCATTGACTAAAAGACATTTGCAAGGAACATGGCTCCTGGTTCCGAAGAGCTTCGGGTTCACAAGTGCATCTAATGCAACCAATCCAAGCCTACCAACTGATATCCAAAACCGAAACAGGGCTTCCCCGAAAAGCCTCACTTCCCGAGTGGATGGCCCCAAAAAGTCCGAACATTTTATGCAATATATTTACCACTAAAATGGTCTTCCAGCAACTTGAAAAGTGAGACACCCAGATTATAGCTTTGACCCCCCCTTCCCGGCCCTAGATTCACAACCTTCTCTGGACGCTCCGCCTTTGGGTTTGCTGGTAGCGGCGGTCCAGGTGGGACAGCAACTTGGCCAGCAGCCAGTCCTCGTGGTGCCGCTTTAAGGCCTCCCACGGCTCCTGAGCGCATGATGGAAGCCCAAAAATGGCCTGTGTCACACAAAGGGACCCAGAAAAATGACACACCCATGCATAGGGATGGGCTGTTTGAGGGTGCCCTCAGCCACCTTACTTTCAAGGGAGATCCTTGCTGTGCCAATTGCAGCAAGCATTTTTGGATGGTAGCATCAAAGGTTGTCATTTAAAACCACCGTTCGAAGGGTAACATGGTCCCTGTGCCCAGTTGGCACCCGCACAAAGGGTCCGACTGATAACGCCATATTTAGGCCTTATAGTGGATTAGGGAAGGGGGTGGGATTGGATCCCATGACCAATCATAAGCCACAAAGCAACAAGGAATACATGGGGTCAAGAAGGCAGAACATGAAGAAACAACAAACCAACCCCGCAAAGCACGTAAAGTACGTAAAGCAACAACTGGCAACTAGGAATATAAATGTCCCGTTGGGTTCCTTCTGAGAAACTACTAGTCGTTGGCTACGTATTACGTATCACCCAAACAAGAGACCACAACTGCCAACAAATGAGCCCAACAGAAAGCTAGAAACACGTTGCCTTACATACGGGGCAGCACAAGTCCACACACACACACAGACGCACAACATGTTCCGTTACGACCATGACTCAGATCAGTTTCAACCAAATGAATCCCACATTACCTTTGAAATTAGGCCACTAACTTGAACCCGGATTAACACCGCCGTGCTATTCATAGTGTTTCTCTCCTGAGGTACTTTAGAGGTGATGACCTGAAAAGGGGAAGAAAACCCTGACGAGCGGCTCTACCTGGACCCGGGGTGCCCATTCCTTGCCCTTGTAGGACCTGGTCCCCTTGCAGCTGCCAAACAAAATCAGGAAAACCACCCGGCTTCCCAAGGTCGATTCGCTTTGTGGGCCAAAAGTACTTGCTGGTGCTCAGGGAATGAGAAAATGAGCCCGGTCAACCCTCCCCTATGGTTCGCTCATTTCATTCCCACATTCCCTACTGAGCATCAGCAAGAGTATAAACGGCACCCCCGCTTTCTGCAAACTGAAAGAACCCTCCGCCAAGGCTCGGCCTTTGAAGCTCGCCACACGCCAGCGAGCTTGCTGGCCAGGCGCCAGGCGCGCTCGTGCATGGTGGCAGCCGCCACCTGTCCAGGTGAACGGTTGGGGAACATGTGGGTGCCTCATCTTTGTTTTTTTGAGTTGATGCCCTTGTTCGGTTTTCTGTTCAAAGGGAAACCAAAAAATGCTGGAGGTCTTGATGCTTTCAGGCTTGTTTAAAGGGAAAGCAAAAGGGAGGCCACCATTTTGGAGGTCCCCTAAAAACGACCCACCCATGTATTGGAGTGGAACCGGGTAAAACACCACAAGAACAACGGTGCCCCTTGAAAACATTCCAGTTTGGCATCAGCTTCCCTATAATGGATGAACAGGGGCTCAAAGGCCCACTAATCCAAACCACAAATTGAGGATTACTGGCTTCACGAAAAAGGCCGCACAAGAAGTCCACCCTTGGAAGTGGCATATTTGCACCTTGAAAATGGGTGGCTTCCCTGTGACTTTTCTTGAAACCAACTCAGGGGCATCCTCAAAAGTGGATCGGACTTCGACCCCGGGCAGTTAATGTTTGCCAGATGAAAGGACAAAATGAGAGAAGGCCAAAATTCAAAATTCAGAACGAACAAACAGAAGCTAACTCTGCCAAAGGCAAGGAGCTTCCTTTTCAATCCCGCGCAAAAAGACACAGGGGTGGCACCCTTGTTCCCCTTAAAAACAGGAACCACGCCACCACTTCCACGCTAACATGCAGTCGCCCCCCAAGTGGCAGATTTAAAAACATGGCCAAAGTTTCTTACTTTGATAACCGACATGCACCGGAGTCAAATAATCTGGGCAAACTACTTGCATTTTCCAACTCAAGAAAAAGAACACCTTAAGTACAGAAATCATGAGCCCGACCATTAACTCCAACAAAATGACAAATGCGGCACAAATGCGGTATATCCCCCCCCACATGGTTAGTCTACTTCTGGTTGTTCATTCAACCCAGCCAAAACAGGTTCTTCCCCCCCCCAAAAAAAACGGAGCTGGTGACTGACCTCAACATGTTGTTTGTTTTTTTTCTCTCTCTCTCTCTCTCTTTTTTTTGGGGGGGGGGGAACAAGGGGGCGCAAATAAGGTGCAAAACACCGCCCCCGCCACCCACGGCTGCAACATCCCTTCGCCCGAAACGGGCGAAGCGGAAATCCGCGGGGATCCGCCTGCTGGGTCTGCCACAGCTCCTGGCCCTCCCAGACCTGATCCAAGGCTTCCCGCCAGGCGCTGGGGCGCCAAAGCTGGCTGTCCCAGGGCTCCTCCTCCAGGGGGTCCTGCAGAAAACCAGGGAAAAACAACCGAAAAAACCAACAAAACCAGCGAACAACCAGTGGAGAAAACTGGTTGGTTCGATAGGGGAATGCAGGAAGATCAGCTTTTCATCTTGGTGGTTTGGAGCCCAGTTAGGTGTGGACCCTAAAAAAGTCCTGATGCAACTGGACAACCAGCAGAAAACCTGGAAAACTGGCTGGTTGGACAGGCAGGGAATGAGAAATGGAATGACCCTCAGATAAACCATGCCCGATTTAGTTTCCTTTGAGGGACAATTTGCAACGGTTCATTCTCAACACCCGGAAGGTCATCACCAGCAAGAGAACCATTGGATACAAAACGACCTCGGAGGAAAACAGACAACACAACCACAAACATAGCCTGCTGAGCGTCTTCCTCCCAAAAATGAGATCCAAATAAGGTTGTAGTTTTTTTGTGTTTTTTTGAGGAGACCAAATAATCATTCCGGGGGGGGTTGGGGCGTTGGGGGATGGTTGGAAACGGTTGGAAACCCGTTACCTTGGAAAGGGCTCTGCGCTGCATCCGGAAGGCCGGCAGGAGGCTTACCCGGTTTTTTTGGGCTCAGGCCTCCAGTCGTGTGCTCTCATTTTGTCAGGGTCTACCGAAAAAGGTGCTTTTTTTCCCAGGAGGTTGACCGCCCCTAACCCCGAGCCACGGCATACCACCCCACAGGTCCAAGGGAAACTTGAGGGCTTGCTGGTTCAGTAGGGAATCACCCAGGCGCAAACGAACGCGGGTGACACACAAATCAAAAACTGAATGACAAAGGGCAAGCAAAGATAGAACAATGAAAACAAATCCAACAAGCTTCCGCTTCCTGCCCAAACACCCCGGCCCCAAACCAATCAATCGAGCATTGAGACACCCACCAGCTACCGCTTGAATTTGCCGCTAGGGATATTGAGAGCTTGGTAAGTGGGTACCCGAACATTATTGCCCCCATCGGTTTGTCCTAAAATTGGGAGCCAACCACTCGGAAACCAGTTCTATGGGCAAGGACCCTTCAAAAAGGCTGAACCCCCTTCAAACGCCATCCACAGACCCGACATCCCCATATCTCGGGGGGGGGGGGGGGGCCCAAGAACTTTGCCAAACATGCTTGAACCGCTGTTGTTAAAACATCATCATCAGGTTTGCTTGAAAGGGGGGTAATGGGGTAATGCGTGCAAAACCTTGGGTTCTATCTCTTTTGATTCCTCTAAAGGTAAAATTCACAGCTTAGCACAAGCCATTTTGCAACCAACCCTTGGCATTCCCTTTCTCCCCAAATCTTCTCATGCTCACCAGTGGTGGTTGCCCCTTCCATCTCCTGGCAAACAGTGGACTGCTTGCTGCTTGAAGAGGGAAAACCGGACAAAAGGAACAACACACGTAAAGGCAACACGTGCAAAAGGTAGGGGTGGTTTATCCCTTTGTTTGCCCAGGCGACTTCCCATTGGGGGGGGTCAGTCTGACCTATTCTTACGTCAAATAAATGCCAGAAAACCTGCCTTAAGGTACCCTTGTTTAGGATTGAAGAGAAAAACCCAAAGGAACAAGACAGGGTAATTACTCTTTTTTTATGGGTTTTCAGAAACCCAAAGCAAAAAAGAAATCACCCACATCCACATTGGGGGGGGTTCTATTCCTCTGGCCCCGCTCGCTCGCCAGGTCTCCTGGTGTCGCAGCTTCTGGCCCTTGGGCCCCACCTCTCGGCCTTTGGCCTCGCGCTCCACCGCCTTCTCCGCGGCCCGGGCCTCCTGGCGAGGGCTCGAGCCGTGGCAAGGCCCGGAGTCGGCTGAAACCAGACTGCCCGTTCGTTTCAGAAGGGCAGCACAGCGTGACAAAGAGAGCGTCCCCTCATGGGGGGTGGGTTTTTTAAAAGCATGAAATTTACCAATTTCAGCCTCAAATGTGAGAATTGGGCGCATGTGGGCAGACTGAGCTTCAGACGTATGCAGGCAATGCGCTTTTATTGCTATGGACCGCTATGGACCTTGTACGTTGTGCCCAAAACTGCTTGTCTATTGCAAGCATACACTACCATACAGTATTGAAAACAATGCCATTCACTTCTTGTAGGTGGCAGGCTTCTTCATGGCGGGCTTCTTGGTGCAACCGTATGCCTTGGTGGTCCGCTTCGCCTTCTTAAGTAGGTAGCCTTCTTGCGATCGACGGCCTCGTTGTGCATCTTGGAGTAGAGCAAGACCTTGAAGTGATGCCGAAGGGGGCGAGCCTCGTTGAGAATCCGGGCGTAGTTCCGGAACCAAGCAAACACCTGCTCGCAAGCAGACGTGTTGGTGTTCCGGAATCGGATTGCGAGGCGCTTCACGAAGAGTGGGTTGCATTTGCATGTCTTCTTGTGCCCCTGCGCGTGAAATTTGTCGACCGACCAATACTTGACTTGCTTGCAGATGGATGTAGAAGACGGGGAAGGAGTAAAGCTGCACGCCCGGTCCAAAATGAAGCCATTCACCTTGGGGTAGTGGGGCAAGGCCTTGACCAAGGAGCGCTCGACCACAAGGTTGTTCTCAGGCTTCACCATGCTCTCCACACTCACGATGCGCAAGTCCCGCGGGTTCACCAACATGAACCACCCATGTCCGAACGGCTTGCATTTCCCATCTTTGCGGGGCCTTCCAGCATGGGCACTTGAGGATCCACACTTGAGGTGCACCTTTGTCCTCACCGTGCATCATAGTGATGAGGCAAGTGGACGAAGAGAAGGACACAGAGATACTGGTTTGAGCTTCAGATTGCTTTTGACAGGCCTGGTGCGCAGTTGAGAAACAAAAGTGTAAAAAACCTCGAGTTTTCAAAAAAAATCAGACCCTATGTATCCATACTGGTTGAGTTTTTGTTTTTTTTTGGAAAACTCGAGGTTTTTTTGGATTTTCTTGAAGCATCAAAGAAACATACCCCCAAAACTGCTAAATCTCTGTGTTTCAAAAACCCACCCCCCATGAGGGGCCCTTCTGCAAAAGAGGGTGACCACATCCTACTAACCCGTCTTGCTTCTACTGACAATGACCGACTATGCAAACCCAACAAAATTCCTGAATGCCCCTGTGCCATCGCGAGTGGTCGCGACAGCAGAAGGGTGAAGCCATCGGCAGCCGAACCACTCTGGCCGAATTGGACTCAAACAAAGAGCAAAAGATAAGACTGCACAACTGCGCAACCTTGGTGGACATTGAAAGCTGCGCCACAATCAATGACCAGTGTTTTCCGAGCGATGGTAAAGAATAGCCTGTTGCAGAAGATGCGCCAGACCGGATTAGCGGGTTAGCTGGCAACAGCAAGCTCAGGCTATGTTGGTGGGCATGCTGGCAATCGGACAGCAGAAACCGGAATTTGCCAAATGATACCATGCGCAAGCTGTATGCGGCTCCCCTTAGCTCAGATCCCGACAAGTTTAAGCCCTGAAGCGAAGCGCTCGGTCGAAAAGCCTTCTTTCTTGCCTGTTTCGGAGCCAAAGGAGTAAAGGATTAGGCCACTCGGAAGGCCCCTCGCGAGTCACTCGGCGGGCCCGGGTGCCCTCGGACGAGTCACTCGGCGGGCCCGGGTGCCCTCGGACGAGTTACTCCTGCTGGCAAGCTGGGCATCTCGCCGGTACGGCACAGAAGCGGCGAGCTGAAAAGTGGGAAAGGCCTTCTCAGCTGGATTTGTCAACATAAGGGTAATTACCCCAGAACAGGTCGTTTTCTTTGGTCTCCTGTCAAGCCAACCTCGAAGAGGGTACCTTCGACGAAACAAAAAAAACAAACACACATGCCAATGACAACTTCCCAGCAAGTTCAGAAAAGGAGAAGCCCGGCGTCGTGCATGAATTTGCCACAACATGGTCGCCTAGTGCGATGCTCTGCTCCTCAAGTCAAACGCTTGATACGCTCTTCCAATGTAGGCAGCTTACCCAGCAAAGCTTCATGAGCAGCCCCATCGCCGGCAAGGATTGCTGTGGCTATGATGAGCTCGTGGATCTGGTCAGCCGTCATCTCTGACACTTCGGCGAATCTGTCTCCTTCCAAGGCACCGTGGGGATTCAGCAAAGGTCGAGCGGCATCATCCTGAGAAAGAAACGCTATGGCCGTGATCAAGCCGCATGCCCGCTCGGCTGACAGAGAACTCGGGAATTGGTCGAACTCACGTGGTCTGTTCGACCACGCTGGCAATAACAAGTCCAGCTGGTCCCGCACATCATATCCAGCCGCGCAAAGGGTCTCCATGGCCATGATGAGATTAGCAATCTGATCAGCCGTGCATAAATTGCCGAATTGTTTCAATCTTGCTGCCAGCACTGGCAGAAGCTTCAAGACGAAAGGCTCAGCATTCTGCATCATTGCCATGGCTTTGATCACACGCGAAAAATGCTTGCTGGTCAATGTGGTAACTAATTCCTCCACCCTTCCTGCCAATGCAGGTAGCAAAATCTTCGCATCATGATTGTTTTTGGAAATCACCGCTGTGGCCATGACCAAATCGACAACTTTAGTGGTGGACAAGTCTTTGACCACATCCTCAAAGTTGCTTGCAAAGCAAGACAGCAGGCCCAACAGCTCAGGCATGTCACAGTTGGCCGTGCTCAAGGTATGCATGGCTAACACTATGTCGGCAATCTCGTCATTGCTCATGTCTGACATCAACCAGCGTGCCTGGTCTGCCATGACAGGCAGCAGCTCCAAGAGAGGCTGGGCAACGTCCCTATTGTTCTTGGCAAGGCTTGCTATTGCTGTGATCATCTTGGGAAGTTGACTGGCAGACAAATCCTCCCAAGACCCAGTTTTTTTCATGTTGGATGCCAACAAGAGCAACACGTCCCCATCAACACCCTGGCCAGTCCTGGAATGGATCTCCATGGCCGTAATCACAGCAGCAAGTTGAGTCGCCGACATGCATGGTACTGCACTTGAGAGTCTGTGCCTGACTGCGTCAACTGGGAGGCCTCCCAAAGATGCCCCGTTGCTTGCAAGGACTGCCATGTCCAGCGTTAAGTCAGCAACCTTGCCAGCATCCATGCGCGCAATCTCTGGTTCAACGCTCTGCCTTAACTGAACCAACAAGTGGTCCAGGAGATGCAAAGGTTGTTCTCCAGCCGCACGTGCGTGTGATGTAAATATGCTGTGGGTCAAATTTACATTTGTGGAGAGAATGGACATGGCCCTGAACAAGTCCAACGCCTGATCAATGGTCATGTTCTGGACGGCTTCTCCGAGATCGCCCTCGTCCCAACCATGTAAACGCCGCAGAAGACTGTTGGCATTTCCTCCGTCAGCTCCTATTGCCTGAGGTGTAGCCCTCCTTTCCACAAGGCGCCGGGCAACGCGTCTACCGAAAGGCTCAGCAAAGGCCCAGAAATTCAGCAGCCAGACCACGAGACAAGAGGCACACCATTGGGGCAATCGGGTCATTGCTGGCAGGTCGACGCTGTGAGACTTGACTAGAGCCGTAACGATCCTGCAATTGTCCAATTCACACAAGAGTTGGAACAATTAGTCACCCCTTGTTTATCCGTTTTTCAGCCATGACAAACACCCTCCAATAGTGCTAGCCCCCCAGAAACTCCAAACAAAGAAAACTACAGCTCTAGATCACAAAAGCTATTGCGAATACTTGTTCCAATGCGATTTATTCCAAGAAGTTCCACGGGTTGCCAGAACAGAACTCTGAAACATTAGCGATCCAGAGAGCACTTTTTGACTACAGTGTGTTTAAACAAAGTCAAGCTTTGACAAGCTCGGCCCTCCTGGCTCAAGATCAGGCGCACGCAAGTGCACCAGACCGCCTCTGTCCACCAGCAGCTGTCCAAGTCTGTGAGGCTACCTCGCTGCAAGGAGAACCGAAAGGAACACACCGTACGCATTTGGAGTCATAGGGTGACCTTCTGGAAGAATAGCTGGTAAAAATGACGCATGTCAATGACATGAAGCCCATCTATACCGGTGCCATCTATTTATAGCCAAACTATCCCAAGAAGGCCACCTATGTTTGGAGTGCGTCTCTCTTTTTTGAATTTACCTTTGTTGCGGGTTGTTTTGGTTCTGTAAAAGGTGTCGGTTAGTGTTGAGACTGTGGACGCCCTCATCAGGGCCCCCGAGGCCCCCGTATCTCGACAAGGAAATGAAAGCTCAGGGAAGGGGTGGAGTCCTAAACCCAAAAGTGTCCAAGACGTAAAAACTCACATGTTTGGGAGGCAACCTTCACATAGGTGAGCATCACCAGTAGCCTTTGCAGCAAACCGTTTACAAAGGCTGCCCCCTGCCTCTGGTCACACCGCGCCGCACAAGGCAAAACCAAGGGGCACGAAGCAAGGGCACCCTTGTAACACCAGAGGGTTAATCTGGAAACAGGGGTCACTGGATTTCCCCTTCAATTGCAATTTGCTGGTGGTTTCCATTGAACCTGCCACTTTTGGGGCTTCCCACAAGGAAAATGGAGGAACCTTTTGGGACACCCGAACAAAGAGGAAGCGCTATAGGTCATCTCAATGGGTGAGCTCGTGTCACTCTCAAATTGAGCTTGGATTTTGTACGAAATATTCATCCTCCATCCAACATGAAAATTGGAGGCGAACTGGTAGACATGGGTCCCTTTACAACAGACCTGCTAGCCCCCGAGAGAAGCGAGCCGGCTGTGGCAATTGGCCAACCAAACGCAGCTGCAGTGCCTACAGATCCTCAAGCAGGGGGATTCATAAAAAGGGGTCTTACCAATATGCAACCTGCCGTGGGCCAGACTAGCCCAACAGTGAACCCCATTTATGGGTATTCCGTTAAGGGGTTCCGGATTACAAATCTCGCTTCTCGTGGGGCTAATCCAGTCCGAGTTGCCTGGGGCTTCTTGCAGCTCTGGTGAATCAAAGGGTGCTGCACAGGGGCTTGGGTTCCCCCTCCCCCATTTTCAATCAAAAACCCAACACTGGTGTGACTGTGCCTAATTCCAGGGAGGTGTGACCGGACATATGCCGATGGAAACCGGGACATTGGGGTTCCCTGAAAAAAGCGATGCCCCCGTGAGCTCTTCCTGTCCCGCTGCCCCAAGAGTTGGCTCCAGCGGCTGTAGTCGAAGGATTTGAGGAAGGGCTCCAAATCGAGCTCCTCCGCGGCGTCCAGCAGGCTGAACTTCTCCTAGCCACAGGCAATATTACCTTCACAACCTTTGGTATGGTAGCAACAAAAGTTGCTCTTTTGCAGCGCCCTTCTAAAAATGAACAGAACTATCAACACATTTAAAGAAAAATGCCAAGATGGTTCTTGGCTCCCCGTATACCATCCAGTCTGAAAGTCAGCCAGCATACCCAAAGTCTCACGGGAGTCATTTTTACAAGTCCAAACCCTCTCCTTGTAACTCAAGCTGCCTTCCCAGACGTGAAAAGACAAGCAACCAGGAACTCATGGGAAGCCAATCGCATCCAGCAGCTTCGAAGCCACGAGCCTCCAGCTCGGGCGGCGCATCGTCTCCGGGCACGGAGGATGCGGCCTTGGCCTTGCCCACGCGCCGCTTCCTTGGGCAGGGGGTCATGGCCGGAAGTTTGGGGGGAAGCTCCCCGGGCTTGTGGGCAAGATGCCCTTTTTTGGGGGGAAGCTCCCCTGTTTTGGGGGAGGCTCCCCTTTGGAAGCAAACTAGTTTCGAAACCAAAAGAAACCAAGGTGCGAGTCAAAGCCATTAGGAAAGCCAGCTTGCTGGCGCTCGACTCGGGAAAAAGCGAACCCCAAACTGAAGCACGCCTCGTCAAAAAGCCGCGATTCCCCGGCTGGTTTACCAGCATCTCACCTTCTTGCTGGTTTTGTTTCGAGCGTCTTCCGCTTGCCTGCAGCCGCCTCCTCGATGGGCCGCTTCTTGCCCTGAATCAGGGTTCGAAACACACACCCCGGAAACTGACAGCTGGTGGCGTTGATGTATTTAAACAAGGAGTTGAAACGCCCAACCATAGGTGTCCTTTTCGGAAAATAGATGGGTTTCCCTGGTAGCTGATTGAACCACCAGGTAAACCAGGAATCGCCTTCTTTTTTCTAAGCAAACCAACCACCTATGCGCCCAACCCTGCCTCAACGGGCTGCAGTAAGGCTTCCTCTGTGGGCGCCCAGAGGGGCATGAGCCGCACGGAGAATTGGCTCGCCAAGATCCTGAGGAACCAAATCAACATTGGACCCCGGACATTGCATTAGATCTCCACCCTAACTTTTTGCTTTATGGGCCAGAAAGCAGTCTTCTGAGGCTCCATTGGGTTTCAACTCGTGTTTCCCCCTTTGAGGTTTCCATTTGGCAACACACGAAGAGACTGAGGAAGGCAGTCGACGAGGCGCTTTGATACCATATGAATGGGGGCATGCTGCCTTGCAAGCTTGGATTTGCGGTAAGCAAGCCTCCGCACCTCCAAAACACCTACCTGAAAATGAGCATATCCTCCTTTTCAGGGTTAAATGGCGGAGGGAAGAACAAAACCGTACAAAAAAAACCCAATGGAAGACCACGGGATCGCGTTTGACAAGCAAAACACGGCCAACCGTGAACCAACCCCAATCCCACCATATCCCACCCTACTTGCAGCTAAACCAACCCCAGGTAGCCTCATGATTTTGCCAGTGTCAAAGCACCCTCTAAGTGGTAGGCTTGCATGGCAACAATCCCACAGTTTCTGACTTTAGCCCCGAGAAAGAGTGAACTGGTAAGAATGCAAATCCCACCCAAGCCTGCCACACAATAAGCACAAAACACATCCAACCCCCAACTTCTCCAACTGGCTCTGGGTCAAAATTAAACCACCATTAAAAAATAGAAGAAACAAACATGCCGGTTTGAGTCCATGTTTTTACACCTACCAGGGCAAGCCTATGTTGCATACCAACCTTTGGCCCACCCAGGTTTTTGCTTCGAGGATCTGCATGGCCAGGTGGGCCGCCCAGGACCGGCCCTGCAGCGCCTTGCCCAGACGCCGGATCTGCTCTGAGCGCTTGCGCTCGTTGGGGAAATCTGCCGGGGTGTCCTCCAGCTGCTGGCCTCGGAGTCCAAGTTGCTCAACCATAGGTGTCCTTTTAGGGGAACTACATGGCCCTGGTAGATGATTAAACCACCAGGTAAACCAGGGCCAGCTATTTTTCTACCAAAACAACCAAAAAAGGACACCCATGTTCTCAACTTTGCGCTTGTGGGCTGGATTTCTAAGACTGAGGCGACTACCCCCAAATCACCCCCAGAAGCCAAAGGATATATCAAGGTTATGTGAGGGTTATGTGAGAACGAGCTCTTAGAGAGTTGTGTCTTGGCTGAAGACTGTGGGCTGGATGCTCTCATCACTCCCTGGTTTGCACAGCGTTGTCTTTGTCGATCAGACCTTTCCTTTGTGACGGTTGTGATCCTGACACTTTCGTTCCTGAACAGCAGTTATCTCAATGATAATATGCCCAACTCTACAAAAATCAGGGGTTCAAATCACTAAGGGTGAACTTGGGTATGAACTATGATGGGGGACTGCTTGGTGGACATCAGACATACTAGTTTGGATTTAGCCGTTGGATTCGGCACCCCCCCCCAAAAAAAAAAAGCAACAACAAACATGTTGAGACCCAAAGCTGCCTGGGTCTCACTTTCCCAGTTGCAAGCCAGTGACCTGAACGGAAGAACCAGAATTGGAACTTTTTGTGGTTTGATCATTTCTAGCGGGAACCCACCAAACAAAAAGCAACGATATTGGAGAGAGAGAGAGAGAGAGAGAGAGAGACAGAGAGAAAGAGAGAGAGAGAGAGAGAGAGAGAGAGAGAGAGAGACAGAGGGGTAAGGGGCCAAAACGACATGGATTCTCACTGGCGAAAAACCGAAACGGATTCGGCCCAACGGTCCTTCAGCTTCCCACGGATTGGATGTTTTGGGGATTTGAACCCCTGCTTCTTGCAGAGGGTTAATGGGACACTTCCACATCCGAACAAACTGCCGTACTCCAAGCTGGGCGCAGAGGTCTAGCAGCTTCAGCGGCTCACCCGGCTCACCCGGCTCGCCTGAGAAGTGGGTGAGGAGTGGTACTTGGGCCCTGCAGCCTTCTGGTTGCCAAGCTTCGAATGACACTACCCACGATCAGATCTCATTGTATCCCAGTTTGGGATTCGGATTCATCCCTTCGGGGGCTTTGGCGGGGGGGGATTCTCAGCCATGCAATGGTCAATGGAATTTCCGGATAAGTAGCTCAAAGATTTTTCCACTGCTCCGTAGACAAAACAACATGTTCACCAATTTACTCCTGAAATACTCCAGATGCATTGTCCAGTGACCAGTGGTCTGGCGATGAAATCCTGGCGTAAACCTGATAATCTCACGTTGATTTGACGAGTGTCTCCTCTTACGCTGAGCCCGTTCCCAGCCCTGTGCTCTTCCTCGGTGGAAAAAGATGGGACCCTTGGGTTCACCATTCTTCGTTGGGAACCCCAGGAAAAAGGTGAAACTTGGGTGCCAATGAAGAGGTGCCACAGAAGAACCGGGCCTTGCCTTTGGTTTCTCACCCCCAAACAAACAGCAAACTGAAAGACATCCGTGGATTCCATATGACTGGATCCGACTGCCCACTGATTTTGTTGGTAGTTGGGGGGCTGGTGAAGTGCTCCAACCAGGGCTTTTTCAATTTGATTGTGTCTTAAACAAGGGGACCCGTAACACTGCAGCGTTCCCTTCGCTTTGCCTGTTGCCTTTGTACCCACCCAACATGGCCGGGCTCTCCTCAGACCACCTGCTAAAGTTCAACTTTTGGTGGGTTACATGGAAACCCAACCACTAAACCCCTAAAGCAACTACAAAGCTATGGGGATGGCTAGGCACCACAAGGGACCACTGCCACCACCCTGGCCGCGCGCCTCCAGAAGCGTCTCCCACGGCGCCATCGGGCGCCAGAAGCTGGCGACACAAGGCCTCCGCCGGCAGCAGGCGCGCCACACGCAGAGCGGCCAAGCGCACCTCTGTGCCGGTAGGGTCAGTGTCGTCAATTCCAAACCTGGTTTAGCCATGTTAAAACGACGATTCTTTGGCCCAATGGAAGCCACCCAAAGCCCAAGGGAAGCCACCCAAAGCCCAAGGGAAGCAAGGGAAGCCACCCAAAGCCCAAGGGAAGCCACCCAGAAAGCCCAAGGGAAGCCACCCAAAGCCCAAGGGAAGCCACCCAGAAAGCCCAAGGGAAGCCACCCAAAGCCCAAGGGAAGCCACCCAGAAAGCCCAAGGGAAGCCACCCAAAGCCCAAGGGAAGCCACCCAAAGCCCAAGGGAAGCCACCCAAAGCCCAAGGGAAGCCACCCAAAGCCCAAGGGAAGCCACCCAAAGCCCAAGGGAAGCCACCCAAAGCCCAAGGGAAGCCCCCAAAGCCCAAGGGAAGCCACCCAGAAAGCCCAAGGGAAGCCAGCCCAAAAGAAGCCACCCAAAGCCCAAGGGAAGCCACCCAAAGCCCAAGGGAAGCCACCCAGAAAGCCCAAGGGAAGCCACCCAGAAAGCCCAAGGGAAGCCACCCAGAAAGCCCAAGGGAAGCCACCCAGAAAGCCCAAGGGAAGCCACCCAAAGCCCACCCCCAAAAGCCCAAGGGAAGCCACCCAAAGCCCAAGGGAAGCCACCCAGAAAGCCCAAGGGGAAGCCACCCAAAGCCCAAGGGAAGCCCAGAAAGCTCACCCACCCAAAGCCCAAGGGAAGCCACCCAAAGTTCAAGGGAAGCCACCCAGAAAGCTCAAGGGAAGCCACCCAAAGCCCAAGGGAAGCCACCCAGAAAGCCCAAGGGAAGCCACCCAAAGCCCAAGGGAAGCCACCCAGAAAGCCCAAGGGAAGCCACCCAAAGCCCAAGGGAAGCCACCCAGAAAGCCCAAGGGAAGCCACCCAAAGCCCAAGGGAAGCCACCCAGAAAGCCCAAGGGAAGCCACCCAAAGCCCAAGGGAAGCCACCCAGAAAGCCCAAGGGAAGCCACCCAAAGCCCAAGGGAAGCCACCCAGAAAGCCCAAGGGAAGCCACCCAGAAAGCCCAAAGGGAAGCCCAAGGGAAGCCACCCAAGGGAAGCCGCCCAGAAAGCCCAAGGGAAGCCACCCAAAGCCCAAGGGAAGCCACCCAGAAAGCCCAAGGGAAGCCACCCAAAGCCCAAGGGAAGCCACCCAGAAAGCCCAAGGAAGCCACCCAGAAAGCCCAAGGAAGCACCAGTGCCCAAGGGAAGCCACCCAAAGCCCAAGGGAAGCCACCCAGAAAGCCCAAGGGAAGCCACCCAAAGCCCAAGGGCCACCCAAAGCCCAAGGGAAGCCACCCAAAGTTCAAGGGAAGCCCAGAAAGCTCAAGGGAAGCCACCCAAAGCCCAAGGGAAGCCACCCAGAAAGCCCAAGGGAAGCCACCCAAAGCCCAAGGGAAGCCACCCAGAGCCCAAGGAAGCCACCCAAAGCCCAAGGGAAGCCACAAAGCCCAAGGGAAGCCACCCAAAAGCCCAAGGGAAGCCACCCAAAGCCCAAGGGAAGCCACCCAGAAAGCCCAAGGGAAGCCACCCAAAGCCCAAGGGAAGCCACCCAGAAAGCCCAAGGGAAGCCACCCAAAGCCCAACAGAAGCCGCCCAAAGCGCAAGGGAAGCCACCCAAAGCCCAAGGGAAGCCACCCAGAAAGCCCAAGGGAAGCCACCCAGAAAGCCCAAGGGAAGCCACCCAAAGCCCAAGGCCAGAAAGCCCAAGGGAAGCCACCCAAAGCCCAAGGGAAGCCACCCAAAGCCCAAGGGAAGCCACCCAGAAGCCCAAGGGAAGCCACCCAAAGCCCAAGGGAAGCCACCCAGAAAGCCCAAGGGAAGCCACCCAAAGCCTCAAGGGAAGCCACCCAAAGCCCAAGGGAAGCCACCCAGAAAGCCCAAGGAAGCCACCCAGAAAGCCCAAGGGGAAGCCACCCAAAGCCCAAGGAAGCAAGCCAGAAGCCACCCAAAGCCCAAGGGAAGCCACCCAGCCCAAGGGAAGCCACCCAGAAAGCCCAAGGGAAGCCACCCAAAGCCCAAGGGAAGCCACCCAGAAAGCCCAAGGGAAGCCACCCAAAGCTCAAGGGAAGCCACCCAGAGCCCAAGGGAAGCCACCCAGCCCAAGGGAAGCCACCCAAAGCCCAAGGAAGCCACCCAGAAAGCCCAAGGAAGCCACCCAAAGCCCAAGGAAGCCACCCAAAGCCCAAGGGAAGCCACCCAAAGCGCAAGGGAAGCCACCCAGAAAGCCCAAGGGAAGCCACCCAAAGCCCAAGGGAAGCCACCAGAAAGCCCAAGGGAAGCCACCCAAAGCCCAAGGGAAGCCACCCAGAAAGCCCAAGGGAAGCCACCCAAAGCCCAAGGGAAGCCACCCAGAAAGCCCAAGGGAAGCCACCCAAAGCCCAAGGGAAGCCACCCAGAAAGCCCAAGGGAAGCCACCCAAAGCCCAAGGGAAGCCACCCAGAAAGCCCAAGGGAAGCCACCCAAAGCCCAAGGGAAGCCCCAGAAAGCCCAAGGGAAGCCACCCAGAAAGCACCCAGAAAGCTGAAGGGAAGCCACCCAAAGCCCAAGGGAAGCCACCCAGAAAGCCCAAGGGACGCCACCCAAAGCCCAAGGGAAGCCACCCAGAAAGCCCAAGGGAAGCCACCCAGAAAGCCCAAGGGAAGCCGCCCAGAAAGCCCAAGGGAAGCCACCCAGAAAGCGCAAGGGAAGCCACCCAAAGCCCAAGGGAAGCCACCCAGAAAGCCCAAGGGAAGCCACCCAGAAAGCCCAAGGGAAGCCACCCAGAAAGCCCAAGGGAAGCCACCCAGAAAGCCCAAGGGAAGCCAAAGCCCAAGGGAAGCCACCTACAAAGCAAAAAAAAACAGAGTTTTTCATGCCGTCACCAGATGAGGTAATAAGACACCCGGCCGGCTTCAATACTGCACGCAAAGCTTGGCCAGTAGACCCCTCTTGCGTAACTTTTTGGGGCACCTCCCAGACCAATACCAACCGTTGACCCCTTTCATAGTCTCAAGGTTTGCCATTCCAGAAATCCGAGAAAAAAACAGAAACAAACTAGCAGGAAACACACTTCTTATTTCAGTTTGCTTTAAAAAATAGCTTCACTTGTTCAAGGCTGGCCCCCCCGAATAACACAAAACTCCCTCCGAGTCATCCTGGGCTGCGCCAGCCCTGGAAACATAAACAAAAATCCTTTCACTTTCCTACTGCAGTCCTAGTGACAGGGGCCCACAGGAAAGGACCGGCGAGGACTGGCCAGGTCCAGGCCAATCCCAGAGGGGGCCAGGGAGGTTGCAAAATCCGGTTTTCCAACACCTTGTTCACCTGCTGTTGACCCCCCCGCAAAAAGTCTAACTCTTGGGGGGTTTAATGGAAAACCCTTGATTTCCGATCCAACCCACTAGCAGTCAAGAAAGGAGCCAAAGTCGTTTGTTTCGTCGCCTGCGCGTTGCTGGACTGCGCCGCCACTAAAACCCGCGGCATCAGCGGCACGAGCGCCGCCGACTCCGCCGAGAGCGCTCGGCTGACGGCGGTGAAGAGCGGGCCTGGCAGAGGCAACTGGGGGGGCTGGCAGTGGAAGCCAAGCGCCTTATTGGAACCTAATGGTCTAGGGGTTGATTCCTTTTCCATTCTCTTCAACCATGGTTCTTTTCAAAAACCGGCTCTGTTTCCAACCTGGGTGTTTGATGGTTTCCTGAAAAGATTCGGATCCCTGGAAGGAATGGAAATGGAAGGTACCCCTAGAAATGGGGGTCCCCTAATTGGGGTCCAAAACATTCAGACCAAATAGGTCTGCAATCTCACCAGGGCCTCTGAAAGTCAACAAAATGGTTTGAAGCCTGGTCCACTAAACTGGGCTCCAAATAGTCTGAGAAGAAAAAAAATGCCAGTCCCCTCTTGTCTTCCTGGCACCCGCCTTGTTTGAGACCCATATGAAGCCCTGTTGTACAATATTCGGTTGGCGGAAAGCCACAAAAAACGCATATGACATGTTTGGCGGTCAAAGGCGTATGACCAAGAAAACAAACGGCCATATGGTATGCCAGGTTCTTTGTGGCAGGGATTGCAAACGTCTGACTGGGTTTATGAAAGTGATGATGTTTGAATCCCTGGCGGGCTTCCTTTTCACGACCAGGTGCAACGTCGTTTGAACGGTCCCACCTCCGATGCCAGTCATCCCCAAAATAAAAAGGAAGTTCATATTAATTCTATTTGCTAAACACTGGTGAATGCCTCGTTGACATCACACCCCCAAGGTTTTTTTCGCTCGGGAGGGTGGTTTGCTTTCTGAACTTGGGCAAGTTTGCGCTCGCCCATTTTGCCCAAACCTAAAACAGGACGCCCGCGCCTTGCAACATGTTTAAACCACCTTGGTTAAAAAACAACTCCGCTATACTCCGCTTCATTTTCAAGACCAAGGTCTGGTCGTTCGGGGGTCACTGGACTATCCCTTCAACAGTTGAAATTACTTGGGTTCCATCCCAACTGCAACTTTGGAGGTCCAAAACAAACATTGAAGAAACCACTGCTTGTTTTCCTCACATTTTGCTCACCCCGCAAAACCGGAGACAAAACCCGGCGATTTCGCGTGGCGAAGTCACGCCTGGGTGTGCCTCTGACTGGCCCCAGGCCACCGTCCACGCCGCCCAGTCGGCGGGGTTCCCCGCCGGAACCGCCGCGGGCCAGCTGTCCACAGGCGGCGCGGGAGCCGCGGCCAAACCTTGGGCCGCCAGCGCGCAGCACTCCTCGGAGTCTTCGGCACACGTGTTTTTTGATCAAAACCCGGTATTAAAATGGTCTACCCAGAACCATTTAAATAATTAAGAAGGCGGTCGCAGCTATTTATGGTTGGGATTGTCCCTTACCAACCTTCATCAACCCAGGTTTTGATTGTGGCACGCGTGTCCCCGGGCCTCGTTCGTTTTGGTGCATCCAGAAAAAGGATGCTGCCGTCTTTTTGCTTGGGTCCAAACATCCGGGTCGACATTTGTTAGGTCTCAACGGAACTAAGTACCTCGCAATCCCTTGCTTGATCCTAGAAATCGAGTGCTTGGGAACTTCAAAGGCGCAAAGTGGGCCACAATGATGGGCTACGTTGAACAAGTCAGAGCAGGGATGTGGGCAAATTCCCATTCTGGCAAGTGGCTTATTCAAATCTTCCTGGGTGGTTCTAAAGCCTTCCTCTTGGGGGCATGTTGTGTCCCATCCGCACCCTGTACCACTTCAAATGGCCAAAGAAAATGCTTGGGACTCCAGTCCTTGCTTCCTGCTCTGAGTTCCATGGTCAACGTCCCATTCCTGGGCTTGGTCTCGAAGCAATGGAAAAGCCTCCCCAGCCAGGGCTCAAACACCCGGGCCAGCAGCATGGCCTTCGGCGCTGCGTGGCTTGCCGCTTTGGCGGCCATCGGCAGCAGCCGCGCCAGGCGTTCGAAGGCTGCGCGTTGCTCCGGCTGGGCTTGGAACAGCCTGCCGCGCAGTGAATAAATAGACCTGGCATGAACTGCCCTTGATATCAAAGTGGGCTGTGCCCATGACTTGTTCATCACTCACAGAAAGTTTGTTTCCCCTCTTTACAAAAAAAATGGAAAGGATCTCCAAAGGAAAAGTCCTCGTTTAACAAGAGAACTGCCACTTGGAACGGCAATGGCGACGTTGGAGGGGGTTGCTCCAAACATCCTGGCAAGGTCGAAAACTGAGTCCTGGTGAAGGGAAACGAAAGGACACCGACCCAGTTTCTACCCTTCCGCTATCAGTGGTTGGGAGCAGCCCTTTCGGACAAAGCCCGAAACAAGACAAAACCACGTGACATGGCTTTGACTGGATGTCCTTGTTCTCATTTGCGCCTCAGGGGCGGCCCTTTTAGGGGTATGCTTCAAGAGTTGTCTGGTGGAGCCATAGTAAGCGGCCTGCCAAGAGCAACATCTGGAAAGGGTTGGTTGTCAGGTTCCAAGAGCTTTTTGAACCAAGTAAAGGACAAGGAGAAGAGTGCCTGGGAGCTGGGAAAGCAAGCTAGGGTGAACAACTGGGATTCGCTTGCAGCCAAAAAGGGCCTGGAAGTAAAACGTGAAATTTTCACCTCTGGGGCTGCCATGACTGAGTTTCTATATCCTAAGGGTATGCTGGCCAAATGCTAGCGGAACCAACGAAGCAAAACCCAAAACACAGAACAGTGAAGCTGGACATGCTGGACCTTCGGTTCTCGTCAAAGACCCCAAATGCATAACAAACAGCTTCCTTCGGATGCATGATTGTCATTCGGCGCGAGCCCCCGCTCAACAAACACCCCCCCAACAAACACAACACCCCCCCCCCCCCCACCGCTCCAAACAACTGGTCCCCCCCCAACACACACACACACACACACACACACACACACACACACACACACACACACACACACACACACACACACACCGCAACACCCCCCTTCAGGCGGCTATGACTGGTCCGCGCCTGAGCACCGCGCCGGCGCTCGCCATGGCGCCCGCCAGCCCCGCCAGCCCCGCGTCCGCGTCGGCGTCGGCGTGAGGCGAGCCGAGGGCTTCCAAAGTCTCCAGGAGCTTCTCCAAGAGCCCAGGGCTCGCCTGCAGACCCAAATGGCCAAATCCCCTAAAAGGATTCCGCAGGAAATTAGGAAGGGCCTTTCTCAAAGAAAAGAGAGAGAAAGAACACGGTTTACTCCGAGGTCAACCCCTCCTCTTCCGCAGTGAACATTTGAAAGGGGATCAAAGAGGAATGTATTGGTAAACCTCTGGCAGGTTGGAATTGCCCTTCCACGGTGCTACAACGCCAACAAAAATAAATCACAATTCATCTCTCGTGGAGGCTCATTTTTACGAGCAGCAGGAAAATGAACCTCCCCCCCTGGTACTTTTTGTGAAGGAATATCAAGGCAAGCAAGCTACAAACACTGCACATGGGGGATTGAAAGGCAAAGGATCCCATTCCCTCGCCAGCAGCGCAAATAAGCAAATCAGAAGAGCAAAAGCGGCTTCCCTTCAACACCCATCCAAGGTCTGCGTTCAACATATACGCACCTACAAACGCAAGGAGAAAGAATAACTCAAGAGTGTGTATATATATATATAAACATACATGCATGTAAATATGTATGCCCGTACATATGGTAGACTTTGCAAACCATGGACAATCAATAACATGTTCGAAGGAGACAATAAATTTGCATAGCCGTATACACACACACACACACCTGTTATACATATATATATATATACATATATATGTATATATGTAATTATACATAAATATGCGTGTGTGTGTGAATGCATTACGCGTACATACCCTTATCCACACCAACCAGCAGCCGAACATACAGAAATCCATGGTTGAACAAAACTACCAAGACCCGCAAAGGGGCATCGCGAATCCATGTCCCTTTGTTCTTTTCAACCATCACATCAACAGAATAAATCAAAAAGAACCGTTCAATGATTAAATGCTTACACCTGTCACAGCCAGACAAGATAAACCCTAAACTCTAAACATAAGCATCGCTACTTACATCTGCAAACATTACAATCATGTTCAACCTGCAATTGCGGCATTTTCAAGAGAAGGACAGCTACATCCTGGCCATCTCCTTTCCCAGCGCTTTATACCCTGAAACATCACTTGCTGGTGCTCAGCATGAGGGAACGACCCTTATAAACCAATAATTGTTGTGGTTTCCTTGCAGGGGACCAAAGCCTGGGTTCATTCCCTACCCATCGCCCAAGGAGTTCTCCGCCCTCACCCGGCGCCCGGCGCCTCCCAGCGGTGCAGCTGCGCCCCGACGGTGCAGCGCTCGCTGCGGAGCCGCGTCTCCGCCGGGCCGAGGCCCAGCGCCGCCGAGGCGGCCGCGGCCAAACGTGGCCCCAGGCGCCCCAGGCCGACGGAGGGCAAAGGAGCCGCGGCCGCGCAGAGGCTTAGCGTCTCCTGGGCAAGTGGGGTGTGATGAGTGAGTGAGCGGAGTGGAGTGGAGGGGAGTGGAGCGGAGGGGAGCGGAGTGGAGTGGAGCGGAGTGGAGTTGAGTGGGTGGGTGGGTGGGGGTGAGCCATGGTGGCTTTTATGCAAGATCCGCCTGGATTCCGCTGGTGACGTCAGGCAACTAATCCTTTTGCTTGGGAGATGAGGCATAAGGGTGAAAGCTCCTCAAGTTCTTGTTTGATTTGTGGCCCAGGGAACTGCATGAACTCTCACCAGGTCCAAGTTGAGCTTTGTGAAAGACTTGAAATCGTGAGCAACTTCGAGAAGCTCACTCCTATAGGTGTCTTTACGACTCTGTTCTTTGGGTGGCACGGGTCAAGGGGTCAAGCCATCTGAGATTCTTGTCTGATTCCTGATTGAGCGGGGGATTTTGCACGGCCCTTTCAAAAGCCTCTCAAATGAGCAAACTCTGAAATGTATTCTTTCGTTTTCCCTTTCCCAAAATAAAAAGGAAAGCACCCCTGGAAGCTTGTAGCCTCTTGGGTTAGAGCTTTGTCCACACTGCAAAAAGTATGATTTCCAAATCGTTGCTTTTGCACAATGAAGCCATGCAACCCGAGATGCATACCAGAAACTCCGTCATCTGTTGGACAGCTTCAAGCTGCCAATGCTTGGAGATGGGCCAAGGCCATAATGTTGACCCCATATTAACCAACCCCAGTTTATTCATAGGGGGGTGGGGGCCCCTCCAAAAGTGGTCCGATTCCCCACTAAATCAGGCACCCCCTATTAATAAACCGGTTGACTCTTACGGGGTCAACGTTAATATGCAAAATTGACACTTTTTGTTTCCTTTGGGGGTTCTTTCCATTTGGTGTCAGGCGTCCTCTTGCCCGCTGGCGAGCAAAGCCGCTTGCGCCTCCACCTCCTTAAATTTGCCGGCATGGGTTCTGTGTTCGAGACATCGGTGTTGAATTATTTGCTGAAAGGGAGGCCGCATTGTCCTTTAAATCACGGTGACGGAAATCCCAGTGCAGATTCGCAAACGAAACCTCGGGGAAGATGAATAAACCAACCATGAGGACAGCACAGCCAACCAGCAACTTAGAATATCGCGTTCCCTTGGGTGCTGCCAACAAGGATTCCCCAACAAGGATGGAAAAGGACACATCGCAGGGCACCAGAAGGTATTCTCTTCTGATTCCGTTTCATATCGAGTGAACGCAATGAAGCAAACCATCTTGGACATCTGCCTGGCACTTCAACTCGGCACCTCTGCAAACCAAACTTTGGCTGCAAGCAGCTCCTTTAACTTTAGTGGGTTCAACAGAAAAAATAATAATAATAATTCAAGCCAGAAAGCTGCAGTCTAAAAACCCGCTACCCAATAGCACTCAACCACATCCTCAGCGTTAGGGCCCTGCCTTGGGCCCTCCAAAGAGCTCCGCCAACTTCTCCTCCGCCAAGGGCGCCACGGCTGAGGGCATGGCGCGCCAGAGCAGGAGGAAGCCCCGCTTCGTGGTCTCCGACACCGGCATGGCCACCTGAGTCAAATCAAAACCCGGCAGTAGAAGGGTGTCCTTTTTGGGAAAATAGATGGCCCGGGTAGTTGATTGAACCACCAGGTAAACCAGGAACCACCCTCTATTTTTCAACCAAATCAACCAAAAAGGACACCTATGCCGGCAGTAAAATGGGGTACCCAAACCAATGGAAGGAATTCAAAGGGCGGCCGGGCCGCACCTGTTATTTATGCTAGCCTTCATCTACCCGGGTTTTGATTGTGGCTCGCCCTGGCGGCCCCCGGCATGTGGCACAAACCTAGCACCTGGTACCTCCTCCCGAAAGAATATCTGATATAATCGTGGAAGTAGACAGGCCTTTCCAAGAGCATGGGTGTGAGAGTCTGCATTGGAGGCGGGTCCATAAAAGTGAAATTGTCTACATGGTGCTTATTTTGAGAACCCCTTTAAATGTCCCAAAGGATGGCCATATCTACCATGTCCAAAAGGTGACCCAGCCGCCAGAGATACAGTGAAGTTGCAACATCAAGCACTGCATCCCCCGAGAGAAAATAACATATATACAAAAAAAGCAATCCTTGAGCCACCTTTTTGCCTCTTGGCTTGGACAAGTCAAGCACCACAAACATATACTTGCTGTCGGTCCTAAATAACTTCAACGAGCAAATCCATCATAAAAGGGAAATCAACAAATACTGTCCTTGGGGAGAATCAACAAACACTGCTTCCTTGGCAGGAAGTCCATCCTGGTCGGCGACGTCCAACGGAACAAAAAGCAACTTTGCGGGCAAATCAACACACCCTATGGGCCGATTTGTACCTCCCAAGGAGGCGCTTAAAACAACATTTACCCCTTAAAACATCCTCAAAGAGTCCTTGGGCCCAAGCCGAGCTGCTGGCGGAAAGCTCGTCGCGCGCGGCTCGCTCGAAGTCTCCAAATTGCCTGCCTCCCAAAGAACCAGAGGCCCTACAGCCCCAGAAAGCGTACCTTCCCTTTAAAGCAGCCCGGAAAGGGTACCACATAAGGAGGACACCTTGGCTTGAAGGGAAGCCAAAAAAGACAGTTGTAATTCCCTCTTGTTTTTGACACATCTGCAGATCCTATAATTCCGATACCCGAAAAACAAAAAAAAACAAGAAGAAAAAACCAACGCGCATCCCAGGCCAAGGGCCTGCATGAAACCCCGCCTCCAGGATGCCAGAGAAGCACTCCACGGCCACCGCGGCAAAGGCGGCCCAGCTGTCTCCCCGGCAGTTGCTGGGGCGCGGCTTCATGAAGAGCCAGGAGACCTCGCTGGTTTTGGGATGCGGAAAAAAGGTCCAACCCCTGGTTTCCCGGCCCCAAAGCGGTGGCACAGCAGGAAAACACACAGAACGACATGGTTAAATGGTTGTGGGAAAAAAAAACATCCATTCCCTGGTTTCCCGGCGCGAATAAGGTCCAACAGGCAAAACACAGAAGTAAAAAGCAAACCCTTCCAGGGGAAGATTTCATGGCAAAGGTTCTTTCCGCACCGCAGGCTTTTACCCACGGTTTTCAGCCCAGGAGGCTACGAGGTCCACGAAGAACAGCACCTCCTGAGCAGCGCTTTCCTTGCTCGGCGGCTCCTCGCAGGTCGTTGGGGAGTCCATGTGAGGTGAGAAATGAAACTACCAATGGGATTCTAGGGCTCACCACCTGGTTGAAAGGGCAAATGAAGGAAAACCACAAGAAAGCGAGGCACAAAGGTGAAGCTGAGTCTTGCAAAGCGGGCTCCCACGTTGCCCACCCCCAACTCCGTTTTGAAAGGGGGTCTGAGGATTGGTCCTCGCTATCGCTGTCTTCATCTTCTTCCTCTGGCTCCGGCACGGAACTGGAACCCCGTGCGGCCCGCGTGTACCGCTGCACCGCCTGCCGTGCCGGGGTCGTGCATGTGACCCCCTTTCCATGGGAAATAAGTTTGGCCTGCGGAGCGGATATCCTGTCTCCGGCAAACATGGAATTGAACAAACCGCTGTTTCTAGAGGATGGTCGTCTTCCAACACCAGTCATGAAGGGGCCAGCGTTGGGCTGACTTCAAAGCAAAGCGTTTGTGTACCTGGCGTTCATTAAGTTCCTATTCAAGGGGACCAAGCGACTCACCAAAACTGGTTTATTGTTAATCCCCAGTAGAAAGGGAGCCCAGATGCAGATGTCATGACCTTTTGTACAAAAAAACATGCCTCATTAAGCCAAACAAACATTTTTCCAACAGCAACAAGGTAGTTGTCAGGAGTAAGCTGTTTGGTTCTGCCGCGGAAATGCAGAAAGCCAAGTCCGGGCAAGAATGGTCCGTCCGTTGGGAAGATGGAGGCTTGCCAACCAAGCACAGAGAACGAAGGAGCCCTTTTCCAAGAAGGTACTCGGGTCCAACAATCGTCTGATTGTCGAAGGGAGGTGGGTCAAAGTATCTCCTTTGCAGGTGCCCTTAAGGTCCGCAAAGGACCACTCCCCACCTGCATGCTGCTGCGCAGAACATGGAAACCTAAACGCCATCATCTTTCAAGAAATCTCCTTGGCAATTCCAACTCGCAGCTGAGTAGTGCTTGTTCAACCCCGCCAGAGCGGCTCAAATCGCTCGTCCTTTGACAAAAGACCGCCCCAAAAACGACCCAAAAACCTTGGTTGACGTTGGAAGGGGAGCAAAAGTTTAAATTTTAGCAGGTAAGTGGCGATTTCAACCACTAAACCACAATAAGCAAACATGCATTTTTCCCAGCAACAACCATGAAGTTCGCTCGTCCTTTGACAAAAACCGCCCCAAAAACCGAGAAACAAAAACATTTGGGGGAGGAGGCGACACTAAAGGCGCTCGTTCGTTTTCACTCTCCGTGTGCTGTGTGCCTGAGTGTTGATCGCTTTGGCCAACCAACTGGTATCCTGCCACAGGGTCAGGATCCAGTGGTTCCCAACAGGTTCCCAACTTAATCACCCGTACCTTCCTGACTGGGCACAGCCCCGGAGCAGGGAAGGAGACAAAGTGGAAAAGCAGATGGAATGCTGCTGGTAGCGACAGCCGCCTCACACCCGTGAAACTACCACGCGGGTAGCCACGCGGGTAGCACAAGGGTTGAGACCTGCCGCACCCCAATGACGAGAGGGCTCCTTGGCGACTCGCCCCAGGGTTGGGTGGGTGGGAAAAAGAAAACAGATGCTATTTTGGCTCTTGAGCCAAAATGGCCGCCCATGGCGTTCCATTCTGGTCAAGAGCGCTCGCTCCCCTCAAATGAAACCATGTCACCCTGGCCTGCCAAACACTAACATGGGAAACATTTGGGGGAGGAGGCGACACTAAAGGCGCTCGTTCGTTTTCACTCTCCGTGTGCTGTGTGCCTGAGTGTTGATCGCTTTGGCCAACCAACTGGTATCCTGCCACAGGGTCAGGATCCAGTGGTTCCCAACAGGTTCCCAACTTAACCACCCAATGCACTCCAGCCGAAAACGAGCCCTTCTTTTTCGTCCAAAGCCAATGCACTCACAGGTACTCAAAAACTCGGATACAACCCCGAAGTGGCAAATGCCAGAGCCCAATCGGAAACGAACTGCGGGTCAGCTGAAAAGAGTTAGCTGGAGCCCACTCGTCCTTGAACCCTTCGCGAGAAATGCCATCACTCCAATTTGACTTGGATTGTACCCAATCAAAATAAACTTGGGTCTGTAAACCAAAGAGAGCTGAATGCGTCAGCAGACTGATACGGTCTAGATCCTCTGTATCGGACTTGCCTCGGATCAGAGCCATGAGGGCTGCAACATTGTCTATGAACCACAGCCCAGTGCGTCCCCGCAACAAGGCTGGAAAAGCTGCCAACGCTGACAAGATCATGAGCATCTCAAGTTGTGCAATGTGCCAGCCATCATCCCTCCAAAAGTCATACATCTGTGTGGGGATATCAACAACATGTCCAAACCGCTGTTCAAAAGGAGTCCCAGGGTCGACAACCAACAAGAACCCGGCTGTGCCTGCGCGAGGGGATTCCAAAGCAGCATCGCTAGCTACTAGGAACCTCGGAACCGCCCTTTGCTGGATGGTCCAGACGCGCCTGGGTCGCTCCTGCATGAGGGCCTGCAGCAGGAAACAGCTCCTCCTCAGGGAAGCAGTGAGTCCTGCCACATCTTCGTACTGGCGATCCTTGATCGGGGTCAGACCAGCACGCCCTACTTTGCCGAAAACACCTTCCATGAAAAAGGTGGTGCACCCAAAAAGCTTACTAGCCACACCAGGCTTTAGCTCTTGCGTCTCAAGGGCCTCGCGCACGAATCCCAGAACCTTGGCCTGGAGCCGCTCACGAGGCCAAAACTGGACTTGGCCTGTGGACGTGACACACGACAGATCGTGTACAAGCCCCAGCAAGTCCCCAGAAGAAGAACATGGTTGTGACTTATCCTGGGTGCCCAAGACACCCATGACTTCCCCTACCTGACGCTGGGTGGCCTTGGCAGACTGTTCCCAATCCTGGAAGGTTGCATCATCAAAGTACATCGAAAAGAGAACTGCCAGGAAACGTCTAATGAGGGCTTCCGAAAACCTGCTGTATCGGTTGAAAGCTGTCACAGCTAAGGGCAATCCGAAGAGCATGCCGAAATACACCTGGAAAGCTGGTTTTCCCCACTCAGGGTGGTGGAACACAACCACACAGGCTTCCGCATGTGCAGGCTCGATTGGGACTAACCGATAAGCATCTGGCCAGTCCTCCCCCCCACTGTGCAACCCTGCATCAGCCTGGGCAAGCACCGCGCCATCCCTGACTGCGGCCTGGTGCAAGGCCCACACGTGCTGGGCCGGGCGGATGGCGGAGCAAAACTCCAGGTGATTCCCATCACGAGAAAGCCTGCTCTGCCCGCCTTTATCCGCATCATCAATCGGGCGAACTTTCCCAGTGCTTTGGGTGATTGCAAAGCGGGGGATGAGTCTGACTGGTCGATGGTTAACCTGAAGCTGCAACTGTTCCCAAGAGAGTGGCTCAGTACAGAAACCCTTGGCGGCATCCTTGAGGCCGCTTTCCAAAATAAACTGATCCATCTTTCCGGGTCTCAGGGATTTCAACAAGATCAGGTTGTCATGCTCAGCGTCACTCAACACTTCGGCCAACGGAATAGGTTCAACTTCCTTGGGGGTAAAGGCACCACAGGGGGGGGCAAAACCCACAGCTGGAAACCCGAAAACCAATCCTGGGCGCGGGTGTCCGGCCATGCCAGCAGCAGCACCAGCAGCCCAACAAGAGCAATATGCCTCTGCCTAGTCACAGCGGCAACAGCTGGTGGTTGGAACTGACGAAGGTGCTTGGTGACCGCCATCCATCGCCGGGCTAGCTCCTTCATGACGCCCACAGCCTCATCACGCCAGGCTGCTCCCCCTGTTAAGGAAAACCAGGTGCGGTCCGCCGCAAAATGGAGGTCAGTGTCCAGGCACATAAACTCTTCCAAAGGCGACGGCCGTGCGCTGGCTTCCAATGCTGCCTTGAAGTGGGCATCCGGAGACAATCCAAACGAAACCACTGGTGGAAGAGCAGCTTTGTGCGCCATAGCCCCATCCTGCCTCCCGGCACTGACGCGGGTGGCATACCGACCGGCCTTGTCCAGGTGAAGGTCCCAAGGGCTCATCCACTGGCAAGCCAGCCTGCAGCCTCCATTCAGTATACCTCAGAAAAGCCGGATGTTGAAGCAGGTCCTCGATCATAGGCCACTCTTGCATGGTCTCAGTGCAAAAGGCGGGGTAGAGCTTCGCAAAGGCCGCCACCACCTCTTCCTGCTTGAAGAGAAGCGCTGGCGACCACGGCAGAGCCTGCGCACCCGCTGCACTAGCCAGAAGTACTTTCCGCAACGGCATCCCTCGTGGCAGCACTGCCGCGCTGCGCTTGAAGGTGGGTTCCACTTGCGCCGCGACCTCAGCCACTAGTGCATCAGCATGACAGAGCTGGCCTGGAGCACAATCACATACCAGAACTTTACCGTGTAGTTCATGCAACCCATGGGAAAGCCCTTGCTCATGTAACATCTGGATGTACAGCAGGAAGCACTCCTCACGGGACCCCTGCTGCCCTGGGACAAAGGGAGAAGCCCACTTGCTGCGTACGAGCCTGTGGGAATGGTGCCCCATGCCCACATAAATGTGTTTCGGGGGAAGGCCTCCCGTCTTGATATCCTCCAGGTTGAACTCCGCAATAGCACGCCGCTTTGGCACCCGCTGGAAGAGGGGATTCCTGGAGAGGTCCAACCCCAACAGCACAGCCATTGGTGCCATAGCCCACTCACGTGCCACTGCTGGCGCCCAGCTAGTGCATGACCGCCGATCACCTGAGCAGCTGATGGGTGGCATGCGCGGGACACGTAACATGGCCCGCCCAAGCCGGGCAACTGCCCAGCTGGCAGCGACCGCTATTGCAAAGGCCAGACACGCTGTGTATTCTGCTTCTTCTTTGGTCGGGAGGAAATTCGGCCCGTTGGATGTGGAAGGCCGCCATTCACTGGCTGCATGCAAATGCCTACACGACACATCAGGCAGCTGTGAAAGCTCCTCCACATTGTGGCGCAACCGTTGCCTCTTCTGCCTGGACCCTTGGAAAACACAGGCATCATAATCCAAGTCCGACCATCCACCTACATCAACCATGGCCTTCTCCTGCGGGAGCTCCCAGTGGAGACTGTTGCGAGGATTCTCACGCACTGACAAGCCACCCGCCAGGTGGTGCTGCTGGAGCTGCGTCAACACGAAGCAGGCGGCATTGTCAACTCGTACTTGCTCCGCCTCGCGACCCGACAACCCTGGGAGTCCTAAGGGGTGCTCAGTAGACCGAAGAGGTCCTGGTCCTGGGGAACCATCTGGAAACCGCCTCGGAATCTCACGGGCCCGACTTTTGGTGCTGCAGTCAAAG